TACTCGGGCCTCAACGTCTTCATCTCCATCATTCAAGACGCCTACAGCAGCGCAAAAGAGGTAAGCACGTTTAGAAGTAGGATCTGAGGGTTCTGAAGCGTCTCAACCAAGGGGAAAGGTTTTCGATCGTTTGGTGTGTGACCGATCCACGACTCTTCCGTCTGCATCGTCTTGAGTTTGCAACTATGGAGGAGGGTTTTTGGCGGCAGGCAATCGTACGCTCAAGCCTTCACAACGACTACGAAAAGCTGGCCATCTGATTGGGCGTCCGAGCATTCTTCTATTTCAAAGCAGAGTGCTTCAGGTAATTCGCCTTTATCGACCTTTAAGATGGCCCCCGGTCTGTAATTAGAAGAGGGTACTCTCATATGGTCAGGCCAGGTATGGGCTTAGGTGAGTGCCTTTCAAAATTGCGGCCTTGTTCTTCGTACCTGTGGTCCACCGCTAGCTGGACAAGCCGTTGTCAATGTCTTTTCAAGTTAGCTATAGTAGTCTCTAGGTATGGTAAGCTCCTACTAAAAAGCTAACCCTCAAAATCACCCGCTCCGCTCCCGTACCCACCCTCAACCCCCAAAGGAACCCCACCCGTCCCAGGCTGCTTGGCTTACTTTACCTAAAGCTTAAAGATCCCTAAATTGAACTCTTATCCGTTGTCAGCCCGTAGACAGCCATCTAAGAGTTAACCTTTGTGTTTGCAGCAAACCGGACGGTTGTCCCGCCCGTCGAGTGCCGCGGACGTCCGGAGCTGGGAAGGCCTGGAAGGGGGACTGTCCAGAACGGGATCCGGCGTGGGGGTCACTGCAGTGCAACTTAATCAGGTACGCGCTTTTGCGCCCTTTTGTTTCGCCCTTTCTGATTCGCCAACAATGATCAGAACAACAGTCCCCGCTTTTCATTTGAATACACTTTGTTTTTGGTGAATCACCGCATCTTGAGATAAGTATGCTGCCTTCCAGATTTTTGGTATGGCTAGCTTTTAAATGGTCCTTTGAGATCTGACTCAGGTTGACCTTCCGGACAGACCTGAGGCTTTCATCGGCAGATTTTTGAGAGTTGCTGAGTCAGTCTAAGTTGAGAAGCTGCTGACGAGCTAGTTTGGCGGTGTGGAAGCGATGGCTGTGTTCCGAAATGGTTTCGCATTATTTTTTCGGGATTCCTTCTAAGCGCGCATATCACTTCATGAACCTCTACCTTCGGCGTTTACTTACTCCGACTCCAAGCATCCTCTCGTCTCGGCTCCGGAAGCCGGTTAATCTCCCACCTTGAAAAGGCCTCTGCTTATCAAGCGATGCTCATCACTGCTTGAAGTCCGATCAAGCCTGGCCGCCTGACCCACGTCCGACTTGAGCCCATTGCGACCGCTTGCCCGATGCGCACAACTTGGACCCTTTGTTGGCCTGGATGCCACCCATCGAACGGTCGGAGTTCTTTGGCGAGTGCTGTGATCAATCCGAATACGAGGTGGGTCAGGCGGCTAGGTCTGACCGAATCTGCAGTGGAGCGAGACGTGAAGTTTTGAGACGACTGTTTTTAACTCGAAAGTCACGGTCGTTTCAACGTACGTATGATCAAACTCTTCGCAGGTGGAAGCTCGGTTACGCGAGCAAATGGCCGACCTCCAGAAACAGCTGGCAGAAGTGACGGCCCTCCTGAGTTCCGGGAGACAGGCGTTTTCCACCGGGGGGGTCAAGGAGCACGGGGGGGGCTATTTCAGCGATGGGGAGACCCCTCGACACATGCATCGGCAAGGAGGACACGTGGATCACGTGGGGGTGTCGAGCTCCTCGCGACAAAAGGGGCTATGAGAGGACACGAGTCGCGCTTGTAACATATATTATAAAGGTACGTTATTGACCGTTTTGATGTCATAGATTTGAGTAACATAGCGTGCATACAGCAGGGCAATGCAGCGGCGTTAGGCAAGTTGAGCACGAGTCGCGCGCGATTCCTATCCAGGCCCCGCAGGCATCGGGCAGAAGTCAAACAAGGTGTAGGCAAGTGAGCGTTAGGCAAGGTGTCAAGCCTAGACAAGACATTCGCCTGAGGAGATGGTGACGAGAATGGTCATCCAAAGTGTGAAGTGCGTTCAGAACCAGCCCAAACCGGCACAACGAGAGGCAAAAGCGACACACTTAACTATGATTAGATTTGCTACACGTTCACTGCCGTAGCACAAATAAAATTTGGGAACTTGACAACAAATGTAGCCAGGCAGTGTAGCTGATCTCATTTCTCAAAGTCTTGTCACGGGACTAAATGTAGTCAATCTTCAAGGCCTCACTTGGAAAATCTGCATGGCTTACATGAGCAGTGAGGCTTTCGACTGTCTCGGCTGAATCACTACGATGCTTCGCCCAGTGAGCAGATGGCCACCATTGCGTTACATGTACTGCATTGAACCTGCATGTTGCTGCTATGGCTGCATCAGCTTGAATTGTCGGTGGCCGGATTGTTGCTTGCCTAGACTTTTCCTTGAAATTCTTGAGAGTTGGTGCATACTAACCGGTGTGAGTCTGTCACACACCGTGCAATGGCCTGAGCGGCCACGCATCATTCAGTGTGCATGGCCCAAGTACCTACGTAACTTTCATATATTTACATATGATCCACGAGCTGACATTCTATGACAATGATCCATATATGATCCACCGCGTGAGCTAACGTGTTCTATACATAATCCTTACATAGACTGTATACTGGAATCACATTACTGCATGACGATATACCTGAACGTCATGCATGCAATGCAATCTGCCCATGATCATTGTATATCTGCGACATACGTATAGGTTCAATTTATGCACATACATTTCTAAGTTTGCCATGCGGCAGCACTTACGCGTTTGAAGAGTTGTTTGCTCTATCTGGCATTGCTCGAGATGATCTGAAAAGTGCAGTATTTGGCACATGTATGTCCGCCCAAGTGCGCGGCCAGCAGCGGCATCCAGCCAATTGGACGGGTTCGATCAGCGGGCGTGATGTGGCCCATCCTTCCCTTGCACATATGATCTTAAGCTGCAGGAAGATTGAAGGTGCAGATTCGACTGCTGGAATTGGAAGTGGACGTGCCTCCAGTACAATCGTTGAGGTAGCTTAACACACCTTTGCCACTCAAAGAATATTGATGTGAGAGGTACATGGTATCCCATATCTGAAAAGCCACGGAAAACGGCTTCCTGAGCATGTAGTTGACCTTATTGAAAACGTCAATAGCAAAAGTATAGCTCCGACGTCTGGGACTCTTCCTAATGACAAAGCAGTCATTGACTCTCTAGGAATGTGCTTATGTCTGCTTTCAACGCGCTCAATTGACCTTCCGCTGTGACCTGCATCCGGTCATCCTTTGCAGTGATGAGGACCTTTGCTTGAAACGCATTCGCATATGCATTGGGGTTGCAAAACACCTCAAGGTGAACCCCTCCAGCTGCTAAGTCGCCTTTGTGCTTCCAATCTAAGCTCTCCCACCTCTTAGGACGGGTGGCTTGTTCCTTGTCCTTGAAAGTTTGCAGAACTGATGACAAACCATCATCTAACTCCTGCGCAATCTCGGCCGTCAAGGGGATTGTGATGGTAGTCTCGCCAATGTGGAACGATGTCTTCGTGGCCGTCGCTGAATGAAACAGAGAGACTTCAGAACCTCAAAAGCTTCCTCAGAAGCTTCGAAGGGCACAAAAGCAGGACTAAAGACAGCGAAGAGAGAGAGATGGATTTACAGGAAGCACAAAAACGGGGCTAAAGTGTTGCAAGTGAGCTGCTAAACGCAGCCACCATCCTGGGCCCAAAAAGTAAACCACATGTGTTAGGGGCAATCATTATACCACTCTTCCATCGCAAGCATCGCAATCTCTGTGCTATACCCTCCGCTCCACTGCCAAAGGTTGTCTGACAAGGATTCCGTCCCATTCGATTGATTGCTTCTTGGAAGCTCGCCAATTGGACTTGATATGATAGTGGTGGCCTGTCTGATTTCACAGGTAAATGCAATTGTAGTTCCCAGCCAAAGGTGGTTCAACCCGAGTATGGCCCTGTTGTCTGAACACGGAAAGCCTTGCTCAGGAACTTCAAGGCTTGCTGGCTAGACGTCTCACCTTGCATCATTGCAGCGCCTCTCCCCACTCGGGTCCTCTGACTTTTGCGCGCCATGTGCCATGTTTGTTTTTGAGAGCATTCCCGCAATGCTGGCGGTGAAAATTGGCGCTTTGGTGTCAAAAGCTGCTGCATTGACTGAGGCCGAAGCAATGCTACGGGAGCAGCACTTGGTCTAGTGGCTGAAGAATGGGTAGAGTTGACACATTTGGTGGTGGCTGCACCACAATTGCCTATCTGCCGAGCGCAAGAGATTGATGCCATTTGGATTGCAAGGGTGAACCCTGGCTTGGAAGAGGATTTTCCTCCTCAGATTGCCCAACTTTGGGACAGGAAACCAATGAGAGTCTGAATAAGGCCAGAATTATAATGTGCGCGCCACTGCAATGTCCGCCCAATCTGCTCAGCAACACGTCTCGAATGAAAGGATTGCACAATCTGCTTGCCACGCTGGCCGCCCACGTGGTCACGTGATTCATTCATTGGCCGTGACTAGTCTCGTATCGAACTTTCAAGAACTTTCAGTCAATCAAATGGTACCGTAATTTTGGCGCGGACTTCAAGTCGGGAATTGCTCAAGTCCAGCTAGGCAATTTTCAACTCGCCACTCTGCTCCGAGTCCAGAGTCGAAGCAGGACAGCCCAGGAAGGAGGATTTAGCACGCCAGGATTCTGTTCAGTCTGAAGAAGAACAAGCGGAGGTTGAACAGGAAGGAGCCAAGGTTCACCTCTGAGCTTCGTCGTTTTGTGGTCCCCGCGCCTGTGCGGTTGCAGCTCTTTCTTGTTGTTTCAACGCAAGCCGAAGCCCGGCTGTAACCGCAAGCGGCTCAAGATGCCGGCCACCGCGGGGCGGGTGCGGATGCCCGCCAACAATCGGATGCACAGCGGGTCTGCGCTGCAGACGCACGACATCTGGAGCAAAACAATTGGCTATGATCCATATGCACCGGAAAAGAAGGCGGCGGAGGGTGCCGAGAACCCCTATGAGAACGCACAGGGCCTGATGGCCCTGGCTAGAATTAAGAACACAGCAAACTTTGGAGACGCAACCAGAGGGGCGTGCAGAAAGTGCAACCGGGTTGGACACCTGACGTTTCAGTGCAAGAACTTTTTGACGGCGAGGGAGGAAGAGGCAGCCCCTGCGGCGGCGCCCCCAGTAGAGCTGCAAGAGTCTGAATCCGAGAGCAGTTCAGACAGCGACCAGGACTCGGACATTGAGAGGGCGCTCCGGAGTGCGAAGAAGAAGAAGGGGCTGGTGGAGAAGAGGCATAAGAAGGTCAGCGGTAAGAAGCACACTAGCAGTAAAAGGAGGAAGGCAGAGACGGAGAGCTCAGATGAGGACTCAGAGGAGGAGCGCAGGCGGCGGAGGCGGCGAAGAGAGAGGAGGCGGAGGGACCGCTCTCCGTCAGAGAGTGATTCGAAGGAGGAAAGAGACAGGAGAAGGAAGCATAAGAAGAGGACAAAGGATGTGAGTGACGAGGAGTCTTCTGAGGAGGAGAGGCGCCGGAGGAAATGGCATAGCAAGAAGAGGAGGGAGGATAGTGAGAGTGAGGGGGACAAGGCAGACAGGAAGGATAGAAAGAAGAAAGACAGGAGTAGCACGAAGCGTAGGGATAGGGACAGCGATGTTGACAGCGAGGAAGATAGGAAGAGGTGAGGGGACAGCATCAAAGGGTGCTTGGCTATAGTAATGCTGCAGATTTGCATACTGGTTAGGGTGGAAAGTCCTTTAGAAGCAGACTGTTTCTGGAGATTGTAGGGGGCAAGATTCCGTTTTGTGCTCATAAATGATAGTATGTAGATGAACGAGCTCATTTCAACACCCTGTATCATGCATCTTAAGCTCAAGTTTGGTTGTTTTCTGGCGTGCTTTGAGCTGAGATACGTGCATGATGGAGCAGGAGCTTTGCTGCAAACTTAACCTGGCTCTGTGAAGCTTATACAAAACCTACAGTATAACGTGTGCGCCAAAATGCCGGTACTTTCTCCGAAAAGCTCCTGCACAAGCTGCCGTGCACAATCCGGGAAGGAGCTCGCAGACTAAGCATGAAACAGTGTGCTCGGAATACACATGCATGCTGGTGGTGAGCACAAGTGAGGGTCATGCAATTTTACAAGCATATTTGCAAATATGTATGCGCTGCATGGCCATGGCATGCCTCCCGGCAGGGCGGCCTGGGTACAGAACAAGGCCTATGCATCAAAGATCCTTATGCACATCCAAGCGATTTCAGATAATTGATGATGGAGTACATGTGCACAATATACAATGTATCAAGGACAACTCAAGTGAATGTTGTTTGAGTTGAGCTACGTCATTCGAAGTTAGGAACTCAACTTGAGATCAGTCTTGCTGAATTATATTTTGACGCTATGGTCGCTCGTCATTGGAAACTTTGTCCAGGAGGATCCAATTGCAGGTCCGATCCTCACAAGCTAGATCATTGACGACATAATTCTCGATCTTTTGAAGCTTTCACAGATTTTGTGAACTGTCAACCCCTGGCATAACTTTCTCCGCGCGCAGGCTGTGAATAAAGCTCTGGGTACAGTGTCGATCTGTCAATCTATGTTGAAGTGCCCCAGCCGTTCGCAGCCACTATTGATAAAATGACCTTTCAGAACCTTTACAGAACCTCACCATGTACCTTTGGAACAAGATTTTGAACATGAAACCGTTGGATAATTACCCCTTGAGCGGAGTGAAACGCGAGCGCGGGCTGATCTCTTTCATTCTGACCTTGCCTCGCTCGGGAAAAGGTTAGTTTATCCGCAAACTGTTCCTTCTCACAATGACACCGTGATCGCTGTGGATGTGTTCATCCAGCTTTTTCAGCTGGGCAAGTCTCTGCAAGAAGGAAAGAGTGTAACTGAACTAGGTTTGAAATAAGACTTCCTACAGGAGCTATCATGCGGAATGCGTCCGGTTCTGCACAAATCTCTGCAGCTCACCGTCGCATGGCTCACACGTAGTTCAACAAGGAGGACCTAACTGTACTGCCTCGTTCATGCGACAACCGAAGCCAATCGTTCGTCTTGAACGCGAGATGGTTAACGGCTTCCAGCGTCAGGTGGCTAACATATATAAGGGAACGTCTGGCCACTTGTCTTCTTAGAACCGAAGCTCTCAAATGACAGACTCACAGCGGAAACAGCTCGATTTTCAGCACAACAGTTCGAGATAGGTGGTCTGATTTTGCGTATCATAAAGAACGGCTCTGCAAACATCTTCTCCTGCGTGCAACCGAGGGCGAAAGGCAGCACGCTGCAAAGGAAGCATCTGGCTCGAGCTCAGTCCTAGTAACCCTCAGCTGATTGTAGCCCCGATTGACCGCCAAGACGTGCTGCTCTTCTTACCGCCTACAGCAGATCAACACCAGAACTGCTTTGACTGTTTCCTCAAAAAGCTATCTACAGACCTGGACCTCGCTTGAAAGGTGCTCCTGAGAGGCGCATGTCAGCAGAAGAAGAGAGGGCACGCCTCACCTCCTTGATCTCGATCCGTATCTTCCCCTCGAACTCCTTTCCCCTCCCGAGCTCGGCCATGTCCCGTAGGAAAGCTTCCCGCTCCTGGATCTCATCCATAACTAAAACATAAGATAAAGGATTAACCCCTCAGAAAGGAGAATCTGCTCTGATGCTTGAAGACACCACCTTCGTGTAAGCGATTGAGACCAGGGTAGAAGAAACAATCTGGGTTCGATCAGCCTTTTGAGGGGACGAGTCTGGCCAAGTGTCCTAAGCATATGAGAAACCGTGACAAACTCGTTTAAAAGGCCTATGAATATGGACTCGATCGTCATCACTCCTCTGCGAAAGATGTTGCGGGGAGTGTGGCCCTGAGGCGTCCACACTCGATGGGACCCTTGGTCGCTGCAACGAAAAGTCTTTCTCTGACGACGACACGATGTGATCAAAATGTGTAGAGCCACAGTTGCTTGAACAACGACAAAAGGCTATGTCTGAGGGTCTCTCAGAAAAGGAGCAAAGATAAGAGGCACGGACGGTTGAGAGTCGAATGGATCAGACGCCCCGGTCAGTTCGCAGGCAGCACGAGTCAGGCCCTGTCTTTCTGCCCCAACGCCCCCAGAGCAGCTGAGGAAAGCGGCGTTGGAAACTCACTTTCTTGGAACAGGGCCTCCTTCTCTTCCACGCTCCCGCGTCGTGGAGGAGGCGGCCTGACTGGAGCCGGTGCATCTAGCGTATCCTGCAGCAGTTCACCAGGAAAGCTGAGAATCGCAGCAGGACTTTGTAAGGTAAATGCCTCTCAGAAATCAAGAGACGAGGCCTGCTCAGAAGGAAGGCCCGAGTAACTATATTTCCCTACAAAGTTGTTTAGACGAGTACAACTCGAAGAGTAGGGAATGGACCACAGCGAGGGGCATAACGATGCAGAAGAAGCTGATGTCATTGCTGATTTGATCCTTCCGCTTTCGTTCCACATCTTTCAATCCGCTTCACAAACGAGTTTCATAATATCCTCACCTCTGAAAGCTTCCCGTTGAACTCAAACATTCGCTGCAATCTCAGCTTCTCGGCGTCATCAAGCAGCGGACCCTTTGGCCTCGGCAGGACGATCGGATTTGCTGCCCGGTCTAGTTCCTGCTCCAGCTTGATTGTCTCTGCCTGCTTCCTTCCGGGGGGCGGCAACACCTTGGGGGCGACCTGTTTCTTGACCCCCACCTTGGGGACCCTGACAACGGGTTTCTGGAAAGAAGAAAGGGACCACTTAGCAATGGCCACAATGAAGCTGCTCTAAAGTGGTCCAGATTGCGAAGGCTCGACACTGTCAGCTTTGGATTGATTCTGATCTGGGGTATTTTGGGGCGTACAAAGGGGCACGAAGTTGGAGAGGACCGGACTCCTCGTCACTGTGCAAACAACTTAGAGCTGCATATACTGGGGGATGAAAAGGTGCCACCACAGCGCAACCCCAGACAACATGTGAACAAGGCATGTCTAACTGTTCTTGCTCTTGGCTTGGAAGTTGCAGCTATCTCATGTGGATAGGTCTTTAATCTACAAGGAGCGTTGCAGAAAGCGTTGATTTTGGGGTTCGAGATGGCAACAAGCAACTAGGCATGACTACGCACCTTTGCTATCGGTGCAGCAGCTTCATTCTCCTTGCCTGCAGAACACATTCAGGCTCTTGTAAGTTCCACAGGGGTTGCACAATGACATCCAAACTTTCTGGCCCGAAAGCTCCAAGCTTCAGCATTGTTTGGGCGCCTGTACAATCCTCACGCAGAGGAAGCTGCTTGGCCCTCAACGCAAACCAATTGCCACAGTCAAAAAGGCTGGCCTCTGCTTTCAAAGTGCAAGCTTCTCCATGCACTGTCAGCTCCATTATCTTCATTGCGGATCCTTGGTGCATTTGTGTGGCATGCATGGCATTGTGCTTCTTGCGATGGGTGTGCCTCAACCGCCCGTTGTCATCAACGAATTGCACGCAGCGGGTGAATGAGCAGATCAGCTGGTGCGGTTCCATTCACAAACGATCTGAAGACGATGCACTTTCTTGGCATACTGTGACGTATCAGCACAGATCTCTCTGAATCCTGAAAGCTTTAAACACAACAAGACCCCTCACCCGACAATCCCGGGGTCAGCCTGCCATCCGCAATCGCAGCCGCACGCTTCTCGATCGAAACCCTATTTCTGTCGCTGTACTTGTTGCCCGCCTTCTTCCCTGACAAGTCACCATTGTACAATGCAAACAGGGCGCGCCCTACCAAGGTGCTCCGGTCTACCATCTGCCAGGCGGCCACGAGGGCGGCGCCGTCGTCTTCCATTGTACTTAAATCACAGTGTGGCAGCCATCAAAGAAACGGAAGCATCAGGGCGAGAAGATGAGGGCCCCCATGACTCACCTACATTCTGAACGTTCTTACTGCAGTTGGTCTGATCCATTTTGCCTAAGGTGCAGAAGGTGAAGTTGCGGCGGCCCAGTGCAGAAACAGCCGAACGGTAACCCTAATTTGCGTTACACACCACCGCGTGTACTGATCGAGCAGCAGTGCCGGAGATGCCCGAAATTCGTGTGTAACGCCTGCCAACTGGACCGGAAGCTAGAGCGGGGATATAGCTGCAGATCTGACGCTCGAGAGCGTAGAGCGTAAGGAAGCGTAGGGAACTAGTGTAAGATATTCTGGCATACATGAAAAATTTCTGTGTTCAGGAACAGAATGCTTCATGTCAATCACTGAGTTATTTCAAGGGCTGTTTTGTTTATCGATATCTCACTTGATCGAACCGCCAGCTCCAGTCATGCAGCTTGCAATTCGACTGACTAGTGCCTTGCCCTGTCCGTGTTCATCAGTTGCAGGTGACCATTCAAAAGTTAGCTACTGAATATATAATATGGTAAGCAAATCGCATCGACCATTGATATATTTCATTATTTCCTCAAATGTTGGTGCAAGCTGGCAAGCGCCCGGACCCTCAGCGGTGTGTCATACCTCTTTACTTAATGCAGCCGTGCCCCATGCATTCACCGACCCTTCGATGGGGCTCTCGACCTCCTTCCGTTCCATAGACTGCCCAGGTCGCTTTTCATGTGTCAATTAAAGGGTCATGCTGATGATAGTTATTCAGCGCGAAGCGAAGTATTGCATGCAGTTGAAGGATGTAATGGATTGATGCATCTCGGTTCACTACAATATTGGAGCTCTATTGGAGCCAGCTGCACGTACACTGAAGCACAGTCCAGCGCTACTAAACGCAAACTATTCGAATCCGACCGACCTGCATTTTGAGGGAAAGAGAATGAGAGAACGTTTTACAGATAATCAGGCTCGTATTTGAGTCATGCCCGGCATACAACACCGTGAGAGAGTAAGTTGCGAGATTATTTGATGGAAGCAGTAATCACACAGATTTTCATTCGAGGCAAAAGCTCTTGAAACTGAGAGTTCCAGACGTCCATCTTCTGACGTTGGAAAGCAGACATGGGCGACGCATTTCTGTGTTGTCCGCCAATGGATGCGATTGCGAAGGGTTGCGGCAACTTTTAGTACCAAGGCCCACCTATTCCTTCAGACACTGTCTAACAATCCCAGCAAACCAGAGACTGAGTGGTAATCACAAGGGACTAACTTCCGTCCTAAGCCAATGACTGGTACTGTGAACCGCTGCTTCTAAGAAGTATGCTGGGTTCGATTCCTACAACCAGTTCTCGAGTATCACTTGTTGCCTCTGTTTTTCCTAGCTCACTAACTGTACAGCCACTCAGCTTTGTACAAACATTTCTGTAAAGTACGTTCAACGGTGAGAGGGACTCCACTCTATATACAAGTTGAAGTCGTCTCGATATACACAGTACACCCCGAGTTTTCGTTGGCTTACATCGCCACCAAGGGGCACGCGTATCTCTGATCTCAAGTCCTAAATCTCGATCACATTACACTTTGGCTCACACGGGCGCCGAAATCACCCCAGAACTCACAAATGCTCCTGACGAAATCAAGTGCTGTTTGCTTGTCCGCACTTCAAGCAATTTGCCAATCCATCTTCTCCATCTTGGGACAAAGCAACCGGACCCCTTCGCTCATCCCCTCCGCGCCTTCCGCAACGACCCACCCCCTCAAGCATCTCATTTCTGTGGACACAACCGTTGCAGACTCCACCCTCAGATCCGAAAACACTTGCAATTCCCGGAGCTTCGGACACGTGACGTCGAGGTTCAGAACTGGACAGAGGGACGTCAGCCGGACGTTATCTTCCTTGACTTTGAGGGAAGGGCTCGTGAAGCGCGAGCTGAGTCCCCGGGGGAATTCACCATGTGACGGGATTTTGCTGGTCAGACGTGACAGAAACGGTTCTTCGTCCGCGAACGAACTTCCCTTTCCGACGCTTCTGTTCGACGAACCGACCTCTGAAGCACGTGTTGCTGTCTCGGACGCTTTCGTGCACGGTGCGGACGTCCGTTGAGTCTCGGGCCCATCCACTGGAGTCGGGTTCGCAGCTTCCGGCGAGGCGATGAGGGAAGCTTCCTTCCTGTAGGCAAAGAACATCAGGCTCAGAAACTGTGGTGATCGAAACGAGTCTGTCGGAAGGCGAGCCAGGCGTCTAATTTTCTTTGAAAATACTTCCAAGCCGCAAGTCCTGGTCGTTGTCGTTCAAAAGAGCTGTCCTTCATTGAAGAAGTACTAGACGAGAAAAACGGGGTCGCATTTTGGCCCCTCTTGCATTTTTCAAGACACATTGCCTTTTGTTTGGCGAGTGATTGCTGAGTGGTCCGCAAGCAGCCCCTATTAAACCCCGCTTACAAGAGACCTCGTTCAAAAAGAAAGCAACAGAAACCGAAAGAGGAAACATTGAAGCCTACGGGCGCCACGCAATAGAACGGCTTGGACTCTAGCGACAGGCCGGCGTCAGCAGAATCCAACGTGGCTTCCTTTCACCGCAAACATGCCGGTTTCAACGCCAGTATAGCACGAAGGCACCGCAACCGGGTCAAAGCCTAAGGACAGGAAAGACGATCTTTCCGTCGCCAAATCCTGAACCCACCTTCACTTCATTTTTTCTCAATCGACGGCCGAGGATGCTGCATGCTTTGCTTTTTCCACCTCCTCATTTTAAGGGAATAGCCGAGGCCACAGAATCCTTTTCTACGTTATCTGGTCTCTGGCAGACTGCAGCTGAAGCTTGAAACTTTCTCTCACCCTTCAGTCTCTTCGAAATCGGCGGCCGCATATCTGAGCGCGAGATCGCCCGCCCCCGAGTCCCACGAGCCGCGCATTCTGGGCTCTTCCTCAAACGCCGACGAGGCGTTGCACCAGTCCCTGCCGGCGCTCAGACCGAACCGGCGCTGAAATTCTTTTGAAGGTTGCGCCCCGGTCCAGACCTTGCACAAAAAGCCACGACCGTTAGGAATCTGTCGAGAACGTTAACATGCCCTGAAAGGAGCGCGGCAAATAGGGACCAGTCACACACGACGTGGTGCTTACGAGCAGCAGAAGTTCAGCACTTCCGTATGCGTCAGAAACTGGAAGCCCGGATCTGCGTGGTGGCACCATATAGGTTTCCTTCAATCAAACGAGAGCGTCCCAGGCAAAGACCAAGAGCGGAAGTTCAGAAGTACAGGGCGACTCGTGTCCAGCCCTTGTTTGATCCCGTGATTCAGCAAGAAGCTCCCCAAGAGAAGGAGTCTTCCGCCTTGAAAAAGGCTCTCAAGCCTTGCTTTCAAGAATGGAAGTTGAAAGCATCTAGAAGCTCGCTAAGTAGACGTTCTATGAGCTGAAAAGAGCACGCGACCCAAGTCTTTTGTCCGGGCACCACTTACCTGGATGTGCGCCTCCCGGAGACTTGGATATTCCTCCCCCAGCTCAATGCAATACTCCTCCACCACGCTCTGTTCGGCCGTCTCCTCCTTCCCCTCACTCCCTCTCTCCCGCCCCCCCCCTCCGCTCCCTCCTTCGCCTCCCCCCCCCTCGTCAACTTTCTCCTTGCCTTTCGTAGACTTTGTAGAAGCCGGGTAAAATTCGTTGACTATCCGCAGCCCCCCGCCAGTTTCGCCTCCACTTGACCCCTGGTCCGGATATTGCTTAGGTAAACCCAAACGAGTGCCGCACGGCACGAAGAATATTCTCAAGCTTTGGAGGGTGCCCGCTGCCAGAGGCGCCTTTCTCTTTACGTCTGGATCGATTTGCGCGGGGGGGTCCATGTGCAGGCCCCCGGCTACCACCAGGGTTTCGAGGCTGGGGCAGCCCGCCTGTCAGAAGAAGGATCGAGCTGTCAGAGAGTGTGCACTTGAGATCCTCCACACTTGGAAGCCGTGGCCGCAATCTTTTGATACGTGAGAGTTCAAAGAGGCTTTCTTGCGAGGCGTGTACTCATACAGCAGGTATAAAGGTGAGACAACAGCACCCCGGATATCACTCCGTAGAATTCGAGCGCTACCCAGCTGGGCAAGCACTGAACGGTAAGGATCGCGATGAGCTTCACTCAACACAGTTTACAACTCATAAGAAGCGGTCCAAATCTAATTCGCTGCTCTGCAGCCAGGCCTTGCAAAATAGGAAGGCTTCGGGGAATCCCGTGAAAATGATGCACAGTCCTCTCAAACTACCCGCCTAGGCTCTTCGTTTGAAAGGAGGGTGCGCCATCAAAACGATCAGATTGAGAGGTTAGAGGTGTCTTCACAAGACACTCACCCCTAATGCGCGCAGGGATGGTGGTACCACGTGGAGGTGCAACTCTCTCAGCTGGGGGCACTGGATGGTGCACACCTCGGGGGTTGCCAGGGGCCGCACCGCGTGCACCTTAAACCGTTGCAAAGTCTCCGAACGGACGTTGACGCTGCGCAGTCTGGTCTGCGGAAGAAAGATATGGTCGAATTTAGAGAACCCACTTGAATCCAGTCGTTCGATTCAAGAGCTATCGAAGAGGAGCGGGGAGCCTTGTCTTTCCTGGAATTTTCTACAGTCTCCAGTGATTCTGTTCTTGGATTCTCAACGGACCGCATCGTCTGGAGCTTGGACTTCCAAACGTCAATTGCCGTGCAGCCTCGCCGGCAAAATAAGTGTAGGCTTCGACTTTCGTCCCGACCCTGATTGCTACTTTGCTCTGTTTCTTTGGGGCCCAGATTCTATTTCGTGTTATTTGCAGTCCTTTAAGCAATGAAGTCACGAACACGTGACCCGGCTCCCTTGCACAGATATCAAGCCTTCAAGAAACGGATGCCTGTCAGTACCATCATGACACGTCGGACTGTTTTGCGATCGTACCTCGACACAAACTCGCGCATCCAGTTGTGGCAGCGAGACTGAAGCGGCTTGGAAGATACGTAAAACGCTTCGGGCTTTGAAATCAACCGTCTTTGGCAAAGCACAAAGGACACGAGGAACAGAGAAGACCACCCCTACACAGTCTGGCCGGATCCACAGTTTGACCCGTTGACTGTGCTCACACGAATCTCATTTGAGCTCTGAAATCCTAAGGTCTTGCAACTTCGACTGGTCGTTCAAGAAACTTAGATGGAAACGTTACCTTCGGAAGCACCAGTTGAAGGCTCTTGAGCGCGGGGAAAGTCGCCCGATCCACATGCACCGCAGTTCCCAAATATGCAGGCAGCTGCAGCTTTTGGAGCCGGGGACACTCCGCCCCAAATTGCAGGGACGTCACACCGAAGGGCAGCCGGAGCTTCTGCACGGGGGGAAGGAGGTCTGTTTGTGGGCGCAGTGTCTACGTGTGTGAAAGGGTTGTACTTGGTGATTTTTCTGATCCAGAAAGCGTCGATTCTGATCATTCGGGGTGTTCGAAGGAGCATGATTGGCCGAAACACTCGCTCGTCGGGACTCAAATCAGTGAGTATTCATCGTCAATCTCCACAGGAACTGACATATGCTTTCAACTCAACGCTGACTCTGCCTCGGAATGTATGAAAATGTTCAGATCGACCGTCAAATAGGAAGGCAAAAAAGAGTCCCTGAGTGCCAAAACATTGCACAGAAGCTGGTCAACAAGCTCGCTGAATGGACACAATACGAAATCGTACACAGAGACAGTCGACGATAGCGTTGGTGGAACTGAATTGCAGGCTCGAAGTCTCAAGGCAAGCAAGAGAGCCCTCTTCCAAATGGCAGCACGATATATTGGCTGCATGGATACGATTGGCTGTCTTTAGCACCAACCCAATACCATCAGCGGCTCCTTCACTGGCGGCTCTCTTAGGCGGCGTCGTCTGAACATGCGCTTATCGACACAAGTTATGAGCAGGAGCCTGCCTCTAAGAAGTCCGTCGCCAGCAGACGCCGCACACTTTCCGGGGAGCAAATGTTGATGCGATGCTGAACGCTGCTTTCCAGCCGCGCTGACGTCATGTTGACGTCACGTGATGACGTCAAGACTCACCGACACGTGCCCCAAGGCCAGCCTGAGCTGCGCCACGTGCAGCGGCGCGTTCACGACGTTTTTGATTTTGAGCCTGACCAGCCGGGGAGTGGACACGTGCACGCGCGCGAGCTCTGCTGACATGATGATGACGTCTAGCTCGGCCAGGCTCGCGCTTTCGAGAACGAGCGCGTCGCAGCCTTTGTCGCACAGGACTTGCAGCTCGCGCAGCTTCTTGAGCGCGCTCAGCGGCTCCAGGTCCTGCATGGCGGAAAAGATTGGCGATCTGCGCAACATCACAAATTTACAGGTTTCATCACGAAATAGGGTCTCGCTTTCAAGCTCACGGAGTAAAGGGCCGGAATAACTCAAGTATCTGATCATTCCCGTGAAGCGTCAGTGTCCAGCAGAATAGATCTGTTTACGTCTAGATTACCGGGCTATGCATCTGATAATTCAAGCTGACCGCAGAAGAGGTTCCAGCACCTCGTTACGCCTCCGCTTTGACCGCACACACATTGAAACAGAAAAAGCCAGGACGCGTGGCATGTCCTGGCAGACGGATTTTCAAGACGTGTCCGTTTCCGTACCTCGCCAGCCTTGATAGATATCATGAGCTTCTCGATGTCAGCCGCGGCCCCGAGCGCTGACGTCAAACCCGCGGTTCCGGTCAAATCCACGTGGCGCAAACGCGGCGCCCATATCGCCGAAACGAACGGTACGTCCGCCTGCCGACGGGACCCAAAGCGTTGGACCCCCCGAACGTTTATATCTTCCAGCGCGGCGCAGGAAATTGCCAGATGCTTCCGACCGTCTAGGGGTTCCTTCAGGGCGCCGTAATATGCGGTGACCGCCCGGACGGTCGGGTGTTCGATGTTGAAGAACTGTGCGGCCGAGAACTGGAATCCAAGGCGCGCGGAAACAAGAGCGGGGAAGCCGCCGGACAGGACGAAGTCCGGTTCGGACAGAGCGCGGAGTTCGAGCGTCCGAAGGGCGAGGAGGCGAGTGCCGGCTTCAGACAGCGCCGCGCCGCTGATTGGAAAGCCCAGGTGGAGCTCCTGCAATGAAAACGTTCCGTAGTTTTGCTTTTGATGTTGATGAAGATTCCGCTCTTTTTTGCGAAAAGATTGACGCATGATTTTGAACTCAATCAAGAGCGTGCTTGTTGGATTATGAATCCTGTGAGGGCCCGACCTGCAAGAGAGACCCTTCGGAATGACGCGACTCGAAGGAGAAGTTTCAAACGCATGACACGGACGCTTTCTGTATTGAGATCACAAGGACTGTCGTGGCAGTGGCACCTCTTTCTGTGCATCCCTCTATTGCCCCCAAATTGACGTGACGACGGTCAAAGAGCCGATATCGCTCAGATCCTTCCAGTACCAGTCCGAAAGCTGGAAAATGACGCTCGCGCTGCTGACCAGTTTGGTGCCAATGACCTAAGCACAGCACGCAGTGTAACTTTTCACGCACCTTCAGGGCTGGGCAGTGAAGCTGCAAGTAGCTTGCTTGCGAACGCTTCCAAGCCACACCTTGCCCTTCTTCTTCGTTGGAATCGAGTACTCCAACCATAAGAGCTGGGGTGTCCAATTCGCCTTCGTTGTCCAGTGGCAGGACGCTAAGCCTGAACGAGACAACGACCCTCGTTGAAAGATGACCATCCCAGATTACGTTTGTGCGTCGAACGCGGAACCACATTCGCATTGCTTGTTGACAATCGTCTTTACACGATCATCTATACAAAGCTGATTGATCTCCTTCTCGGAAACATCTGCCGGCCCAAATGTGGAAGAAACCCATGCTTCGGAAAAACTTAAAATTCCGGTTCGAGGAGGGATTGGCATCATTATCAAACGTAGCAAATTGCCAGGAACGTGACTGAGGGCGGCTCAACGGCTGTGTTTGCGTAGATCTGATGGGGGACTTGAATGTTCTTCTTTTGAAAGCCGCTGCTTCGTGGGCTTTACTGACGGGCCAGTTGAAGGTGATGTGGTGGGCAGCGTTTGACCCGTTTCCCGACTCGGCAGAGATTCAAAATCAGAGGTTGATATTCACAGAGAGAGGTCAGCGTTTACCAAGCTCGGTTTGTGGCTGGTTAAGAACCCTTCTACCAAACGAACGTGGTCCATGTCTTGTTCAATGCCCTTCAATCAGTCGGGGGTAAGGGCGAAAGCTTCGTGCATTTCTGCTGCATTCAAGCGCTTCTGGTGGGCACTTTCGAAATGCATTCAATTGTCGACCAGACTGCGAAACAGTCTGGTTTCGAGCTTGTCGATAAGGACAGTTGTCAGAATCGTGGGGACGAGTTTTAGTGGGCTCAGGCATACACTTATCGCTTAACGGTCCCCATCTGTTTTGGTGGTCAGATGCTGCCACGTGTCGTCCTCACGATCACTCGGGAGGACGACGGACTCGCTATGCAACTGATTGCCATGTCTTAGGACCTAGCCTTTCTCGAACACCGAAACCACCTGACCCCTAAACCGCCACGACCAAAGACACATGCAACCCATCTCTTCCTCTGACACGACCGATCGGGATAAGTAGCTGACACGACCTATCGAACTCATTGACAAAAGCCTTCGAATCCACCGACAAAACCCATCGAACTCACCGACAGGACGCATCGAATGCCCCACAAACCCCTCAAAGACACTGACAACAACCCATCAACTTCGCTGGCACAGTCTCTCCAATCCGACGACGCGACCCATCGGTATCTTCGCGACAAAACACACTGCCAACGGAATTCATCGAGAATGACGACACGACCCACTAAAACCACCTTCGAAGCCAACGAACTACCTGTGCGCTCTCGTCAGCACCAGCCGCCTGAGCCTTGGCATGTCGAACGCGCAGCTCCGGGGGTAGATAAACCCGTACATCTGTACCGTTTCGAGGGTCTTCGACAGGCAGACCCGGCTTTGAACCACGCGCGCGTCGACGTGGCCGCCCGAGGCGCAGGACGACAGCGCCAGGTGGCGAAGCGCCGGGAAGTGACACGTTATCGCGTTGATCGTGTCAGTGCCTGCGCGGTGGAGAGGCGGGATGACGTCAGCGGGGAGATTTATTGTGAACGTAAGGAAGGAAACGACCGACGCCCGCACGCCAAAAAAGGGCCTTTGAACGGCGTTCTAGTCACAGGTCTATTCGGAAGTCGAGTACTGAGAACTGAGGGCGTCTGAGTCGAATTTTAGTCGCAGGTTCTCAATGCTCAAGGTATTCGATGTTACTGACATGTTCATCTTTTGACAAGTGTAACGTCTACCCTATCAGTCCAAGGGACATATCAGCACGAAAGAACGGTCCATATGAAGCTCTTGAACTCTCAGAAGCGGCAGAAGCTTCTTCCAAACGTGGGCGACCCTTCAGACACAGATCCCGAGAAAGAGATCCAACCCACCATCTTCATCCAGGTTAGAAGCCCGCAAACACGCAGTTTAGACGGGTCCACGCATGGGTCCACTCACAGTGCGCCGCGTCGGCCAGCCCATGTAGCGTCAGGCTCTGCAGGCCCTCGTGCCGCCACGCCCCTTCAAAGTGCGCGAGCATCGCATACGGTAACTCTCGTACCACCCGGCGGTTGCGCAACAACCGGCGCACGGAGCCGCAGAAGTTCTCTGTGGGGGCCACCCGCTCCTGCGTTCCTGACCCCCCCGCCAACGACTCCCCGTCATTCTCGTCCAACGCAAGTCCTTCGTAGCCTCCGCCTTGAGGAGCGCCGTCCGCGTTCCCCCCTCCCCCCGAAAGCACGTTTTGCACTTGCAGTGGGCCAAGTATTGCCGAGCTCGGTTCCAAGTCTGCAGAAACCTCATCAATCACAAACAATCCGGAATTGGGGTCTTCACAGTCGAGCCCTTCGAATTCCGTGTAGTCACTGTCGCAGTCCGACGTGTCTGAGGGCTCACATACGTCGTCGTCCGAGTCGCAGTCCGACGGTAGTTTGACCAGCCCGGGAGGGCTGTCGGGGTGCAGTCGGAGGCGCAAAGTTTCAAGGGCAGGGCATGTGTTGGCGACGGCGGCTATAAACGCTCCCAGTACACTGCAGGAAGAATGACAAGAGATGTGTTTGTTTTCAACCAACAATGATAGAGCGATTGACGATGCCAAGCAGGGATTCATCTCAAAATGGCGACTGCCCACATCCACCAAAAACCCTCCCATGTCAAAGTGCCCCTGGTCAGACGCTCCAATCACGTTGTATGATACGACAAGAATGTGGACAGTTATAGAATAATCTAGATTGATATACAGGAAGATGCTTCTGAGCTCAGTCCCTTATCGCATGGCTCCTGCTTTATGAAAGCAAGGCTTGAATAAACCTGTGCCAATGGCTGCGGTTGTCCTTTTGGATTATAACTCCAACTAAAGATGGATCTTAAGGGGACCATGAAGCCTCTGAGCACCTTCTTCAGAGAGACTATTGCAAGCGTTTAGACACAAGCGCCTTCTAACCAATAAGAGTAGTGACAAAATAAACAGATACATTGTGTGAAGGGGCTCCAAGATGCCGATGCAGATTGTTGTTCTGAAGGTTGACAAAAGTGGTCTCTGAAGCAGACAAAAGTGGTCTCCGAAGCAGTCACTCAAAGGCAAATTGTCTGTAGATGCATCAGCAACTCTTCATTAACACCCTCACATGTTATTCTAAGTAATGGATATTGATTAAGGGATCAAGCGTACCTGACAGAGCTCCTCTTGCGCACAAACTTCAGCTGTATCTCGCGCAGGTCCTTTTGCAGCAGCTGCGCAATGCCAGGCAGATCTGCCACTCGCACGCCCCTCCACTCCAGCGCCCCCAAACTAGTTGGCAGCTCCCCCACTTCTTCCATTGCCTCCAAGCACCCTGCACACTTGTTCCCCGCACTCTCATCCATTCGCAGGACCAATGCATTTTTTAAGAGCCCTGGCAGTCTTTTCATAAGACCCTTGAGCTCAACCGAGCTTTGAGGCTCCCTTCGAGCTGAAGAAGAGCTCTGATGATCGCTGGATTGCGGGGGCACTTTTGTGTAGAAACGTGCGGTGTTGTTGACATTGGGGACTTGCAGCGCGATGCTCTTAAAGCGGCGGCTGACGAAGGAGGCGCGCAAGAGGTCCTTGGCGCCTAGCGAGCTGAAGATGGACACCCACTGTTGGTCCGGCAAGGCATCGCACCCGCTACTGGTCTCCATTCTGGCGACGCGGAAGCTTGCATTAAAGGATGCGCGCGGGTTTGAGCCGAGCTTAGCTGCAATTGCGTTGGAGGCCTGCCAGCTGTTACATGATCAGACGTTGCCTTGAACCGCGGAGCAGCAACGATTTGCAGCCTTCAGATGGCGGATCAGGCCAAACGCGGTGATGCTGCTGTGAACCAGACGCAGGCTCCGCATCACGCTAGCTGTCACTCGTTTCCCATTGGGCGGGCAATGCACCTGCTCAGTGCTGGAACACGACAGTAATGTACATAGTGAAACACCCGCTTCAGCTTTCAAGCGGATCAACGAAACATGCCCATGAGCCAGAACACACAGAATGCTCTGAAAGTGGACATTGAAAAGCGCGCCATGTACCTATGTATTGCGTCGACCGCAGATTAGGCTGCCAGGGTGGCAGTTGACCCTAGGTTTTACTGCTATGTTAGGTCTCAACCCAGCTTAACACCGCAAATCCCGTTATATATAGAATGCCACGTGGGCAGGATCTGGGGTCCTGCTTGCCACCCGTGGCACACGTGGGCTGTTACCCAATCGACTTGCGCAGTCTTGCGGGGTCTCGGGGGATCATCCGGAGGAGCACCTGCGGGCTTCAATTAGTTCAATGATGGACACAATCCTAGCCCGAGCTTATCGCTTGCATCATGCATGATGATGAGATATGCCGCCAGCTGCAATAGATTATTGTTGTATCAAGTTGCAGCCGCCAGCTTGACAAGCCCTTAGCCAGGTCTCTTGTAGTCCAGGCTTTGAGCCAATCACAGCCCCCCGCCATCTGCCAGAACGACAAGTCTGCATGCAATTTGCCAGGGGAAGCGCCCAGTTGTGACGTACCGTATCCAGACAGCCAACAGATTCGCCTCGCTAGCAAGGCGGCGGATAACTAAAACCTGCATGGCTGGCCAGCGATCTCCGTTCTGTGAGTCTGCCAACAGCTAGCCCCACATTGCCAGCTGCTCGCCAGCTGCCCGCCAGCGTCGTCTTCCTTGTAAGCAGAGTTACCAAGCGATGGGACATTCTGAAGTGTGGGTTGCAGTGCTGCAACTATCACACAAGTGGAATGTCGAAGCCGATTGCCATTCAAGGAGCCCCATGATGCTTCTATCAGCTGGCCACAAAAGGAACTTTAATGATCAGGAAATCTGTCATGAGTCAGTCTGACCTGATCCGATCCAATCCAGTTTTGAATGGCCTTGAATGCATGTGGAATAGTGCACCTCCACAGCTGCTGTCCAATAGCACACGAGCTATATACCCAGATTCATTGGTAGCGTTGTAAGGGCTCAGCGCATTCCAACTCCAGGCAGCCCAGCTTGAAGTTCCGTTCTCTTCATTCCAAGACTTTTGGCGGATTCTTTTCACTGCAGATCTCAGCGGGTGCATCGAGCTCAAGCGCTTGGAAACTCAGGACTTCTGCAATCTTGTGCATGCACCTGGAGCGCTTCGAAGTTAGCTGAGAGCGCTACTGTGACGTCAGCTCCAAAATGGCTCCCTCCAGCAACCGCATCCTATTCAAGGCCACGGCCGCAGAGTTCCTCGGCACTGCGCTGTTTCTCTTCACAACCATCAGCGCCGTAACCAGTTATGGAGCAGGAGTTTTGGCGCCCATTGGCGTAGCGGCTGTGTTTGGCTTAACCATCTTCGTTCTGGAAATTGGTTTGGGAGAAACCTGTGGCGGGCACTTTAACCCTGCGGTCAGCCTCGGGGTTTTCATCAACGGGGGGATGGGGTACCTGCAGTTCATTGCCTACTGGTTAGCCCAGGTTTTGGGAGCGATCACTGGAGCATGCTTTGCCCGACTGTGTGTGGGAGACCCGGTGTATGAGGTCAGCACACGGTTGCTTCTCGTCGCATCGCATCTTTGCTGAATCAGATTGTCACGCAAAGTGACAGCATAAGAATCGTGTCATGTAGAGCATGGGGCACTTATTTCTCTTGCAGGTTCAACGTTGTGGCCCCATTGTGCAGGTTTCTGTGTTCCTTAGGTGTCTGGCCCTTTCTTCTTAAAAGTTCTAAATATCACTGAATTGTCTTGTCAATGTCTCTACATCTGTAACCTGCATTGCTCATACTGGGCATCTGAATGTCTGATTGCTGTGCCCTGGTTGCTCATTGGGTGCTTTGGAGCTGCCAACATGGGCACTCAATCTTTGGCGTTCATGAATCCTTCCAAATTTCTGGCAAAAGGGGGCCGGAGAGCTCACTTCCACTGTTTCAATGGCTGCTGTCATCTCCAAACATAAAAGTTCATACAAGGCAACCCACTATCATCACAATAATTATTGAAATACTCACGGCCTCCCCCGCAGGCCAATGGTCGAGCTATAAACATAGTGGGTACCGGCCACAGCACCGGACGGGCCTTCCTGGCTGAGGTAATCGCGACCGGGTTTCTGGTCCTGGTCGTGTTGCAAACCGCCGGCACAAAACGGAACAAGAAGAACCGACAAGCGCGGGCCTGGGCGCCTCTCGCCATCGGCCTCGTAGTACTCGTGGATCACTTGGCGCTCGTCAGTATTGACGGCTGTTCCATCAATCCGGCAAGAAGTCTGGGGGCCGCGACAGCTGGCTGGAGCAAAACTCATGCGTCCTGGAACCAAATGTGGATTTTTGTTATTGCGCCCCTAGTTGGGGGTGCCGTTGCGGGGCTGTTTAAGAGGGTGGTGATTCCTTGGGGCGATAAGGCGGCGGGGGTCGATGAAGAGGCCGCGCCGGCTTCCGGCGACTCAAAAGTTTGAAGATGGTGGGTTAAGTTAGTTGGGAAAATTTAATCGACGTTGAATACGATACCGAGTCCAAGTCCGCGGGCAGGATCTGCCTTTTACGGTCCACGGCTAAACATTGGCGCATTATATACACAGCACGGATAATTCCTCCACAGGTTATTTATACAGCCAGACACGTGTATAACGGTTCAGTAAGGAGTTTGGATGTTGTCTATATGTATCGGGCCAGAAAGCTCATCTATAACGTTAACGTACATTCGTCCAATTGGTCGCTCAAAACATTCAATTAAGGCACATGCCTTGTTGGGAATATCGTATAACGTTGGCAGCTGCGGGTCAGTTGAATGCGGGCTGAACCCAATCAAGGTAGGCACAGGATCTAATCTGTAATCTGCTCGCGGAGCTTGTGATTACAAGAAATCGACGTAGCTGAAGACACAATCGGAAGCGTTCCAATCAATCAACTGTGGACAACTGCGTTAGTTGGGAGCTTTGTAAAGTATCTGTATGTATGCTCATTCGTTTCACATGTAATCTCAAAGCGAGTCGCTTTCTGAAGGATGTGGAAGCGACAATGCACCGATCGCAGTCTCTTGAACCCCTAGACATTGTAGCTTGACCCGACAAAAGAATCTCCATCTCGAAGTCAACTTATATCGAACGAGATCATTCTTGCTTCGGATGGAGAGATCCACCTGTTGCAGTAAGCTTACGAATGGCCCGGCATATGAAAAGCCAAAATGAATCTGCTTGGCCGCGCGTTGCAATAGCTAAGTTCAGCACATCACACTCGCCAAGCGTTACAGGCGGTCGAGACGTCAGTGCCGGGGCTGGACTTTCGGAGTAACTTTCCGCGCTATTGGCCTGGCCCGAATTGTCTCGTGGTACTTTGCCTACAAAGCTGCGGCCCCAAATACACGTCACCATTGTAGGTCGAGACTAAAAGTGACACTGATGTGAAATATTGAAAGGAAAACAGCTAGAGCACCGACATGCATGCATTCTTGTATATAGTACACGATCTGCATGCGCATGTGCACGACCGATTTGCACATGCGTAGGAATACATTGAGGTACGGCAGATTGATCATGAAGGATATAAATGGAAGTGCGCTAGCCTGAACTCGGAAGGTAAGCCGCCAATTCATGCATGTGAGACATTAACCGTGCTTACTAGTGTATACGAGGCCTACTAGGCTAGGGCCATATCTAGTGATTTCTTGACAATTTATCAAACTTTGCTTCAGTAATTGTAAGCTTTGCATATCGGACGTACTTGCCAAGCAACTTGAAAACAGATTCCACGGGGGCGTTCCGAGCATTATGTGCAAAACTATGTAAAAGCGTGCCAGATATTTCTCCTTAGTTTTATTGAATGCTGTTTAATCGTGCAGACTCCTCAACAATTACGGGCGCTGGAATTTGACAGACTGAGTACAAAAATTCGTGGCGCCAAAACAATACGGACATACTGTTCATTGACAATCTAGCAATCGACAATGAGTATCGACCACTTTGTATCGTCTGTTTAAACCGTGCAAATGCTGCCAGCGTGCCTCGACCTGAATTTTCGAAGATCTTATGAGCTGCAAGAACTGAGTTGTTGCTCTTAAGCTGTACACAAATTTCTATAAAAGGCAGAAATAAGTATTTGTCCCGGGGATGCTTGAAGGAAAATTGCGCAAGCTTTGACTCTACGTCGACAATCAACAAGTGTGCAAGCTTTGACTCTACGACAAGCAGATGCAGCCCGCCGATGTTCCGTTCCGATGTTCCCCCGCTCTAGCGCTTCTGGAAGTTGATGTACCGGAGCGCCCACGTGGCGACGCTGAAGAAGACGACAATGAAGCCCAGCAGGATGGCGACCACCATGCCCAACAACTCGTGCTTGTATCCGAAGTAACTCCTGCAAAGATACAGAATGAAGCGCGCTTTCAACAATATTCCGAGGTATATTACTCGTGCTTCTAGCCAGAGCCACCCCGTGCACAAACGAAGGAAAACGCGCTTGATAATGGTACTTGCAAGGCCAACAATCCGTGCTTGTACCCGAAGTAACTCCTGCATAGATACCGAAGGAAAGCGCGCGTTGACGGTACTTCGAGGCCCACGACTCGTGTTTAACACCAAAGTAACACCCGTCACAGGAGGGGCAAATGAAAATGCTTTCGATGTTTGTGCTTGGCGTCTGCTTGAACCATCTGCAAGCTTTCAAGAAGAGAGAAGGGTCGACAAGGTTCGACCTTCGAGCGTGTTTCCAAAAGAAAAACCTGACGATGACAATGGACAAGCCGAGGCATGCAGCATGTTTGGAGAAGGACTCGTCCGTAAGAGAAATAACCCCGGTTCTGAAAAGGCCGCGTTCGGAATCTCCTGCGGCGCGCAGACCTTACTGCTGAACAGTAGCTTTACCAAGCTTAGGTTCTCTATTCTTCGAGTTCATCAACCTTTCAGAAACTGAGTGACGTACTTGTTCCGGAAGGGTGCTTACAGCGCAAGACGGGGCCTGAGATGAGCCAATCTCGGCACGGTAACGGTATCCGACAAGTTGAAAGAGGGCCTGACGAGAAACGACCGAAGAAGCACCTTGTGCAGGGGCAATCACCGAAGAATTCTCGTCACCTGATACACTGAGACGCATCGAAGCAGAGAGTCCCTGAACGTGAGCTGTTAAGCGAGCTTGGGACACGAAGAGAAACGCGGCCCTACCTGATAAACTCCCTGATCGTGACGGTCGTTCCGTCGGCGTATGTAATCGTCTCATCCGTGATATCGCCAAGCTGAGAGCCAACGATACCGTAGAGAGACCAAGCAATTGGATTGATGTAGTAGATCCAAACCCACCAACCGGGAATGGCCTGCAAGAATGCAAGCACGAGTGCTGAGTGGTTTTGCAACTTGAATCGCGAAACGTGGCAGATAAACTGCGGTTTTGGAGTGAAAGACACGGTCCTTTCGCACCCCAGATGCGCTTGCCTTTGGGCCATCTCCAGACGAGCTATGCGCCAAAAAGGACCCGCGTCCTCACTCGGTTCCGTTCGAACAGACAAAATTGGAAGAGCAGTTGTACGAATGGAGAATGGACCGAATGAATGAGGGACTAAACAATGTTGTGCGACCTCGAGCCCGGTGTAAGACCACGGGGAACGTGCCGGTTCCATAAGCCCATGCAAACGAGGCTTCGTACGGTAACACCCCGGACACTAGTATCGTCTCTTTGCTTATTATCCTGATAAGCAGAATCAGTTCACACCAAGGTGCTCATAGGTTGAGATCCACAGGTTGGCACGAGCATCGGACTATTCCAGACGTAGAACATCGGCCGAAATGCACGTGTGTTGCTCACCGGTAAGGGTGCAGGAGAAGAGGGTCCAGAGAAAGAAAATGCTGCAGACTTTCAAGTTCCTCGAAATGGACACGTGTCGCTCACCCGTTAGGACAAGAGGACCCCGAGAACAAATCCACGAAAAGATCGAAGTGACTGCAGCCAAAATGGACACGTGTCGCTCACCGGTTGGGGGATGAGGAAGCCGGAGAAGAGATTCCAGAGGAAGTAGAAGAGGACGCTGGTGACTTGCGCGAGCTGCACGCTGGGCGTTATGGCGATCGCCATGATTCCGTAGTAGGTGAACAGGAACAGCGTCAGGAACATGAAGAGCAGGTACCACAGGAACTTGGCGGCGGCCCACTCCCAGGACACCAGAGCGTAGGTGACAACGGAGTAAAGAATGGTCTGGACCAAACTGCAGGGCAAAGGAAGGAATAAATCAGTTCAATAAGCGGACCAAGAGAAAGGCCAAGAAACCTCAGTTTTGTGAAGAATGAAGGGCAGGTACCACAGGAAATGGGCGGCGGTCCACTCCCAGGACACCAGTGCGTAGGTGGCGACGGAGTAAAGAATAGTCTGAACCAAACTGCAGATAAAACAGGAGGGAAATGTCGATTTGAAAAGAGGGCAAGAAAGAAGGTCCAGGGAGATCGTGAAGTTGAGAGATACAGTGCAGGAACTTGGCGAAGGCCCACTCCCAGGACACGAGAGCATAGTGGACTACGGAATAAAGGATCGTCTGAACCAAGGTGCAAGGGGGATAACAACATCTGCGTTTAGAAAGTGGACTTGCAGGAACGCCAAGGGACATCAAAAGTATGTGGAAGTCAAGAGCAGATGCCACGGGAATATGGCGGCGGTCCCCTCCGAGAAACCAGGGCGTAGGTGACGACCGAATATAGCATGGTCTGAACCAAACTGTACGGAAAGCGAAAGCAAGCGGGCTTGGAATCTGGTGACTAGGATGAAGACTGAAGGATTGAAATAGATTCTGCCAAGTGTAGAGCAGACACTAGAGGAACTTGGCAGCGTTCCACTCCAGAGAAACGAGGTGACAACGGAGTGAGACATGGTCTAGAACCAAGCTTTCGAGACAGAGGGTAAACGAAAGTAACGAGGTTTGGGAGAGGGGGGCGAGGACTCGGAGAGTATTGCTGACTGCGTCTAGAGTAAGGAGCAAAGTGCGACTCAAAGATACGTCGATTGGGTGTCCATGCTATACGGCATGTCTTCAGAGAGGAGAAGAAATGGCAACAAATTCAGGAGAGACTATCTGAAGCTGGACGAGTCTTCCGACGTTTCAAGGTCCGTCAAAATTCTGCCCGAAGCAACCGTAATTCTCCAGCTGATCAGACCAAGAGCACGTACGTTCCGTCCGCTCGCGAACTCGGACGCATCGTCAGATTCCGGAAGCTATATCAGAGCAGGGCAAAAGCTATGCAGTTCGTTGCTTACCAGTAGGGAAGCTCCACGACGCCCTGGAAGCACGAAGGAAATCGTGTCAGTCATGAAACGAGACCGGTAGCTCACAAGTGCAATCCTGTGCAGCCAATCAAGCAGTAGAAGGAGCCAGCCTGCGAAAAGTCTTTAGATCCGACTATCGGAATCTCTCGATTTGTCAAGTCAGATGCATACGGTAGTGAAGTGACGGGTCCAAGACGTTACAACAAAACCCTTGAGCCATTACGTCTCTAGACGCCTCAGCTCATCGCACAAAAACCGTGTGGCAAAAGGCACAATTCCACGCCCCATGACATTCTCAACTTCAGGCATTCAAGATATCGAACCCGTTTCCCATAGTGGTCCTTTGAATTCGCAAGTCATCAGCAAGACCTCGGCGAGGGGGCGCCGCGAAATGCGTGCGCCACACAAGCCCAAAACCCTGATCCTGAGAATACCCCCTGGAAACCCTAGAAGCTTGAACACTCGCAAAACGCATCTCACCACAGCAAGAGCGTGCGGCAGCGGGGCACCCGCGCCCCAAAAACAAACCCCCAACCCCTAAACCCCATACATAGAAATCCTGTGAATCTATAACCTTATTTAAGACCTAAAACTCCTTGCATTTTACAGCGGCAAGAGCGCACGAGACGCGCACTAAAATTAGCGCGATGCTATTCTTGGAACCCTGATCCTTAGAAATCGTAAACCCCACGAGGCTAGAAATGGATCTTACCGCGGCAAGAGCATACGGCAGAGGCGCGTACATCCCCGCAGGCCGCTCGCGGTAGCTGACCGCGCGCTCGATGGCGATCACGGGCTGCACATTGTTGGCGTTGTTGACGCCCAGCATCAAGACGACGAGGTAGAGCGCGCCCATAACTGCGGAGGGGGTTGAGAAGCATGGTTAAGATGCGGGTTAAGGTCTGATGGTTAACGATCAGGCATGCAGAGTATGCTCAGAAAGGTCGATAGCAACCACGGGCTGCACTCCAATCACAATCCAACGCGTTCTAACCTAATGGATGCAAGAGGACTTGGTGTTCAACTCTCACCGTTGACACGTCCCCAAACCACGAACTGACGCACTCTGACCCAGTTCTCGAAAACAAGAATAATAATTAACCCTCACGGTTAAGCACGTCCTGCTGCGTGCCCCGCTCGGAGCCAAGCCCCAGAAATTCCGTCCCGACTTCGATTACCAGATGAACCCGCACTTTCCGGCTGTCTGAAGGACAACACAATGCGATTCTAACCCGGTTCTTCCAAAGTAAGGTTAGCGGATAACCACTTACTGTTAAGGACGTCCTGCTGCGTGCCCCGCTCGGAGCCGAGGCCTAGGAAGACCGTCCCAATGATGAGCGCGATCACGAGCGTGAAGAAATAGCGTATGGCGTTGTACTCCGGGAAGCGCCAGTACGTTTTGGAGTTCTTCCACACGAGCGCCTCAAACTGCACAGCCCAGCTGCGAGCGTAGACCGTGTCGAACTTGAGGGGCTCGGTGTCGGGGGGAGGGGTGGCCAGCTCGGCGATCAGCGCGGTGGTCTGCCTGCAGGGTTAAGGGGTGGGTTCAGGCACGTGCGAGTTCATGATCTGAGAAACTTTTCTGTTGAAAAAAAATTACAGCCGTCACCAGACCCCCTGGCAGTCCTCAAGAGCCAGATTTGCAAGGGGCAAATCCATTCGCCCATGATGGATGCAAATTTTCCAAAGCGAAGGTGCTTGCCTATTTGATCAAAGATTGTGCTGAAAGCGTGCAGCGTGCAGCAGTGTGAATAAGCCATATACTTTCCACTTGCTGACCGACCTCAGAACCATCTTATCCAACGAAAGCAATTCGTTCGCAACCCCGTACCTCTTGGGTTCAAGGATTACCTCGTATCTTTGAACCCAAACTCTCAGCAGCTCAACCACAGAAGGTTAGCAGCCCAAAACCCCAGAATTCTAGCAGTACAAATTCCAAACCGCTCACTTGAAAAGCGTAGACTCGCGGTAAATCTCCGCAAAGTCGCCAATCTTCTTCTCCATGGCCGGCGTGCTGATCTCCAGCATCCACGTGGACGGATTGTAGCCGTCCTTGATTCCCGGGATGCCGTCGATCTGCGTAAAGTACTCCACCAGGATCGCAGAGTCCTTTCCCAGGGGCCCGCAGTAGACCGTGTGCCCGCCCCGCTTGAGAAGGAGCAGCTCGTCGAAAGTCTCGAAGATGTCAATGCTCGGCTGATGAATACTGTACGGAGACGGGATTGAGAGATCTAAACAAGTACTAGAAAGATGGCTTCTTTGGCATTTATTATCGAAAGGTCATCAAAGTGGTACGAGAGACTGATTTGCAGCTCGTCGAAGGTCTCGAAGATGTCGATGCTGGGTCGGTGAATGCTGTGCAGGGACGAAATAAAACAATCGGAACGGAACGTCAAGTTATCCTGGTACTTTCGTCTCACTTACAAGCTGCAATCGTTGGCTTTTGCTTCGTCAAGCTAACCGGATACCTTCATATGCTGCATTGAGTGGGGGCCAGAGAACGAAATTGGGTAGGTGGGACGAAAGAGTGGCTAGTTGTCCTTACAGGAGATGATCGGAGCAATCCCAAGAATGCCTGTTCTTGCGCAACCGATACAGGGCCAGTCTTGGCAGCGACACTGAAAAGCTGCTAGAGAAAAAGCTGCTCAATGCCGTTAGGAGCAGGTTTGACATGAGCAGCTCATCAGGTGAGCTGTTAAGAGAAGCCCGCCGTCTCACTGGGTCGGAAGATATCGGCTAAGGGAAGAGACGGGGCAGAAAGAGAGGGTATTGGATGATATGCAACTTACGTGCAGACGACGGTCCGTCCAGTGTCCACTGTGTTGCGGACGGCCCTCATGACAATGGCGGCGGCGCGCGCATCCAAACCTGTCAAGAAAGATTCTTAGTCAGATCAGGTCGTTTAGTTTCGGAGCAGAAGCTTGCCACAAGGGCCCAGGCTTCTGTGAACACGCAACAGCGAACAAAATGTTGATAATCTTTCACTGCTTCCGTCAGCAGGACCCACGTATCAGTTCACGTTAACCAGCCCGCAGTCGGTGACTTCCAGCAGAGCAGAGTAGCACTCGGGTTGTCCTCAAAACCGCATGACTTGGATCCAAATCGTAGAGCAGACCTGTTTTCAATGCCGTCACTTGCAAGGAATAGAGTTAAGACGGGGGCCCTTGCGGTGTCACGCAAGCACACTTTTTCAACGTCGGGTTCCGAGGTGCTTCGTATCTGCTGCAGGCTCGCTCATGATGAGTGTAAAAGGTTTAGCGACCAGTTCCTGGCAGGATGAGCCACATAAGCTGCTCTTCTGAAACGGAGTTATCAAAACCCTTTCACTTGACCAATTCTTGCTTACCTGACGTTGGCTCGTCCATGAATATGATGGACGGGTTAGCGACTAACTCCACGGCGATGGTCAACCGCTTCCGCTGCTCCACCGACAGACCACTGATCCCGGGCAGTCCAACCAGGGCGTCCCGGAGGGTGGTTAGCTCAACCAGCTCCATAACCTCGTCCACAAACCTCTGCACGAAAGGACGGGGAGGGCGTGATTCCAGAAGCCAAGCTTGAGGTGCTGGGTGAATTGCCTGTATCTTTAAGGGGAGGTCTATTGACGTTAACGAATGAGTACTCGACATAGAACAAAACACTGTTCAATGCTTTCCGGTCATGTTGGAATATACAAACGCTACTAGCATGCTCTCGATTCCAAGGGTCGAAAGGGCAAATAAATATTTTTGACACAAATTAATTGTGATTGATTAAGAAGCGTCGGCTCGGGAGCACTTGAAAACCCCTTCCCTAAACCCTCAGCGTCTTAACATTCAGAAACTTGAAACCAAAACCTGCTGCTCACCCCGTGCGTCGGCTTCTCGTCCTCCTAAGAATGGCCAAATTTTAAAAGCCCTAGACACACTAAAACCCCCAAACCCCGCGGCTCACCTCGCGCGTCGGCTTGTCGACCTGCGACGGCAGGCGCAGCCAGGCCGAGTAGACGAGCGCCTCACGCACGGTCGCCTGCGGGGAGTGGATGTCAAACTGCTCCACGTAGCCCGACACGCGCGCGAACGTCGCGTGCTCCTTCGGGTGGCCCGAGATGCGGACGTCACCCGTGATGTAACCCCCTGCGGCAAACAGAAAGAGTTCCTTGGCCTTAGGTAAAGCGGGTTTGCAACACAGGTGGGGTTAGGTAGGGGGTTAGGGTGCGTGCAGGTGCGGAGCAGGTGATCATTGGGTTAGGATTATAGTGAAACCCAAAAAGCTTACTGTTCGCTGGGCTAATAATATTCGTCATCCCAAGCACACGAAAGACCGAGTCTCTTTATGAGGACTGAAGCGTCGTTTTTCTGAGACAGGTTCTTATTGGTGCTTGGAAAACGAGCCGGTTATGACGGCGAGCTTCGACACACGCTAGTCCGGCAAAAAGTAGTGATAAGCGAGCACAATCCTGAAGCTGGTGCAAGCACAATGACACAGCGCGGCACAAAAGTCGAGGCTACAAGGAAAACGGTCACCAACGGCCATGAACAACGCTGAGGCGAACACTCTGGAAGCAGCGCAGGCAAAGAGTGCGCACGCGAAACGGACTTTCAGCACAGCCAAGAGAGTCGAAGCGCAAGCTTGATATTGAATCATAGATCGTCGCTCACCTGTTTTCCGCCCTGCCAGCACGTCCATCAGCGTCGTCTTTCCGGCGCCGGACACGCCCATGAGCGCCGTCAGCACTCCGGGGCGGAACGCTCCGCTCACGGAATGGAGCAGCTGCAGCTTGGAGCCCTTGGGCTGGCCGGAATCCGCCGCCATGTCCGCCGGCATGTCGACGGAGTAGCAGACGTCGGAGAACGTCATGACGAGGGGCTCGAATGGCAGGACCATTCCCTTGCGGGCTTCCCCCCCGGAAGCGACAAAACTGTTGCGGTAGTCGAGGTTCGACGGCTGGGGGCGGCCGAGCGAACGTTGGAGGCTTAGAGAGTGGCGGAGGCCGCTGCGGGATGGCTGGGCCAGGGGATCCGCTAGGGGGACCGCGATGGCGACTTCGCCGGTGGCTGGAACGAGAGACGCGAGGATGAGTTGGTTGGCTAACAAGCGCTCATTACGCACGCAGGCAGTGCTCGAAGCTTACGTAGACAGAAAGAACAAGCGTGGAGAAAGCTGGTCGAATCGCCGATCGCTAGGACCACCACGCGGCAAAAGCTAGAGACGCAAGTGAGCGGAAGAGCGGAAGCTAGCGAGCATCATGGTGTGAGCAGACCTCTAAACAAAGACTTCAAAGAAAGAATCCAAGTACTTTCTTCTCGCTTTGTTCCACGCAGTAGCGGGCAGTTCAACACTAAGCATGTGCTACGATCGTGATCAGCATCCCAGCAGATTCTCCGCGACTTGCACCCTTTTTTATCCAGGTATAACCTTTACTGGCGCACTGCATACGTGAACTCACGCACTGTAAAAGTGTACGAGCCTCACCATGAGCCGGAGCGTTTGGAGCCGGTGCGTGTGACCCATTCGCCACGTCACCCATCTCAATGACGGCGTCACTAGCCGACTGCGGCTCGTCCTCTTGAATGGCACTCAGGCTGTGCACCTTGCTCGACTCGTGCTTGCTGCCCTTGCGTCGCTCCAGCACCTGCTCCTCCGGCATGGCGCCGACGGTCTTGCCGAAAGCTGCAGAAAGAGGACAAGAAAAGATTTCAAATTGGCTGTCTTGTTTTGTAGTAGGCTGATTGAGTAGGAAGTTTGGGGCTGTGCATCATCGCGATTTACGCTTGCTGCCCTTGCGCCGCTTCAACACCTGCTCCTCCGGCATGGCGCCAACGGTCTTGCCAAACGCTGCAAAAGTAGGTAGAGCGGATAAATATTGCGGGTAGTAATCCAAGTAAAACAAATCAGAGCCGAGAACCGTAGGAAGGAATGCCTGTCTGATCCCACAATTTTGGGTCTCCATTGCAAGCCAGTATTGTCGGAGTCTCCCTGACGAAGGTTTTCTGATGACCGCGAAAAAAGCGCCGGCAGGGAGGCCGACCTTGGAACTTTGAGGAGCGGGTCTTGGCTCATGACCAAAACATTTGTGTCTCAACTTGTGTCATCCTCAGGCTTCGTGCGGACACCAGGAAACACTTCGCCGCTTGTCACGGAGAGCAACCTTTCCAAAGACCCAAGCAATCCGCTGGCAATCTTTAGCTTTCCGTTCCTGCAAGCATCTGACCTTCCAGCACGCAGTCGACCGTTCTTCTCTGATGCCAAGAGCCACTTTTATCACGAGACCAAGCGAGACTTACGAGAGAAACCACTTTCAACTGATGGTCAAGCGACACTCACAAAACAAGCGACTCACCGGGAATGTTATCAAACGCCAGCACCAGCAGTCCGTTGAAGATCACCGCAAACCCGAGCAGGGTCCCGACGCCGATCCAGACCCAGTTCACATCGGTGTGAAGGCCCCGCTGCAAAAGCACGGCGTCACCCAAAGTAGCGCCGGTACTATTTGAAGTGTTGGGGACATTCCAGCGGTGCGCCTTGAACTCGTTGACGGCGAGCGCGTTCTGGGCGTAGGTCAGCGGAGAGATCCAGTAGGCCCACACCCACCACGGGTGGATGTCCTCTGCGAAACGAGAAGCAATTCTTACTTCCGGTCTTCATTCGATTTTAAGGGAGTTTTTTCTTGATGTCCTCTTCGTTCCGTTTGTCAACAACGACGGCTACGCTCGATCTCGAAAGGACATGTTGAAAAGCTGGAGAACTCTTTGCGAGTGTGCTGAACCGAATCTGGAAAGCAAAGGAAATAAGCGCTGAACCACGCACATGATTGCCAGGATGAACCCCCTGCAGACGATCAGCGCTAGAAAGCAGAACGTAAAGCAGAACGTCTCGCGCAAGGTCGAGGGATCACTCTACTAAATCAAGGAGCGAATGCGGGTTGTAGGAGCAAGGACACGAACCCTTAACAAAGACCCTCTCCGTAGTGGTAAAATGTTCGGATCGTGTCATAACCTTCTGAACTTACGTTTCGCCAGGATGCACCCCCCGCAGACGAGCAGCACCAGGAAGCAGAACGTGCAAGGTAAGCGCCAGTATTCTAGTCGCGGTCAGAGAACCAGTCAGCTAAGGATTGCTAAGTGGTTCTCTAAAAGGGGCAAATCCGGACTGTAGACGACCCCTTGTCACAGACCTTCTCCGTAGTGGTAGAGAGAGCGACCTGTCATGATGCCATCTGGACTTACGTTTGGCCAGGATGAATCCCCCGCAAACGAGCAGCACCAGGAAGCAGAACGTTCCGCCGGTGTTCGCGGTGACGAGCGTCCGCCCCAACGCGCCCACCAGGCGGAACAGCCCCACCGCCATCACTTGCGTGGCAACTAGGACGAGGATGAAAATGAAGAAGTGCTGCGCCTCAGGGGCCATTCCCACAACGTAGTAGACGATGGACGTCCACACGACGGTCTCGATGATGCAGTATGGGAGTTCCAGGAAGGCGGTGGGGAAGGTGTAGGCCCAACCGGGGTAGAACAGGTTGTCGCGCTGCTTGCAGAAGACGGGCAGGCGTTGCACCTGCGAGAGTAGGACCCTGTGTTCGTCTCCGAGTTAAGCTTTCGAGGTTTAGTCTTAATGCTGTATTTCTGATCTGAGGCTTCAAGTTTAGAAGAGGCGGGGAAGGTGTTCGCCCAATCGGGGTAGAACAAATTGTCACGCTGCTGGCAAGAAGACGGGCTGGGCCTAGTATCTAAGCTAGGTTACTCGGTCAAGAAAAGTTCTGAGCTTAGTCAGATGGGTTAAGAAGGGTTTGAGTCTGACCGTAAGCGCGACGTTGGCGAAGCGGGATCATGTGGCGAAGACAAGGTGGAAAGATAACGGCGCGTGTGAGTCAAATCAGGTCAAGACCAACTGAGTTGGGTCAAGCTGGGTGAGATGGGTGAAACGGGTTAAGAACTAACCGTAAGCGTGACGTTGGTAAAGCCAGAGAATACGAGGAAGACGAGGCTGAAGAAGAGGCGCCCACTAAGCTGATTGCTTTCAATGAGTCAAGAAGGTTAAGCTCGGTCAACCTAGATTAAGTAGCAGCTAACTTCAGTGGGTAGAGGCTGACCGTGAGCGTAACGTTGGTGAAGCCGGAGAACATGAGGAAGACGAGGCTGAAGAAGAGGACGCCCAGGTACAGCCCGCCGTCCGCAATGTTGTCCGGGCTCAGGGTCGTCCGCAGGAATGTCGTCGCCGAGATGATGGCCACGATAGCACACTGCAGGGGGGAAAGAGCAGGCTGTAAGATTGGATTTCAAGCTTTGTAAGTGCACCTGGCATTTGGGGGTGGAGTTTATTCGTGCAAGGTGGGCGACACCGAAAAAGAACCCGCGCTCAGATGGTCGCCAGATAGTGTCGGGGGAGGTTGACCAATGATGGCGTCACAAGGGAAGCAAAAACGGGCTAAGAGTGGGTCGATAAATAGATGACTGAAAAGGTCAACATTTTCCGTTGCCTAAACGAGTCCCGAGAGGGCGACGAGTTGTCGCCTTTCTGGGAGAAAGGATAGCAACACTTGTCTCTCAGGTGGACGTACTCTTCACGTGAAGATTCTCAAACAGACACTTGCAACAGACGAGCTTGGGAAGCGGGAAAAAAAGGCGACGTGAGCCCGCCGCCAGGCTCACCATGGTCGCCCGGAAGACCCACAGAAACGAGTTGCGCCGCACCAGAATGATCTCCCGGTGCCACAGCGCCTTATACAACTCATAGCCCTTAAGCCCGTATCGCTGCGTGGTCAACGCATGCGGGTTGCTCTTCTCTTTCGGAAAGGGCGACGCCAAAGTCTGCGCCGTGAGACGCCCGACTTCGAACTCGGCAAACGCCGCGACAAAGTCTTGGACGGACACGTGGCGGTACGGCTCGGAGCGGCACCAGTATTGCTGCAGCGAAGATCTTTGTCAAAATTTGGAGTCGTAAAGCTTGTCACAATCGGTCGACTGAGGATTTCAAGTCGTGTTGCTGATGTACTCGAACATAACTGGGCAAGTCACTTTATAGGGACAGATTTTGACAGAAGCTGCTCCTCGCACATACGCTCCTGGTGGCTTGACGAATCAGTACACTGTTAATCATCAGGTCCAATTATACCCTGCGTTGAAAAAACCCTCCAAAGGATGCATCGATCTCCTAAAGTTGCTTGAAACTCGTTGCACCGACCTGGGGCAACAGCTCTGACGCTGGTCCCTTCTTCACAAAAAAAGCTCCTGAGAACTCTACCAAGCCCTCCGTACCCAAGATTGTCAAGCGGCAGAGAGCCCGGCCCAAGTTCCCCTCGAGAAATGTTCAAAGAATCTTATCGTGTGCTATCTTTCCGGCTATTTCTTTTTGGAGGTCACTTCTTGCAGGGAGTTTACGAAGCCCTTCCTGCCCGAGATCTTGAAGCCGCACAGCTCAAAAAGATCTTCTAGAAGTTCTCGGACTCGAACTATTGTACCAACTCACCGGCTGGTCTTTCTTGGAGGTCACTTCTTGCAGGAAGTCCGCGACGCCCTTCCTGCCCGGGATCTTGAAGCCGCACAGCTCGAAGAACTCGAGGACGCGCTCACGTGGGCCGAAGTAGACCACGTGGCCCTCGGAGAGCAGGCAGATCTGCAGAACGGAGCAGCCACGTGGCGGTCAGCCAAGGGCTTCCCGCAGCGCGCCATAGCGCGCCACAAAAACGCGATTCATAATGCGCATCATCCACGAAAGCATAACGACTTGTTTTGAGTGAAGTCCGGGGAGAACAGAGTATGGGAAGTACGGAACGCCTCGCGTCTTTGAAAGCGCGAAGACCTCGGGCGGGTTTGACAGCACCCCGCGACACATGACAATATGATCCGGAACGGCTCAAGGTTTGCTCACAACATCAAACAATCTGAAAGTACAGAGCATGAGAAGGATAAGCAGCGAAAGTACGAAAGAAACTCACATCGTCGAAGAGCTTGATGACATCCAACGCCGGTTGATGGGGCGCGACACAAACATGGTCGAAAATGTTCAATCTTTTATCCACGAACGCAAAAGTCTCCGTCATTGAAAGTATCAAAACAGGAACGAGAGCACTGGAAAAGGCAGAAAAGCTCACGTCATCAAAGAGCTCGAAGACCTCGGGCGCAGGTTGCAGCAGTGCGATGCAGACGGTGGTCTCCAGGATGTGGCAGTAGCGCTGCAGGCTCTGCACGATCTCGAACGTCGTGCTACTGTCGAGGCCCGTCGAAATCTCGTCCATGAAGTGCACGTTCATCGGGCCCACCAGCATCTCGCCTGGAACAAGGGTTAGCAACCGGCTTAAGGAGTAGTTAGCACGGGAGTGATTGATTTATTGTGTTGATGTTTATGAGTGTGTGAGGCCTACAAACCCCGTCGACATGTTGTGCACGTTCATCGGCCCAACCAGCATCTCGCCTGCCCCAAGGTTGAAAAGCTGGGTCAGGAGCGCTTAACAAGGACTGGGGTGACCAGAGCTTAGAAGGTCGCCCGTAAAGAGGTTGAGCGGGCTCAAGAGCACAGCTGCCAATGCCCAACGAAGTCTCTTTCACGAAGCTCGTATTCCTCGAGCCCACGAGCTTTCGCCGGCCAGAACTTGGGGTTCCGATGGAAGTTAGGCAATGGCTAAGGGGATAACCCCCGGGTCAAGAAGAGCCTAACCAGGCTCAAGAGCAGAGCTGCGAAGGCCGTCAGCCTACTACGTGGACTAAGTCTGGACTTCTGCGGCGGTTCTCTGAAGTACGAATAAATGACAAGAATATTGAGAAGGCCTGAAACATAATACAGCAAAGCCGGAAAAAAGATCCCAAAACCTTACCCGTGGTAACCCGCTTCTTCTGCCCCCCCGAGATGCCCCGCAGCATCTCGTTACCGACCACGGTATCCGCGCACATGTCCAAACCCAGGAGCTTCAGAATGTAGTCGGTCATGATGTGGTTCGGCGTCCCGCCCAGCGCGCTCGCCTTCACGAACGCGTCGATCGCGGGGTCCGGCAGAATGCGCTGCTCCTTCTCGCGCCGCAACAACTCGCGCAAAAGCTCTGCAAAGAAGGGAAGGCAAAGACTTGGTGGGTCATACTACATTGGCCCTCAGTAACGTCTGAGGAGGCCCCTGTCTCGTCCGTAACACACGCCAACGGCCAGACTCGGCAAAACGTATATGTAGAAGCCCTTACTGTGTATACCACCAGTACTTCCGGTCTAAGTCTCAATACTCCAGTCGTTATTGAGTATTATGGAACCAAATGGGTCTATACGACCTTCGCGCACGCCAAGTGCTGTCGCCCTACGCCTTCGAAAAATGATTTGTGCCTAAAACACCTTTCAGATGTCGCTTTCGTGCACAAGAATTCGTGCACAAGAAGCTCTGACAAGATCGACGCCTTGTGTCATCACAGAAGAGCGAGGCAGAAGAAAATCCTCCGTTTAAGCAGATCTCGATGGCCCTACTGAGCTCTTGGATCAATTTCAATGTTGTACACAGCGTTTCATGACAGTTCCCAGTATACTCAAAGTTTCCGGACTGTCCGGGACGCTTCAACACGCAACCGCGTAGTCAGTACCTTCGCGGGCGCCCACGCCCTGGACGCGCGCGGAGAAGTCGAACGTTTCCCGGACGGTCAGCTCGCCGATGTGCGTGTCCGTCTGGCTGATGTAGCTCGCCGTGCGCTGCGGGACGAACTCCGCGAAAGTGTGCCCGTTGTACGTGATAGACCCAGACGTTTTGACGTTCCTGCACGGGTTAAGAATCCAGTTTAAACCCGACAAGCTTGGAAACTATCCCGGCTCCTTTTGACGTTCCTGCTCAGAATAGGAAACCGATCAATACCCGGCAGCTTTGGAAACTACTTCAGGCCGGGATAACCGGCTACGTGGAAGGGGTGAAACTTTGAAGCTCCGGTGTGGAGAAGAAGCCGGTATAATTGAAGATTTTGTTTTGCGAGCTGCTCTATCAGCATGACACTGGAGGTCTTGACATTCCTGAACGACAAAAGCAAGCCGTCCTTGTTGCAAAATAGTGTCGGAATGACAATAGGGCGTTGCTTGACCAAGAAGGGGTGTCTTTGTACGTTCCACAGAAGGACGTCTTGTTCTTCTTGCGCGGAAAGACGCAAGAATCCGACACGTAAGATTCACCCACACAGCTCTCAGCACCTTGTCGAACGCCGTTGATGTGACAGATGGCCTCACTTCTCAAGGAAAAGAGACCTTTGAAAGCATTGTCAGGCGAAAGAAGATTCGAGAGCCGCCCCTCGCGAGCCGCCCCGAGAATGCCTGGCAGTGCGGTGTTGCTGGAGCCGAGAGGGGCCTAGAAGGAGGACCGTACTCTGATACTGGTGCCCACGATCAGATTCTGAACCCGAATTTTCATAAGTGTGAAGTATTGCGCACCCGAATCGGCAAAACCAACCTCAAAAGCTGAAAGTATGCTCACCCTTTCAGCCTTCCTGAAAGCACGGTAAGCAGACTGGTCTTGCTGCAGTGTCATAAGCCCCCACCAAACTCCATGATAACTTCAAGCCAAAAAGCGCTTACCATTTAAGCCGCCCGGAAAGCGCAGTGAGGAGCGTGATTTTGCCGCAGCCGGGGGGCCTCAAACAGCAGTTCCATGAGCCCCCACAGAACGTCATGATAACTTCAAGCCAAAAAGAGCTTACCCTTTAAGCCGCCCAGAAAGCGCAGTGAGGAGCGTAGTTTTGCCGCAACCGGGGGGTCCCAGCAGCAGCGTCATGCGCCCTGGCCGGATGACGCCGCTGACGTCTTTCAACACGGGGAACGGCTGCTTCTTGGTCAAGTGCAAACCCAGCGCGCTCAGCAGGCCCTGCAAGCATGTTAACGAGGGTGGATTTATCCTGACCGTGTTTAAAACACGAGCCCTGAGAGCCCAGTGAATGCCAAGAGGATTTTGAGTGGGGTCTAAGGATACCGGAAGAGGATTAGGCAGCGAAACGAACGGCCACGTGTTGTACGAGAGTGTTGCACAGCCGGGAGCACACTGTCACGGAGTTGACTCAATAGGGAAGCCTCTCAAGAGTCACCTAAACTTTGCTCGTTCCGTCAAGATAGATACGGGTCGCCAACTGCATGTAAACAGGGGCTGAATGATTCTCAGTCACTCAGAACGCTTTATGAAGCCCTCCGAAAAGGCCAGCACTACCGGAAGGCAAGGGGCACTCACGTCGACATAGCCTATAACGGCGTTGGGGATTGTGGGGAGCGCAGATGAGCCCATAAGCACTGTGCCTTCCACAGACAGGTTCCTGAAGCGGACCTCCACTGTCGGCTGGGGGATGCCGACCCTGAGAGGAAAAAGGAGAAAGAAGAACGGAACAAATCAGCTTTTCTGAAGAAGGGACTTCAGATCAGGATGATGCAACCTCAAATTGGAGAGCGATCCGACTGAGGACTCTCCTCATTTGAGAACCACGTAGGCTGGTTCCATCCTGAGTTTATAATTGCGACCTTATTTTCGAATGACATCAGATTCACGCGCGATGCCCGCTTCTGGTCAGTCCTACAACGAAAGCTGATTCGCTGTCAGTTTCCCTTGGATATCAAGGTCACTAGGCAAACGGTTTGTCCACGAAAATGGCAGGAGATCTTTTTGTACCACGTTTCTTGTTTGCATGTAATCTCACCTGTCGAAACGGTCCCTGAAGTTTTTGAGCCACATGTAGCCGGCGCGCTCGACAGCCAACCTTCGGAGGTCCCGATTTTTGGCAATTTCTTCAACGTCGACAGTGCGAAACCGCCCTGCAAGGCAATGAGCAAAAAAACGATCACGAAACAGTTGTTTTTGTAAGGAGAGGAACTTCCGAAACGGGCGAAATCCCTTCTTTTGCATGCCACTTCCATGCCCAACGATATAATCGGACGCTAAGCAGCAAACGTCTTCAAAACTTTGGCATATCCCAACCCGATTGAGACATGGTGAGTGTCCACAACGCATGACGTCAGCCGCAGCATACCTGTGACGTCATCCAGGGTGAGGGCCTCCCTCGTGTCGTCATACTCCTCGAGCACGGCCTTGCGCAGCCGGATGCCGGTTGGCTGCTGCTCCAATTGTGCGCGCATCAGATCTTGCTCCGATTGCTCTGCAGATGGACCCAAGGAATCTCAGACACTGTGCGTACTTACTAACTCGGTGGTCAAGTTTTGTGTATGGGTTGGGGGATCAACTGGTCAGCAGGTCGGCTCCGAACAACTACTTTGAACAGTGCGAGTTTTGTCAATACTAGCGCGGATCCCCAGGCTTCACTCCCGACATATCTCATCTTAGCTCAGAATATGGCTCGGTAAGGTGCCCAGGGACAACAGGAAGCACAGTCCATCCTCTCCACAGTGCTCAAACGTCGGTACTCCGGGACCCTCCAACTTTGCCCAACCTGGTCCCTCCACAGGTCAGATCTCTGTAAATGGGTTGCCAAAACTGTTCGGTTCTTCAAGTGGCACTTATTATGACAAAGACAAGTACAACAGCTGGTCCCTACAAACCAGCAACACTATTGAAACCATGTCTAACGCACACGAGCGCCAGAATGTCGGACATACTAACCTCTGCCCATCCTGCTGCTCATTGGCACAAAAGCGTTCTGAGCAGAGCCCCAGTCTCGCGACCCTCCATGAGCCTCTACGCCCCCGATCGACCGGGACACTGTCGGGGCCGTCTGAGACTCAATCTCAACTCCGCTATCGTCAACTTCTCTGGTAGTGTGCAGTCCATTGGAGTCCATGGCTCCAGGACTGGTCATGACACCTGAAACGACAAAAAATTGAAATTTAGAGAGCTGTAACCATCTGCGCGGTCTAGCAGCGTAATTGAGGGGGTGCTGTGGTGATCATTGATGATGGGAGACCTTAATCGTGGAGTCCTGTAAGAGGCGATTGGCTTTCTCCTCGAGAACTTTCAAGACCGATCAGGACGTGTCAAACCATGCAAGGTAGGCTTTTGAGCATGAAAAGAACAGGCGAGACAAGGGTCCTGATCAGAGTGTGCGCGTCTGCTTCATTATACTTCGCCAAAGGACTGATTCGAGGAGGTTCGAGGAGGTTCTGGGAAGCTGATAGACAGCCAGGTGATCACAATAGCCAGGCTTGAGGATAACAGAAAGAGGATGATCTGGACATCTGATCAACATACCGCTCTGTACTGGTAAAAGCCAACCCCAAAAGATCTTGGTAGAACATAGCGTCAGCCATAATGGAGCAAAAGATACTGCTTCGGGCAACAGGTGTGCCACTACGCAGATGAGAATAGGGTCCTTTTATCAGCAAAAAGACTGAACAGAAGCTGAACCTGGCACTCAACAAATCACTGATGTTTCAAGGGCATTTGCAGCCAACCAGGTCTCTCCAGAGGTAAGCGCAAGTGTGGCCAAGCATTGCTCACCAACTCGATGTTGGGCTACATACATTGGACTGAAAACCTCTAAGCAAAGCGCTGGCATTATGGATAATCCTTGGCATCAATGACTGTGCCCTGCTGACATCATAGGAGGGCATCACATGGGCACCCGATCACTTTGATGTGTAAAAAATGCTGCGACCTTACCACCACTCGCCTGACACAAAGCGTCAAGAATAGTGCCAAGCAAACAGGTGGTGTCAAGAAGCGCTTTGCCGTTTTGAGGAACACAGAGTACAAATGAAGTGCATTCCTGATCAGGCTTCCTACGAAGTCAACTATATCAAGAGCTACCTTGAAGCATGTATTCAATCAATGCAGTGAGGGCCACATATTCAAAAGACCTCAACGAGTACCAGTAAACCAAAGTCGACTGACCTGTTCTCGGCTCAATCGGAGCGCCGATTTTCTCCGAGCGCATGCGGCAATGAGTGCACAGCTTCACGCCGTTTGCTTGAGCGCAGCGAATCTACTAAGCTGCTGAGCCCCTACTGCAGCGGGCAGGTGCGAGGCCTTGAAAACTTAACCTGGTAAGTTCTGAATGCGCCCTGCAGAGGTCCTCAGACGACCAGTGAACCCCTTGGCAGAACTCCAACACGTGTAGCAAGCCCGGCAAGGACTCTTATGTTTCCAAACAGTCACTTGCCGAGAGAAGAACGTCTCTCCTGTAGGCTCTGCCAATAAGCTTGCCTACATTCTTCAACACCTAGATCTCACCTTTCTCGTAGCCCTTTGCTGTCACAGGGAAGTCCCTAAGAGCAATGAACCTGGGTTCACCCTAAACCTCAGGAGCATTTGCATTTGCAGTCAATATTTCTACAAGTGGTGACTCACCCTCTAACTTCACCAGCTCTGCAGAGGTGCTCTGAAGGGTGCGTATGGGAACCTAACCGCAAATCAGATCTGCCGATTTGGGGCGATGTGTACACGATCGCAACACGTGGCCCAGTCTGAGGTACAGTTCTCGCTGCAACTTGTCTGGCGCCTTCCGCACCGGGGCCTGCATATCAGTTCGGACGTCACGCTTGCCTCATGTGTCTGAGAGTGCTCTGACTACCGTCGATACATTGTCCTATGGTAGATGAAACTAACGTTTGACCGTTCGATAAGAGGAGCCCGGAGGTGTCCTCTACGTCAGACTTTGGCGATGAAGTCAGCTAGATTCGAAGATCGCCAGACTTGCAACGTGATTGGTCAGAATTACACGTGTATTGTGCGCCGCGACCGCGGCCGCCCCCAACTTGCCGCAGGCCAAGCAGATTCAAGCAAGTCGCCAGCAGATTCCGAATTGTGCAGTGCAGACATGACTTGTCAGAGCGTTTTGTCGGTTGGTATACGGCACTGCAGTTGATGCGAAGTGTACGAATCGCACGTTCTGAATATTGTAATCATACTATTAGCGGAGTCTGTGTCTGTTTTGGATGCACTTTCAACCATGTCGATTTTGTCAAAATATGCTCAAGAGATCCGAATTTGGCTTCCAGATCCTTGAAGTATTTTGCCTCGCCCTGTATGGATCGGTGAACCTCGATTCCTGCAACTTGACCCGTTGAGGATCTCGAGGTAAAGGCTCGTTCAGAATGTCGTTCTACAAACAATTTTTTCCGTCATGGAAGTCGACATGGATTCTTTCAGCTCACTTGTATGGAAACAGGAAGTCTCCGGGGCTTCGCTTGGCAATGAACTGAATTAGGGGCTCTCAGGTTCGGTCTGACAAGATAGTAAAATAGCCTTGGCAAAGAAGAAGTCGTAGCTGCGCAAATCAATTCAAAACTCAACCTCTTGAGAAGCTCAGGTCCGTGATGTCGAATCATCTCTAGGCGCCATTGTTATAGTCGGGGAAGATCGACCCTATCACCCTGATCTTGTTGCGCATACTCTGATAGCTCAACATGTATGTATCCCTGTACTGCATGATACACTCTTCGGATGAAATCGGAAAGCTGGATCCGTAATATAATGAAGACTCGAATGCTTAGAGTCCATGTCCGTCTCTGTTACATCAGCCCTATCAATTGCACGATGCCTTTCTCCAACAAGGTATTTGCGACTACTAAACTCCTGACCTTCAAGTTGCCGACCTGGACTGGTCCGGCCTTCAGTGCGGAACCCTGAGGCGTTGGCCACATGCTAACTCTCTCGCTCTGACACACGCACTTACGACATTTTCTAGCTCATCTAGGCTACAAATTTCCACAAGATAACATCCACCAGCAGCTAAGCCCCTGTCGGCATCATTCCTCTGAACAAACCTAGGATAACCCCGCATTTCAAAGCACGTATTCGAAACCTCCGACTTAACTTCGTATTCATGATAAAACTGTGCAAGGTCTACTGCGGCTCATTCAGTTGCGCAGCCGCCTGCATTTGTGCAGCGACCCCCCTCCGCTCGTTGTGGTGCTCGGGGTCGCCGCGCGCCTCTGCTTTGGTCACCTTGCGGGCGTCCTCGTGCGTCACGGCCTTGTCCGCAGACAGCGCCTCAGCCGCATGCTGCGGGATCAAAAACCGAGCGTCTCTTAGCAAGGCGACATTGGAATCTTTGACTTTCGGGGGAAGAAACGTTCTGGTTATGATTTGTTGACTGCAAGAACAGGCGTAGGGGACCCAAACATCCTACGAGAATTCTCTGCTGAGAGTTCTCTGCTGAGAGGACCGTGACGGATTCTTTAGGAGGAGGTAATGTAAGGTACTGCAGGAAGCAACAAGCAAGGCAACAAGGGCACAAGCACGGCGGTGGCGTGGAGAGGTTGATCGACTTGCGTATTAAGCAGACGCATTCATTGGAGGCCAACGGGGGTGATGCTATCAGAAAGGATCACAGTTCCAAAGGGTCTCAGTATTAAACTGCTCGTGACCAAACCCGATCAAGAGCCTAGGCTTACTCTCCGCCAGCAAGCGTCCTTGATTGTTACATATACACAGCTGTTTACGTCTTGTTCGATGCAACTGAGCGAAGAGAAATGAGAACAGGTTGTTCTTGCGCAAATTTGCTGCACTACGAGAATTTCGACCTTCCGTGTTTAACCATTTCCGTCTTTCACCTGTAACAGCGGTCCCAGCGTGTGCGCCTCCACGGGGGTCCCGCCCCCCTCGGACGGCCCCGGTTCATTCCCCCGGGCGGGCAGGGCTCCGAGCGGCCCCAAGATCTTCTCCTGAGACCTCTTCCTCGCTTCCTTTTGGGCGCCCTTCCGCTCGTCCCGGAGGTTCAGCGCCGCCAGCAGCTGCGCCTCCGCGCCGAGAGAGCCGCCCGTGCGGTCGCCCGTCGCGCGCGTGACCGCGGCCTGCGGAAGGGTTTACGGTTGAAACGTTGAAGTATTTAACCCGATTCTGAGAGGACTTTGGCGCCACAAACCGCGGCCTTTGTACTTTGCAAGCTCGTCCCGGAGGATCAGAGCCGCCAGCAGCTGCGCCTCCGCGCCGAGAGGGCCGCCCGTCCGGTCGCCCGTCGCACGCGTGACCGCCGCCTGCGGAAGAGTCTAAGGTTTTAGGGTTTCAACTTCGCAATAAGCTCGGATCTGGGAAGGACTTTCAAGTTTAATTGCTGCCACGAACCGCGGTTGCGACTCCGCGCCAAAGGGGTCGCCGGTTGCGCGCGTCTGACGTCGTTAGTCGCTTTGGGAAAGATAACGTGATGTCTGTCAGCAGCTGTTTCTTCAAGACGAGAGGGCCGCCGGTGCGGTAGCCCGTCGCGCGCGTGACCGCCGCCTGCAGGGGGTTTACGACTTTTAGCTCGACAAGTTTTTCAAAATAAGCTCGGTTCAGACCGACTGTAGCGCCCCCAGCAGTTTCGCGGTTTTGCGGCCGCTGTGCGGTCGCTTGCTTGCACGCGAGACGGGTTCACAGGACCAAGAATACTTGGTGTCTACCACACGCGATCTCTTTGGTGAACGTTTTTACATAATAACGCTCACGGAGGACGCGAATGCCGCTGCATCGAAGACAGAGCTCTAGACACAAAAGCTCTAAAGAACCGCAACGGTTTTTGAGGAGCCCTTGTTGAGCGTCATCCATTTCGAGGGGTTTGCCTAACGACTCAGAATCTGAGCAACGAAGCAAAAGGATGGATGTGAAATCTTGACCTTGATTCCTTTCAGAGAAGGCTCGTGAGCCGGGGTTTGGGCGCCTGACCTGGACTGCGCGCGCGTCCCCTGGGCCGATGGGCTTCTCCGCGCGCTCGTGGCCCGCCAGCTCGAGAGCTTCTCCGATCAGAACGGGGTCTTCCAAGCCTGCGAGCCGGCAAAGAGTCTCGGAAAAGCTGGGGTACTGTGAAGATTCTCAGAAGGTAATTGACAAAGGTCTCACACGTATGCACGGCTAATGCTTCTTTTGGCACGACAGTTGTGATAAACGAATCTCAAGTTCAGGGTGAAACGGCGAAGCATGACTTTTTGTTGGTATTATCCTTGCCATTCAAAAGGATCCGAATGGAAGAGTCGAAGCCGGATGCTCGTTTTGGCGGGCTTTGAGTCTCGCCTCCGGAATAATGTTTCACGTGCTCATCATTTGCTCGCCAACTCATCCACCCTACATCCATCAACGTGGCTTTAACGAACCTTTTAATCGTTTGCACTGAACCCATGTTGCCTTCAAATCTTTTGCACACAACCTTCTTACCCGGTTTGTAACCGCGCGGGTACCGCGGCTCGTCCGCGGCGACGCGCTGCGCGCGCTCGTTGAACGTCGCGGCCTCCTGCACGTGCGCGCTCACGCCGCGCGCGAGCGTCACGTGGTCGGGGTCGTTGCGCTCCTCCGCGCTCTGCACGCGCCGCGCGTCGTCGGTCGTCGCGGGCTTGTCCATCGGCAGCCGCCGCGTCGCGTTCTGCGAGGCAAGATTGACGACATGTTGTGCATGGGGCGTGAGTCAACCCAATGCGGTCCTCGCTTATTCTTACAGACTCTCTCAACTGGGAACTACAAGGGGACTCCCGTATGGTAATTACGGATGAAGCCGATATGACCGCGTCCTTGGACTTTGGAAACTCCGTTCACCTCTATTTCTGATAGAGATCCATGAGAATGACAAACAGAGCCAAATCGCCCACATGACGAACGGCTCATGTCGCCCACAAGGATCACTCGCGACGAACTTGACGCGCATACAAACATTTTAGTCCAGGCAAGCCATTAATTCCTTTGGGCCATAGCGTATCGGAATCGTCCGTTCCGTATCAAACCCACCCTCAGGATGTCGCCCAGCGTGTGGGGATTCCCTTCGTAAGCCACGGTTCCGTCCACCTTGCCTAGCTTTTTCCGCTCGTTCTCGTCCGCTGCCCTCTCCGCTTCGGCGACCAGATCGTTGCTGATCGGAACGCCGGCGGTCGCCCTCGTCACTGCGCTCTGCAAAGAGATGTTGCAAAGAAACATATCCGTGAGTTGAATGGCAGATGATGGCCACTAATTCACCAATTTCCCAACTTCTTGTGCAGGGAAGTCGTGAAGGGGCCCCGAGGCGACGGCTGCTGAATCTCGCGGTGTTTGGATTGAACATGAATCGTTCTTGTACCGGGAAAAGCAGGATTTTGGCCTCAGCAAAAGACCGTGATTCTTTTTTGGAGGCTGTTTGCCGCCAGAACGTGCCAATTAAGAGACTTCCCGGCATGAACGGGGGCGGAAGGACCGCAACTTTTGCGAATTTAATCGTCTTAGGTGTGCCGGCCTTTTCAGAAGGTTCTTTCGCATGTCATTAAGCATATTCCACCCCAATCTCAAAATAGCTCACAGGAGCCGTTGCAATTGTGGGCATTCCTGTTTGGCACAGAGATGATTTTGGACCTCCAAATTTAGCTCCAATTCTCTTCAAATTCAGCTTTGAATTCCCCACAAACTTCCAAGACGCAACTTTGGTGGTTTTGTGGAGAGTCGAACCTGGATGGCGCTCGCGTCCCCCGGGTCGACTGGCTTGTCCGCGCGCGCGCGGCCCGCCGCCTCGAGCGCCTCTCCAATTGTGACGCTGTCCTCTCCGCGCCTTTCTGTGAAGAGCGCAGAAAGTGACACAGTCGACGTTCGCCAGTCAGAGAAGGGAAATGTTCATTGATTTTTAAACGGCATTTTGGATCAAAAACCATGGGAAAAACTTCATTGTGAGGCTTGACAAACAGCGGCGGTTCATCCGGTCAATATCGTAACAATCGACAAACGAGACATTGTGATACGTGAGCGTCGTTGAAATCAAGGATCAGTCGGAAGATGCTGGACATGGAACGATCAAAGATGCGTGCGTTCAAAGTAGATGGAAAATGCTTCGATGAGCTGCTTTTCGAATCAAAAAAATGCATCAAAACCCGATATTTCGAGGCAAAAAGTCGCTTCCATCTTGTGATTGCAGAAGGCTTTACTTTGGTGTACCACTCTTCTGTAGCTGTGTTTAGAACTGGGATACTAGTTTGACTGATCATGTTCCTGGTCTGATACAACCAAAGGGCCTCAACTTGAACATCTCGCTGGAAGATCATTTCTCTCAGTGTGCAGGCATCATTGGCCCTTTGGCATTCTTCGCTGACCAACGTTTCTGTCTTCAGCGTCTGTGATTGAGACTCTGGTCATCCCTCGGACTACTTTTTCGATCCTATCAACCAGATTTGCAAGTACTCCTAACGACAAGCACATCACTTCGACACCAACTCATATTCATTTAGGCATAAGCTCTTTCGAAATCGCATTGCAAACCTTTCGTAGCGTCCGCCTCGCAGCAGATATACATTTTGGATGCATGGAGAGAAAGGTGGAACGAAAAGGTAACCTTGCACAAATGTGCGCCCACTCCCAGTCCGACCCCTCACCAAACTCTCTGTGCAGCTCCTCAGAGAGACTCGGCTCCCCCTTCCGCGGGGACCGGGGCTCTGGGGCTGCCGCGGCGCGCCCCTCGCGCCGCGCGCGCGCCCGGTGCTCCAGAAAGCGCGCGCGCGCGTCGTCCTCGTCCTGCTGACGCTCTCCTGACGCGCGCGCAGGCGCGCGTTCGCCCCTCAGCTCCCAGCAGAGCCCCTGCTCTCGAATCTCAAACTGGGCGGGGTCGTCCTGCAGGGGGCTGGCGGGATGCGCGCGCGCGGCCGCGGCCGCCTGGCGCCTCTCTTGCGACGCCTGTTCGCTAGCCATGCATGAAGCTCGTGCCTAGGGAAAGCTTTCTCTCGCCGCCTTTTGCGCTTCCCAACAAATGCTCGCTGCGTCGATCAAAGGCAAGGATGCGTAGGGAAGAAAAGAGGGGGAGAGAGGTGGCAGCTTTTGGTGAAGCGCTGAACCATGGAAATGTTGCCCCTGTTCTTCGCCGCAGCAAAGAAACGTTCGTAGGGACCTAAGGCACTTCAGCAAGATGAAGTCGCTGAGGCTCAATCACCGGCTAGCTTATACTAGTTTTCCTAGGCACAACTCCATGACGCCGTCTGAGAATCGCAGGGCACTGCTCAATGAGGTTTTTGCTTCGAGAGCCTAGTCCCATAAGGATAAAGTTTAATACCTATTAAGGATCTAAGAGCTATAAGACACGCCCGGCGAACGGGTGGGGTTGGTATGGTGGTTAGGGTGGGTTCGGGTGCGGAGCGCGTCATGTTTGTAGGTTAAGGTTTTTAGTTAGGTTGCTGCCCCGGGTTCTTCCTTATAGGTATTAGATCCTTATAGGTATTAGACTTGACGGGTATAGTCCCCAGTATTCAAGGGCCTGAAAGCTCGTCTTATGAAGCTTCATACGCGCTGACGTGTTTCAGAGCCGGCAGTCCAGTGTTGCAATTGCTTAGCACGTTTGACGCCGAAGTCTGACACATGTCACTTAAATGCATTCTGGACGCGCGCGCGCGTGCGCACGACCGTTCGATGATGAATGGTGCCTGCACACCTGTTTGAGAATTGGGACCTCCTGTCACGTGTACGCCGAGCTAAAGTCCTGTTCTTAATCATTGGATTGAAGAGATTCTCGCAAACCGCACCGAGCACGCGGCGGCGCAGCGAGCAACATTGTTAGACTTTGCTTTGTCAAGCGTAACACATTCTGTCGAACGCACGAGACGAAGTTAGGAAATAAACAACCGTTTTTCATATCGTGTACGGGCCCGGGCATATCAATCTTGGTGCAAGAGAGTGTCCAGAAGAGTTCGTGTCGAAAACATTGAACGTCGTCTGGAAAGAGAATCATCTGCCAGTCATGCGGCTTGACTTACTCGTGCTCGCTTGAAGAATACGTACCACGTTCAGATATGTTGTCTGCAACCGGCACATGATCGAAAAAGCCAACAACGAACGGCCCCTCTCATCTGCAATCAGACTCGAAGAGTTCGGATGACGTACACTGGCTGAGTTGGAATTTTCATTCGATCGTCCCTTTCGTTCATGTACAAAGATTCTCCTAGAACCAGCACTTCCTCCGGTGCTACAAGTTCCTATGAACAGGTCCGAATTGCCTCTCAATCTTATCCTCACCATCCGGCGTTGTCTCCTTGTAGCCAAACGTCACCGTCAGAGCCCTGACCGTAACCATTCCAATCGTAATCCGCTACCTCAATCACGCACAGCACCCTCCTCTAGTTTCTCACGAGAATTCACTCCAATCTTTCTCCTATCCACCCTGCGCTCTCACCGACACTAATTACCGATCACGTTCCTCTTCGCGGTTTCGGATTGTTGAAGATTCATTCAGCCTTCCAATCACACCGCGACGCGCGCGCTTCTACTGCGGCTCGTTCAGCCGCGCGGCCGCCTGCATTTGCGCGGCGACTCCCCTCCGCACGTTATGGTGCTCGGGGTCGCCGCGCGCTTCGGCGCGAGTCACCTTGCGGGCGTCCTCGCGCGTCACCACCTTGTCCGCAGACAGCGCCTCGGACGCATGCTGCGCGAGCGGGAAGAATATGACCTAATCAAGAAGCAATACAAGCGAGATCGAGGAAAATAACTGCGCGCTTTGGCCAATGAGAGGAAGATTGAACAGACTGCTCTTACGGTTGGCTCTGCGAATCAAAGCCCTGACGTCAGCAACATGAGGAAATTGGACGAGGTCTCAGGATCTGCCACCTGCGGGTGAGAAAGTTGGCAGAGGCAAGTTGCTTCCTGCTGCAAAGTGGGCATGAGTCAGGAACAAACCAATCTCTTCACGTTCGCTCTACCGCAAATTCTCACCCCGATCCTAAAACTTTGAAAGCACTCGTGTTGCAATATCGACCGTACGTGTGCCTCCTCGACCCACGAGAAGAAGATAGCCAAAGGGCTCAGCAAACAATTACGACAAGAGACTTGCGGTTAGAACACTAGCACAAACCGCCAAAACCCGCGCTCCGCTCGCCTGCAGAAGCTGCCCCAGAGTGTGCGCCTCCGGCGCGCGCGCAGCTCCCTTGCGCGGCGACCCCGGTCGAGTTTCCCGGGCGGGCTGGGGCGGCACGTGCCCCAGCTCCATCTCGTGTGCCGCCTGCGCGGCCGCGCGCTCGCGCCGCTCGCGCACCTGCTCGTCCCGGAGGTTTAGCGCCGCGAGCAGCTGCGCCTCGGCGCCCAGAGGGCCCCCCGTGCGGTCGCCCGTCGCGCGCGTGACCGCGGCCTGCCGAAGGGTTTAAGGGTTCTGTGCGTCGGGATTTGGCTTCGAAAGTTGATAAGGGCCGGCACGAGGCGTTAAATGCAAACGGTCTCTGCGCGACAGGGTTGAGTGATTCAGTGGAAATGGATCAGAGTATATCGGGTTTAAGTTCTCTCCGTAAGCGAAGGACGATATTGTCCGTTAGCAGGAGCGCGGAGTGAGAGGCGTATCAATGGATCAGAGATGAAAAGTTAAAGGCATGGCAGGATGAAAGTTTGAATACGATCAAGACGCAGAAAATAGCTCAAGAAGATGACGAACCTATTGCGACTCTTCCAGCACTAATTGAGTTCGCCCAACGCATTGCCGGGCGCTGTCAGAAGTACCAGGATTACATGGTGCTGACTAGATGGTTGACTGCACACGACGGACCTCTACATCGATCGACCCCTTCTGTACGCTTTCCGGAACTGGTGCGACATGCTGTGCCGGGTTGCAGCAGAAAAGACCCCTCGTGCAGGGTTCCCCCCTCTCATTCGTGCTTGGGGCGCAGTACAACGAGTTCTTTTCATCACTGTCAGCTTTGTGAGGTTTAATATAAACGAAACTGAAAAAGAGAAGATATCTGTTGGGATCAAGGCGGTATCTCTGCCCCACCTGAGCTGCGCGCGCGTCCCCCGGGTCGACCGGCTTGTCCGCGCGCGCGTGGCCCGCCACCTCGAGCGCCTCCCCAATCAGCACGGGGTCGTCAAGTGCTGTGAGGTAACGCATCAGAGGGCTTCAAAAGCAAAATTAGAATGGTTACATAAAAGCTTTGTTTTCGATACGCATCTAATCAACCGGCGTGCTTTTTCTTAAGATCAAGTTGCAGACCCCGGAGACCGGCCAGGTTTTCTTAGTTAAGCCAAGAAGGCGGCTTAGCCAACGAATGTCTGGTTCCTCAAAGCGTACCCGGAAAATGGCTCTTTCTAGAGAGTCCGATGGTCTGTCAAAGCGCGGTCGAGAACTCCGGACCTTAACGGCTTGGATTGTGAGCATGTTCGAAACCTATCTACGTACGCAACCAAGTTTGCGCCAACCAAAGCGCCGGAGCGCTTTGATCTGCGCTCCTTCGTTCCGTGTCTTTTCACCGGCACTCTCAAGTACGGCAGTCCCACCGAACCCAGGGAGGTACGTTCAAAAGGAGCGCGCGCACGCGCACCTGGCTTGTACCCGTGCGGGTAGCGCGGCTCGTGCGCCGCGACGCGCTCCGCGGCCTCGTTGAACGCCGCGGCCGCCTGCATGTGCGCCGCGATGCCGCGCGCGTGCGACACGTGGAACGGATCGTTGCGCTGCTCCGCGCTCTGCACGCGCCGCGCGTCTTCGCCCGTCGCGGGCTTGTCCATCGGCAGCCGCCGGGCCGCGTCCTGCAGCGACGGGTTTCTGGAAGTCGTAGAAAAGTTTTCCCAAAACTTTGAAGGTTACCCGAATTTTACCCCTTGAGTTGGAAGCTGTAAGAAATCTGCAGACTTTCCCATTTTTTGGGCTTTTTGAAATCATCATATTTCTTGCGGAGATTGGAGATCTGCGGATCTTATGGGCTCAAAACTTTAAATGCCCCTTTGCGCTACCAAGGGAAGGGGAATAACAACTTGCAAACATGATGGAGTACCTCCAGAGCCCTACCCAGTTGCAGTTAACAACTAGGAGTTGCTGACATCATGAATAAAAGTGGCAGCGATGTTTCACTAGCAACTCCAGACAATCAGGAAATCGTTGAACGGCGGCTCTAGAGCTTCGAGAGCGCACGTTGATCTCTAGCATCCGTCGCGCTTGCTTCGGTCCTGCTTTTGCTTCACTGTTGGTAGACAGATCCAAACCCAGCGTGCTCAGCAAGCCCGCGAGGTCAGCTTACACTAGTTGCCTTTTCAAAGGCTCATCCTAGGAAGAGCCCTGTGAACAGGATGCAGAAGGCGCGGAAATTCTGAGAAATGTTTTGGAAGCAGACTTTTAAGACCCACCTTGAGAACCTCCCCTAGTCTGTGGGGCGTCCCCTCGTATGTCACCGTTCCGTCCGTCTCAAAGATCAGCTTCCGCTCGTTCTCGGTCGCCGCCTTTTCTGCTTCGGCGGCCAGATCACTGCTGATCTGGACTCCCGAGGTCGCCCTTGCCACTGCGCTCTGCACCGAAGTACAGTTGGAGGCACTAAGGAGGGTTCCAGAGACATTCCAGAAGCATTTTAGAAGAGAGTTGTGAAAAAAAATTGTCCGCTGGTAACTTTCCCGTTGCTTCGAGTTGTTACGAATGTGCACAGACAATCACATCAAGGAACGGTTAGGTAAGATACCTAACTCTCGGCTGATAGAAGCCTTCTCAGCTATCCATGCTGAAAAGTTACACGCGTTCCCAGATTCCTTCTCCTCCGTCTGATCTTGAGAGGGCAAGAGTGTCTTCAACTCAGAGTCTCGCTTCTTACATGTCCTTCTGGGCGGAAACTATAAGCTAGTATAATCTCCGCGAAGCTGTCTCTGGTAAATTCACCAGACCTCGCCTCGTCAAAGAGGGCGTCGGAGGACTGGTCCTACCTCAAGCGACCAAATTGGCCCGCATCAGGGCCAGCTTAATTGGCGAAGGCAATTTTCAAGATGGGATGTGATCCATCACTTTGATTTTTCCCCCAGGACTCGAATCAAAAGTGTACCTTGAAACCTGACGCCCTTTGGATCACTTCCATATGAACAAAAAGAGATAGAGTTTAAGCTCTCTTAAGACCGCCTAACAATACTGCTTGGCCGGGGGGTTTAAGCCTGACCTGGATGGCGCTCGCGTCGCTCGCGTCGACGGGCTTGTCTCCGCGCGCGTGGCCCGCGGCCTCGAGCGCCTCTCCGATGGTGACGCTGTCCTCTCCGCGCTTGGCTGCAGAAAATAGGGAGCCGCTTATCGTGCAGATTTTGGTGGGTTCAGGAGTATTGGCAGTTTTGTTCGAATTCCTCTCGATTCTGCTCGGATGAATCTTTTCAATTTGGGGCAAAACGCGTGTCAAGACGAGCGGTTCAAAGTGTTTCTAGTGCGACAAACACGAGCTGATCCGCAACCTACATTCAGCTGGACTTTGAACCCGACAAAAATACTTCAAAGGGATCTATTTTGCGCCCCTTCTTCTGGTCAGCTATCCGCAGGAAAATTCCAGAGACAGAGAATCACGTGCTAGTCCTGATCAATAACTTTCCCTTTTTCTTTTCGCGCAAAAATAGGTGCCCATGTTTTGAAATCCTCTCATTGTTTTACCAGTGCCCATGAAAACATTCGCGCGGCAAAGTCACATCCAAAATTACTCTCTGCTTCGTTCCAAAGCTCGCTCCTGGGAAAGGGCCCAAGACAGGCTTCGCTCACTTCTTCAACTCAAAGCAATTAGTACAAACTGAAACTATCATGAACCCCTGCATACATTCGCAAAAAAAGTCGTTGCTTCCGTACTCAATCAACACTGAGCCGACCTCTTCCACGACGACCCACTTCATCCCTCTCACAACGTCCTGGACCTTTCTTCCAATCCTTGGTCAAGTATCTTGATTGCATTTCTCCAAACTACTTTTCCTGCCTGAAAACCCTCCCCTCAAGCAATTTCCCGTCACATTTTCTCTGACTACCCCAACCACATTTTCTCGGAAGCTTCTCCGCCCCCTGACAACCACCCATCAAACATATTTCAACTTCATTTGCCCACTAGCTCGGGGCTTCCCGGCTCACCGAACTCCTTGTGTAGCTCCTCGGACAGGCTGGGCCCCCTACGGGGGGACAGCGGCGCCTGCGGCTTGCCCCCCCGCCGCTTCTGCGCCCGGTGCTCCTGGAAGCGCGCGCGCGCGTCCTCGTCCGACTCGCCCACCTCAGCCTGCTGACGCCCCGCTGACGTGGCGATCGTGGGCGCGCTCTCCTCGCGTAGCTGCTCCATGCCGCCCAAAGTGTGCGCGCGCGCCTCCTTCGCCCGGGGCCCTTCCCCGTGGGATGCGAAGCTCTCGGGGAGCTGCTTGCGCCGCAGGCCCTGTTCTTGGGTGCCAATGTGCCCGGGGTCCGTCTGTTGGGGCCTTTCTGTAGCGCCCGGAGGAGTGTCGGTCTTCTGGCGCTTCTCGTCGGTCGCCTGTTGGCTCGCCATGCTTTGGTGGGTGCGAACACTTTAGAGCCGCAGTTGGATGCTTAAGGAAGGGGCGGCTTTGTAAAGCGGCTTCCTGCGCTTTAGTTGAATATGCTCGAAAGAGATCAGGCCCGACTTGCACAGGGGTTCTCCCCTCCCGTTCTCCTTTTGGAAGTCAAAAGACTCTTTCTTTGACCGGAGACACGCGGCCTTACGCCCCTCTCTCTGGTTCGCAACAGCAAGGAGCTTCAGGTTCGATCAAGCACAACCCAGCCAGTGTTGACATCTACCAAGCACGGGAAGACTTCAGGCTACCTGCCTAGATTGGACTTGCCGACTGATCAAGACAGCAAAATCTGGCAGGTCTCACGTGGGATGACATATGCAGATCTAGGGTTAGGACTGTGCTGTACACCAGGAATGATACGTCAGATGTAAGGCAAAACCATGATACCGAGTGCGTCCCAAGATCTTTAGACTGCATGAGTCGTCGACTCGTCCCGATTCGCAAGATCGAGAGGCGAATTGGCCATTGGAGAGCGCAAGCACAAGCTCGCGCCACGCGGAGCCCAGAGATCAGGTCTTTACGCGACAATCATAAGCTTCTGAGAGGATGGTCACTGAAGCTTCAATTGCACTGAAGCAGGCCTAAGTGGGCAATCAGTCTTGTCTGATTATGATTCGAAAGATGACAGTCTTCTGGGACTTTTATGTTGCAAAACAAAGATTCAGACGTTGGTCAGAAGTTTGTTCACTCCGTCAGCTGAGGATGCCAATCATGTGTGTCTATCTACAGCGTACCAGACCAGACCTCTTCTCAGTTCTAGCAAGTAGAATAAATCAATAGTCGCGACGTTATTCAAGGACGCCACACATGAACCATGACCCAGACATGACGATGTTGAGTTGCACAAAACTATGGGAGGGTCACCGATTCACGACCCGTATGATGAAGGTGTCATGCTACTTCATAATTACAGATTGCTTTCGAAAGTACCGGAAGCAGATATCGACCTGCCAACTTTGCTTTTAACTTTCATCAGCCTAGACTGGCAGCTAAGAAAATATGAGAATCCTATACCTTATCTGCCCTTCTCCAGTCACCTCTACAGCTCTCTTAACCTGACCCTGACTAAACTTGCGCTGCCTGACAGCGGCTGGAATGCCCTTTGTAGCAACGCAGCTGCCTATAAGCACCTTCTACTCGTCTTCCCGCTTTCTTAACCGCTTTCTTAACCGCTTCCTTACAATTGTCTCGTTCCTGTATTTACTTGCATGTCTCTTAAGACGCCTTTCCCTATCACTGAGCACCTTACATCTCCTCTCTAGATTTATTCTGGCTGAGACTCGACCCAACGAAAACCTGCAACAACGGCTAAATGCCGAACGGATAGGTTTGAGGCTGCTCGTCTGCCTCCTCGATCCTACTCCAAACGGACTCTTTGTCCAGGGGTTCTACCGCGCGAGTCTGGTCGATGTGAATGATCTTGTCATGCTGCTTGAAGACCTGCAGCGGGAAAGGAAGCAACCGGTGACCAACTCTCCTGCCATCACCCTGTGACGTGATCATGCTTATCTTTTTTTGAGATAAGCACTCGAGGTCTGGGAAGCGACTGCAAAAACGAGTCACGATCAACACATAAAAGTATGATTTATGATTCCAATACGTCTCCTGCAGACGTTCCAAAATGGAGGCCAGTTGGAGGGGTCTGATTGTCATTGGAAGAGCTTGTCGAACTCCATGGGAATTCAAGTATGATTCGAATAATGATTTGATTTGAAAGTCTGCAAGATCTGAAACAAGCCCACGTTTGATGGAGGAAAAGGCTCCCCTTACGTTATTCACGGCTCTCCGTGCTTACAGTTTGGAAGACAAAGCTGCGTCCAAAAAGCGCGTAACTTGAACGCAGAGATATTCGTCTTATGTAAACCTGACCGCCTATGTGGAGGGCCCCTAAAAGGGCCAATAACAGAGTTTCGTTAGCGGTAACCGCGTCTTGTGCCTGCTGCATGCTCAAAAAAACAGGTGACTCCAAGTTGATCTCAGCCGCTCATCACAAGAAAGTCGACGCTCACCTTGGCCCTGTAGTAGTTGTCACGATCCTGAGTTTCCTCTGAGTAAACGAGACCGATGGAGCGCTTCCAGAGGCAGAGCTCGCGCGGCTCGACCCACCGGCAATCGAGCAGGAAGTTTGTGGGCGACACCTGACAAGAAGAGAAGGCTTAACGGTCGCCCTGGGCCGGCCAGCTGTGATACACACGGGCCGATTTGAAGCTCAATCAAGCTTTGTTCTGTGGGGACCTCATCCCAGCTTTTATAATGCAGGGTATGTTTCTCTCAAGGAATCCGTCAACCAGGTCTCAGAAACGGTGAGGACGAATCTGTGCCAGTGCTAACAAAGACAAAAGGACCGTAAGGACTTTAAAGTATCAAAGTCAGCCACATAATGGACTCCCAAAAAGAAACCTTCCGTTCTTTAAAGTTGTTGGAATGGAAGGTCGCGTTTCCACGATCATTGAACAAAATTCAGTCTCTTGGTCCGCCGTTTGCTGACGCTACTCATGTTTCATCGTAGCCACGGTGGAAGGCCAATTTCCAAGCAAGGGAATGTCGATTGTAAGGTTTTTATCAGACCACTTAACATTTGAGATTGCCAGAAGCGACTAGAATCTGGACCCTGCAGCTCGATGCCTTGATCTTTTCCGATGGGTAGGCTCCCTCACCTCGTGCAGGATTTTTTCGAGGGTGCCTGGAAAGGGTGGCTTTAGTCGCACGCACCGCCCCGGCTCGCCCCAAGCAGAAGCCGCAGTCAGGGTTCCGGAGTATGTGCTGCGTATAGAACGGAACGGAGTGGGTGCGTTTGAAAGGATTTCTTGCCCGGAGCGCTGATTCACACTCTCAAACATAACATGGGACCAGAGAAGAGCCCTTCTTGGCTGAGATATCAGCTAGGTCAAAGGGGCATAGAAACTTAAGTTCTGCCCTGATACGTACTTGGGGGGGGCAGGATTCTCCTCCAGGTGCTGCCCCCCAAGGTAGGAAAATGCGTCCTCTTTCTTTCATGAGTTGGAACCAACGGAAGCAGTGCCTGTCAGCCGAATCACGAGCTTGTTTGTCGAAATATAAAGCTCGGTGCGAAAAAAGAAATGAACCAGAAAGGAAACAACATCGACAAAGAGAAACCTGAGAAGAAGCAAGGCGTAAGAAGGGGAAACGTGTACCTGAATCCAATACTGACTGCCTGCTCCCCGTACTTCTCCTTCACCAGCTGCCCCATGTTCGCCTGATGCCACTCCCAGGCAACCTCCGTCTCGCGCGCATCGCTGACGTGGCAGTTGTGCGCCCACACGACGGCGCGGCACACCCCCCCGCACAGCGCCTCGCAGTGCTCCTTGAGGGCTGCAGAATCGCATGGCGGCAGATGAAGGCGTGATTTGGTGTTCGAATTGTCGAATCTCTGCTCCAAGTCGTCTTTTCTGACTGATCGCAGGACAAGATTGGTTGTCAAATGCGTTTAGTCGGCAAGAAAGGATTAGTGGGACCACATCAGCTTCTCCGGGAGGCGGAATCTGCGAAGCCGCATCCCTTGAATCTTGGTGACGATTGCTTCGACAACAGGGTTTCAAGACCTTCTTCTCGTTTGATCAGAAGAACTTCACTGTGCGACCCGCTTTGAGTATCTCTCTTGGGTGCTTTCAACAATAGCCAGCACGTTTGTGACTTGCGAGAATAAACGTCTCACCTTCTAGTGAGTTGAACATGTGCCTGTCGCGAATGGTCCAGGCGTCCTCGTAAGACTCGTAAATATTGCGGTAGTAGACCTCCGCATCTTTCACCACGACGGCGTTCTGCAGCACGTCCAAGGTTGGAGGATGGAACTTCGGCATGCCGTACAGCGAGATTAGCTGCCAACCCATGGACGTAATTCACCCCTACCCTAGTTTGCCTCCAGTCGCGCTGCTTCCTGCATTTGATCCCAGAGGCAGGGCCGTGGACTTGCTGGCTGGACACGAAGTCGAGCGAGCAGGCGCGAAAGCTTTCCCGTGCGCGAGCACAGATTTGAGCACTTACCGGATTCTGGAGCTTGCAGCGAACCGTCCTTTTCTACAGGATCTAACCGTAAGACCATCAATCCGTCGTCTCAGAAAAGTTCCAGAGCTGTGAACTTTTCTGTCTCTGGGAGCAAGACAGGAAAGTACATTCCATAAGCGAGCGCTCCGTCCTTCACCTGCAACGCGAAGAAGTACTCGTCGTCCTGGCACCGGTGGCGGCCCGCGCGCACGCCCGCGGGCGGCCCCATCGCGCGCACGTCGCGCAGTAAGCACATGACGTCACGCTCGCAGCCGGGACGGCCGCCGGCCGCGGAGGCCGCGAAGCCGTACGTGTGCGGGTCGGGCGCGTACGCGGCAAGGCCGCGGCAGACCCGCCTGCAAAAGCGAACGTTAACCCGCAAAGGTTAAATATTGAAAGAAGCCACTTCAGTTTGCAGAAAAGAACGTCACTCCGCAGGAAATTGCTTGGAAACCTAGCTAGGCCTATTGAGGTTGCAGAACGTACATCGATCCGGACGATCTTAAGAGCTGTCTGATGTGAAAAGAAGATAACGCCAACCCGCAAGTGTTACACGGAACTGCTAATTCAGTTGCCTCTTGGATTGTGCAGAATATTGCGACTTGCATCGCTCAGATTTGCTGTCGGAAGCCAATCGTATCTGCAAGGGCTCATTTAAGACCCGGTCTCGGCGAATCCAGAAGAATCTGCGGGAGAGCTTCCGACCTTTCAAAAATCGAATTGCCTGACTAGATCCGAGCAACATCAACGATCGTTGGCAATTCATTGCGAAGACAATGCGTCGATACCTCACCTCGCTCGCTCCGCTGCTTTGGGGTCCTTTTTCTCTAAGTACTGGATAACTGCCTCTAGTGACTTGTATAGTCCGTGTAGGTCAACCCCGTGAATCGAGACCGCGTTTCTGCACAGAACGAGGTCAAACATTTCGAAACACAGATCCTTGAACCGCCTGTCCCATCAATGTCGAGATTAAAGGAGCAGCTCCACGTCATCATGCTGGTTGGCGGACTCGATCAGCAGAGCTGCATGTCAAGCAAATAAGTAGAAAGCGACGCATCCAGTGTAAATGGAGGAAGAAATATTGAGGCGCACGCACATGTCTTTTTGAGATCTATACATATGACCTTTGACGTCCCGTGCTTGAAAGCATTCGAGGAGAGCACTCGAGGAGTCATTCCAGGCAGGTAGTTCGACATCTCGAAGCAAACTCCCTGCCATGGAGCAGCAAATGTCTTCCACAAGACCCTTTAAGATTTCGAATTCCGTGAGAAAGTGCAAGACGACGTGCAGACGCAAAGTATGTGGAATCTTCAGAACTGGTTTCTCTGACACGCGAGCTTCACTTAAGGTCTCAAAACATAGCGTACCCTTTTGAATCCTCCTTCGAGAGCGCCTTCCTGCGCGAAGATCATATTCAATGCTTGTTTTTGTGGATGATGGGGTTCGATGAGAAGAGGCTGCACGACTTTAATTCGGAATCTTGTCGAGTGCTCAGCATCGAGGTCACAGTTCAAGTGCATGGGACAAGGAGCTCAGCAAGACTACTGAGCAACGGGAAAAGGCATTGATTTCACGGCCTCAGTCAATCAGATTCTTCACGAGTTCCGTTCGTTTCGTTCTTGGCTACTAGATCATTTCAAGCGTCGCAGAAATGAGGAGTAGGAAGCGTCCTTTGCACTCATTGATCTCTGCATCAATGTTCAACCTCCAGTGTCTGTTGTTTCCTCACTCGTTGTGCTCCCTGGCCCACTCCAGGAACTCCTCCACCACTGTGTTCCGCCACATCCACAGGGGGTATCTCTTAAACCCCGAGAGCGCCGCGGCCGCGCTGCCGTCGGCCGACGCGCCGCTGACGTAGCGATCCACGCGTGCCATGTCAACCAGATCTGCCTCGCACACCACCAGCGAGAAATCCTGAACGAGGATTCAGAAATCATTTGAAAGTCTGTTTTCAAATCCTGATACCATCCTGATAGTAGCTGACGTTCGCTTTGTGAAACATTGGATGCACGGCTCTCGAGCTGCGGGGACGAATCGAAAACCAGGTTCCCTTAACGTCCGTGGAATGCTCTGACCTCCATCACCTAATGCCCCCAAGTCAAGCACACTGCAGAATCTCCTGAAGAGAAGATTCTTTAGCGGATGAGAAGTAACACAAACGAAATCAAATCCAGCATCAGAAGAAAAGGTGTCCGATGCGAATGGATATGGGTACAGCTTTTCGTTAACAACCTTGGAAGCCGTAGAAGCTACTCAATGCTATGTCATACATCTATCAGCACCGCAAATCTGAACGTCAGTCACAGAGACTCTGAGTACCAGGTTTTCTCCCTCACCTTCTGTTCAATGAGGCGCTTGGTAATCCTGGCTCGTTCTTCATAGAATTCGTGCGTCCCGTGTGTCGCCTCCCCAATCATCACTATCTGCGCATCGCCGATCTGTCGTAGCAGCTCGTCATATCGTTTTTCTGTCCCATTAGGCAGCTCAAAAGCATGAGACCTGATTCCTTCGAGATGTAGCTTCAGACCTGCATCCTGTGTGCTTTTCCCTGATGAGGACGAGAGGTACGTTGCTTCCTCGCGGTCGATGCCTATCCTTCGGCTTCGCGTGTCGTAATACGCTGAAGTTTCACCGGCGTCCATTTTGCGTGAAGTATTGCCCAGCTTGACTTTGAAACTTAGGCTCTTTTAATGAGTTCAATCACCAGCTACAAACTGCTCGATCCGCCAAGGACCTTCTTGCTTTCGTAGCCTATTTTAGCTGAGAGCAGGGAAAGTGGTTAAGAGAAGCTTCTGCAGCCCCAGAGAAGCCTGCAGTACAGAATCTGCAGACAAAATATTGAAGCCAGGATTCCGGAATGTGGTCGGCAGCATGACCTTATCATTGGGTTTTCCGCGGATAAGATACCGAATGATTGCAACTCAGAGCTTACCGCGCTACAGGATGCTTAAATGCAAGGCATCTTTGACGTCTAGTCGCCTGAAAACGCGCGAAGGCTAAACATCTTCTGCTGACCCGCTTGTTCAGTATTCGTCTGTGCAAGCCGCCTCAACCACAGTCTACGTCTTACCTGCGCGCACCTTTGGCAGTAAAGGATATTTATTCAAACGAAGCTTGTGAAGAAAGCTGCGTACCGAGCAAGATTAGAATCTCGCAGAGCCAATCCGGTCTTTGAAGCCTCGACCCTAACCCGAATCTACATCCGTTTGCTTCCCGCATCAGCAACCTGGTCTCAACTCGAATGAGCTTTATTTGGTTTGACCAACTTTTGGTACTTATGTTAAAAAGCATAAGGACTTGCTTTGGACTCCTGCAGTTCCCAGAGGGCATCTGTCCCCTGTCTGTCCCTGAGCTGAAGCTACACTGTTTGACTTTCATGTGGCGGTCAATCCACCGCTAGCTGCTTTTTAACGCCTTCTCTTCACCAGTGCTCAGAACAAATTGCAATCGACCGCCAGCCAGGCTGGCTCAGCCCAAGCGGGCGATATCTAGGTGACGTGGACTCACTAAGCAGGCGACGTGTCCTGCGTAAGGTCCCGATGAGAAGCTGCACGTGGGTGCACGCGCATTGGAAGAAAGATGGATAAAGATATGCAAATCCGATATGCTGATTAGATACTTTTGCTTCGGCTTGTGAACAATTTCCATGGGACCGCGCGCAGATGAAAATTGAACACTCATCGTCGGAGCATTACCCGATCCTTCAAATCACCTGTCTTGGTGCAATCGAAGTTTCGATGCATCTTCGTGCATGCCAGGGAACGGGGTAATCTGCTTCTAAGCTTCTGATGTCTTCCCGGCAGATACGAGGCCACATGCATCGACAAAATTGGTCATTGCTGGGATCCCGCAAGCCAACCAGATTTTCGATGGCCCTTGCTGCAATAAAGCTGCGACTATCGCACAGTGGCCACTCTTTCGTAGAGATCGACTTTGAGGATGCTGAGTGCGTCGCCCATACCAAAGGGTTTTTAGGCATGCCCTGGGCCCGCACCATGATGGGAGAGACTGGGAACAGCTCATCGCACCAGATCCAATAGAAGAATTGGGTGCGATAAAGCTTAGGCGCTGATCTGTCATAGACTTACCGCGTTCATGTACGGATCTGAAGAGTTGGGTGATGTTATCCGACCTGCATGACCATCATACTTCAAAGCTTATAGTAAATGAGAGTTCGTGTCCCTCATTTAGAAAAATGGATGCGACGTGACTTGATTAGAGTTTGGTCTAGCAAGTGATCAACCGTCGCACGCGTGAATTTTCGAAAGTTACATGATCGAGCCAGCTGACAGTGACCGTCAAATTCTAGTAATTAAGGGCAGCTTTCAACAACTCTAGCTGCATCGCAATTGATCAGGAATATCCGAAACGTCATGTTTTACATGACGTGAGCTAGGCGTAGATGGTCATGCCAAATAATACGCGGGGGAAAGCGGCTTGCGAGCTAGGGGCCTGCATCTGGGAAATCCAGGATTACCTGGATCATTTAGCAAATTGCATGCAATGTCTATGCTAAGATTGCAGTGCATGTGCTCCGCAACAATGGTTGCATGCATATATATTAGTATGCAGCCATATCACATGCATGGATGCGCAGGCCCATGTGAAGCAACAATTGTGCTCAAGCATATTGCCTATTATGACGCTACGCCACATCACCACTTGCAAATGACACATGCAGATATGGCAACCAATATGTGACGCTGACACGAAATGGGACCCCAGGATTTTGCAGCAGGCTCCTGCGAACTACAGGCATATATCAGCTCTTGCCCGTTTGGAATCCGCTTATCGGCAATCTGAACTTAACTATCTGATTTGGAGACTACAAATTGGGCTGCCAGTTACAAAAGCCGTATAAATTTTCCGATCGTCGAGAGAACATGACGCGCGCGGAGAAGATGAAAAAGAAGACAAGTAAAGGCAAGGCATAAGGTGGGACATCGACACGTTGATGTGTCCAACTCCTAAGCGTAACAACCTAGGCGCCTCTGCATACGTACCTAATATTTACAGCTCGGCCACGAGTAGAGGGCTTAGGAAAGTCCCACCACCGCTGCACAAACTGGCTCAGCTGATCGGCCCATTCTGGCTAGTAGGACTACCCTCTTGAAACTCGTGAAACGACAGAAAGCGAACGGGAGGAACGTAGCTCAACTCTTCGACTCTGTTTGTGACTTGTGCGCATCACCCATCTTTCCACTTACCCCCGGCTTCATGCAGTTTTTCCCAAGGCCAGCAAGAATCCCGTTCCGACTCCCATTCAACCCCTCTAGCGTCTTAGCCTCGAGTTCCAGAATCTGCATTCTAAGCGCTGCCTTCCGCGCATGACTCAAATCGTCTCCTGCTACGGGCGACTTCGGCCCCGGCTCGTCCGCCAGACGACTCATGCTCGCAACCTTGTAACCCATGGCCCCGAGGTCGCTCGTCGACATAGACAAGCCACGTGTTGCGCTCAGGTCGCTGTGCGAGCCCCGCCGTGCAACCGGAACCGCCACCACTGGGGGCACGCTCACATCCGCCGCGGCGTTGCCCTCGCTCGAGACAGACGTCCTCCGATATGCCGCTGCCGCCTGCTGCTCCTTCGACATCCCGCTGACGTCATCCACCGTGCCCCGGGGCCGGAGGCCCGACCCGAAGTCTATCGAGCTGTCGCTCTCGCGCCGCGAGTGGTCCCCGCTGCGCAGCTCCGACGCAGAGTCGCGCCGGGGGAGCGTCCGCTCGAGCGGCCCGCTGAACGCGTGCCGGTCCGGCCGGTACGGCCGCTCTGACACGCCCGGCCCCTCCATTGCCACGCTGCCCTCTTTTTTAATCCCGGCCTCGAGCCGGCCCGAGTGGCCCGCCTCTTCCCGCCGGATCGCAGCCTCCGCCCGCTTCGGCTCCTCTTCTCTCCGCCCCTCCTCCTTTCTCAAAGTATCTTCCCTGCGGATCCCGCTCTCCGCCCTCTTTGGCACATCCACCGCCGCCGACCGAACCGGTACTTCTCTCTCTTCCCGTCTGACGCCCGGCGCGGGCGGGTTGAGGCTGTCTTCGCGCCGGAAACTGCCCTCGTGCCGCCCGGAGTGCCCCGGACCGTCCCCGCCCTCTCTCCGCATGCTAGCGGGATCCTCCTTGCGCGTGCCTGGAGGCCGTTCCTCACGCCGGGGAGGGGGCTCGTCCAGCGAGTCCCGCCGGGCCAGTGAACCTGGAGGAGGTGCAGCATCTTCAGACCTGACTTGCAATGCTTGTTGGCAGCAGGGAACCACTCTCTCGTACCAATAGAACAAGAAAGCACTTTCATGGGGGCGGCCGCTGGTGGCGCACGCTAATCAATAGAAATCACAAGCAGCTGCAGAAGAAGCAGATGTAACCTTCGCTAACGAGTACAGGACTGTGCCACTGCAAAGAAACGCCGCTGAATGAGCTTCCCAAAGAGCCGAGAAAGGCACATACATTTCACACAATGAGACAGCTCAGGCATAGATATTCTTAGGTGCAGTGCAGACACTTAGCTGCAGTAAACCTCTGCAAAGAAAAGCAAGCAGAGCACTCCCGGAGCCCCACCTGAGAGCGTGCTTCCCAACTTCCTCCCCTCCTCCTCCTTGGCCACCACCCTTTTCACCACCTCCAACACCGGCCGCCTACTCGGGCCGCCCGCCACTGCCTCGGGCGCCCGGGGGGTGACCCCGGGGCTGGGCCCTGCGGTGGCACCTGCCGCGCGCGGCGGCTTCTCAGCCCCTGTGGTGCTGCCAGCAACCACGCCAGAGACAGGGCCCTCACGCTTGATGGGCTGCTCAGGCTCGCGCCTGGGGGCGGGGGCGGGGTGGGGCGAGAACTGGGCCCTGTTCTCCTGGACCATTTGCTCCAGGGCCGCGGTGGGGTCGTCGGGAGCGGGCCGGGCGGCGGCCTTGCTGACGGCATCCTGACCCTCCTGCCTTGCCGCCTCCAGCCCAACCTGGAAGAGGAAGAGGGGCAAGGTTGTAAACTTTCGAAGGGCGACAAGAAGGAATAAGTGACTGAAAAGGTGACTTCATGAAGGGAGTACAGCAGATATGTAAGACGCTTCCTGCTTCTCCTGGTGCCAAACTACTTGCGTGCACCACAACATGCAAGTGCTCTCTATGCACAATCAGTGGACCGAGAATCACCAATCAAGCAATCAGGCGGTCAAGCCCCGGACAAGTCTCTACGCTGGCTAGGACTAACATAACTGTACTTGCCCCATTGTCTCTGTTATGATGATTTAAAGAAGTCAGCTCTCGAAAGCGCTAAAAACACGGCCAATCCTACGATGTACCATCTGGATCTATCCTCAGAGTTCGGGGTAGAGACGGCCATCCACAGAGAAGCATCACGGAAATTCCGCGCATGAAACCTTTATGAAGCCATGTCCAATGCACTCGTTGACAATTCGTTGGAGCAAATGACTAGCAAGAGGCTCTATTCAAATTACCTGGGCCCAGAACCAGGAACTCTCTCCTCCGACCAAGGGCACTCCTAGCTGGCCACAGGAACACAAAAACTCCTCAGAAGACCCGTTAAGTATAGCTGCTCTCAATCAATTCAAGCACACGACGCAGAACAAATGGACTACTTCAGACTCACAGCTCGGCTGAATACTCTGCTTTTGAGGCAAGAATCTCAGAAACCTTCTAGGTGCTTCTTTGTAAAGGATCAAGACTTCGACTGACCACCAACAGCTTTGCCCAAAGCCCACCTTGATCCTGTGCAGGCTCGCCGCAGTGTCCCGGATGACTGCCTTGGCCATCTCCGGGTTAGCGTCCTTGGGGAACACCTCGGTGTCGTCTAGCAGCGGTCCACTCGAGCTGCGCCTGAATCCTGGCACGTGCTGAAGCACCGACTCTGGGGGCGGTGTCTGAGCGCGGGCGGGGTAATTTCCCTCCAGGTTGATGCCGCCCAAGCTGGATCCGCGAGAGACAGCGTGGAGCATCTGGCGGCGGCTGTCGGGGGAGGAGGCGTGAGAGGGGATCTGGGAGTCCTGCCCCTGCAGGTCGCCCTTGCTGCCAGCCCTGGAGAGTGGAGAAAGGAGGCTCGGTTGTGGCCAGCAAAGCCAACCAGAAAAACGGAAGAGCATTATGATCGTCCACATCTAAAATCCTGCATTTCTGAAGAGCTTGATATGAGCAGAACAATCTTGCTAACCCAAAGGTTGCCAAGAGCACTCCCTGAACAGAGCTCGACATCTGATCTCAAATTGACCCTTGCTCAACATGTAAGTAGCCCTTTTTTGACGACTGCCAGCAGAGGCAGATTGCGTCTTAATGACCAAATGCCTGCCTAAAATTACATACTTGATTTAGAAATGATGCCTGCCAGCAGAGGCAGATTGCGCCTGAACCACCAAACGCCTGCCTAAAACTACGTACTAAATTTGGAAGCGTATGCTTTTCAAGCTACCAATCTGCTCCTTCTCCATTCATAGATACCAGGACACAAGAGTAGTCCTGAAAAGCGCCTCATCACTTGTGCGTCTGCCTATGCCTCTAACAACCAAGCTTCAGAAGGCCCCGATGACCTTTTAAGCACCGCCAAAAGGCCCCTCATCGAAGACCAGAAGTGCATGAGCAGGCATCCCTGAGATTGTGAAGAGGCACCCCACTTATCTGTGCTTCAGGTGAGCAATTTACTTGAAGAATCCCCTCAAGACTGGAACTTGACCCAACTAAGCACAGCTTCTCACCTCTTGTGCTTCTGCTTGATCAACTTCAGCGCCTCCTCGTGCTTCTTCTGCATCTCCCTCAGCTGCTCCGCGTGGATCCGGGACAGCTCCTCCATCTCCTTCCTTGTGTCCTCATCCCCCTCATCATCATCCTCCTCCTCTCCCGCATTCTCCCCCACCTTTAGCGACGGCAGCTCTAGCGGCCCCTTCCTCAAGCTCCCCCTGGCACTGCCCCCCTCCTCCTGCCAGCCTGCCTTCTCCCGGGCACTCACAATGTCTCGCCAGGTGTCGTGCGCATACGGCACGCGCCCCTCCGCGCGCCTCGACTCCACCCACGTGTTGAACGTCTCGCTGGCTGGCTTGCCCTCGAGATCCTCGCTGGACGCCATGCTGGACGTCCGGCTGACCGAGTTTTTGACTGCTGCTGCGTACGACCGCGACGAGTCGTCGCCGCTGCCCCGACGGGGGGAGGGCGTCCCGCTCTTCCCCACAGGACTTGCGCGGCCGCGGGGGATAGGGTGGGGCGAGGTTTGCCTGCTCCGGAGGGGGGATGAGGGGTGGCTCTCAACAGGAGATGGCTGCCCGCTGCGCTCAGGAGAGTGGTTGAGGCGCAGGCCTGGGCTGAGCCTGCCCCCCCCGGCCAGCTCCAACTCATCGCCGCTGCCAACCCCCTGCTGCGCCCTGCGCAGATCATCGTCTGAGAGACCCAGTCTGCTCACGGGGCGAGAGCCTGCGCCTGCCCCCCTGCGGGCACCCTCGTCCAGATCCACAGAGCCCTGCCTGCTGGCATTTCTGCTGCTTGGGCCCTCCGCACGGCGGGTGCGCTCCGGGGAGGGCTGCTTGCGTTCCATTTTCTCTGGCTGCAGGGCTTCCTGCTGCTCTAGTTTGCGCGCGCGTGCGGCCTCAGCCGACGGTTCAGCCGGGGCGGGTTTCTTTGACTGGAGGCTCGCGCCCCGCTCAGATCTGCTGACGGAGCGCCTTTCGTCCTCCTCCTCGGACCTGTCTAGTTTTCTTGTCGCCTTCCTCCCCCGCCCACCCTCGAACCCCTCCTCCCCACTCACATGCTCTAAGTTTCGACCAGCTGGCGTCTGCGTGGGGGACTTGAGAGACTCCTCTTCTTCGAAGGAGTCACTCGAGTCACTCGAGAAGCCGTCCCCGTATGGGTAGTTGGCCCGCAGCTCCTCAAATCGGCTGTGCGTGTTCTCGTTCTCCTCCCGGTACCGCGGGCTGTGGTAACCATGCGGCGATGACAGCCCCGGAGATCTGGACAGCTCGTGCGCCCGGTCCATGAGCGCAGAACCCTCTGATGAGGCATACGAGAGCGGCTCAAACTCGTTGTGCAGGGGCACGCTGGAGGGTTCCGCTACGTAGCTGGCATTGGACTCCCCACGCCTGAGCATCCGCTTATCCCCCGGTTCTAGTTCTTTGTAGTTGGGAACCAGGTTCTCCACCTCAGCATCGATCATGCTGGCAATGGTCTCCACGTCCTGCTCCGACAGGTCCAGCTCGGTAACCATCTCCCGGGCAACGCTCTGAGCCGTGTCCATCTCGACATCGAAAGGGAACTGGATGTTCCGAACATGGCCTGCAGAGAAGTTGCCCCATAGGTTGATAGGCTGTTTGCAAGGTTATCGAACATGGCGCCAAGGCAAAGATACACTAGAGGAGGCAATTCAGCAAGATATACTGATGGATAGACAAACGGCTAGCAAGCAGCAAACGAAGAAGCTGTCATTTCCATAGATCTGTGGTCTTTCTTTCATGGCGGCATGATATATAAGTAACATGGCAGCAAATCAGAAGGAAGGCAGTGAGCAGAAGCATAGAATCCTTGCGAAAGACCCAAGATCAATGGCCAAGGTAACCTTCACACACAACAAAGTCCTAGACTTGTAACAAAATCCTTGATAGTGGGGACCACAAGGACAACAGCAACATGCAACTGTATGCATAAGCAGAGGAGCCATGTAAACAGTCGACAATGCAGAGAACATCAAACCAATGACACCCTGAGGTAAGCATGCCGCTCGTCTGCTTACCTTCTTGATCTGCAATTCTCAACCGCAGGAAGAGCGTATCATCGTCTCGGATCTTTCCCTTCACCCTGAAGTCCCTGGTGGTGCTGGAATGCGGCTGCTCCTCGACGGACTTGTCATCGCCCTCGCTGTCCTCAACCACATCTTTGTCCCTCCCATCCCCCTCCTCGCTAAGGTCATCCCTTGGCTCTGAAGGGCTGACAGACCCATTCTCATCCCCTTCGCCTTTCTCCCTGCCCTTCAAAGACTGGCCCGACTGGAGAGAGTCCTCCGACGACGAATGCACATGCTGACTTGCCACGCTCCCCTCGCCCTTCTTGCTGACCTTTCCCCCGTACATTGACCCGCTCCCTCCCACTGACTGGTCCTGAGGGGAGACCTTGGCACTGCTGCTGTTGCTGTCCAGCTTCCCAGGCTCGTCCTCCTGCTCGAACCCGCTCCGAGGAATCTCCACCACCCTGAGCTGTGGCTCTTCATCCGCCCGCGAGACCCGCGCCCTGCGCTCTCCCACCTCACTGAACGAGTTCCTGCTCATCCTTCCCGCGTCCACATCAGAGAGGGACTCTGATCTGGAAAGAGGCAGCAAGGCATCATTCGGCTCCCCATCGGGTTTGTCGACTTGCAGAAACGGGTCCATCAGAAGCTCCCGTGCCGGCAGCCTGTGGCTCACGGGCTCCAAGCACTTCTCCACAAACTGGCGCACCTCCTGATCCTTCACTTTCTCCAAAGAAGCAGGCTTCTTTCCCTGGATTAAACACAGGGATATGATTCAGCTCTTGACTACAGTCAGCTATCAACTACCAATCCGCTCTCCACTCGCAATGCCGCTCTCAGCTGCAATGTAGAAGACCTGGCACTGGAATTGAGATACATCCCAGAAAGGCAGTCTTTGCGCTGGTTCAAGCAAGCAGTCCCAATTTGATTTGGAACACATTGTTTGTTGCACTGCTTAAGATCAAGCAAGGACACTGGTGCTTGCCGCGCATATGCAAGGCCTGTGCGCGTGCTTACCGCCATGACCTTCTTGTAGATCTGAGCAGCATTTATGCATTCGCTGTACGGGTACTCGAAGGTCACCATCTCGAGCAAGCACATGCCGAAGGAGTAGATATCCACAAGCTCGTTGTATTCCTCCTCATACAGCTCAGGGGCCATGAACTCTGGAGTACCTGTGATAGTGAACATGCCAAACTCAACCTCCAAAAGAAGACAACTGTCAAAGATGACCGTTGTTTGTCTCTGCGACAACACCAACTAAGCTTACAGAGCTTTTGGACGTCAGATCTTTCAAACATGCCGACCAAAAAGAAGCTAGGAGGACACTGAAGTGCATTGACCCATCCTTGAGAACTCACCAATGACACTATGCGCAGCGTGGGCCTGTCGCAAAATGGCCGCCAACCCGAGGTCCCCAATCTTCACTTCACCCTGATTCCCGTTCACAAAGATGTTATCGCACTTGAGATCCCTGTGTATGATGGGGGGATCATGGCTATGCAGATAGAGCAGGCCCCTCAGGATCTGCCTGGACCAGCTCTTGACTGCCTTCATGTCAACATGCTTGTGCTTCTTGCGGTATCTGCAAGAGATGAATAGTCTTTCTCAGCAAGCAGTTAATCTTCTGGTGTGCAGACAAGCTCTTGAGCTTCTGCGCAGATCATGTGCAAAAGACATCCAACATGTATGAAGGAAACCAAGACCACTTGCAGCATGCAATTGACCCGAGCTGGACAAGCATTACCAGGCACAAAAGAGTGAGTGCAGAACACTTCCACCCCTGCATGCTCATCAACCTTGCACTTTTTGCACTTGGGGAGGTTGAACTTACTGGCGCAGTGTGCCTGACGTGAAAATCTCGGTGATGAAGTTCACGTTCTTGGTTTTTGTGTCCACCCAGGAGTGATAGAACTTGATGATGTTCTTGTGCTTCAGAGTCTTCAGAAGGTGAACTTCCGAGTACAAGCGTTCCAGATCATCTGGATTCTGGAGGACGTCCTGTACTTTCACCTGATTCCAGGCAACTTCAATACCTTCCACTTCATCGAAAGCTCTGTAGACTGTCTTGAAGGCTCCTTTGCCCAGCACCTCGTCATACTGCAAATGAAAGGCACAGTAAGGACCTAAGACATTGGGCAAGGGAGCCCCTCAGCTGAGCCATTGCACCTATATTTTCAACGAAAGTAAGAGCAATCTGTGGACGCCCCAACCAGCTGCAGATGTCGAAACTGGAGAGTCGAGTACACTAAGAGAATCCTATGAAACTGCTATGAAAGTGCTGAGCAGGCTCTGACTCCGTTGAGACAACAGGGAATGACAGAAACCATGGGAGTGGGGACAACACTTACCCGACCATAACGACCGGACGGGTCCATCTCCACATATTTTTCCTTGTCATCATCAGCATCAGGGGGCTCAACAGGAGTCCCCCCTTCCCCTTCTGCTGGCACCTCAGCCATATTGCTGGAGCCTTTGGTAACTGCTCCTCAACCAGGATCAAGATGAGGACCTACAACGGTGCACAGCTAATGAAACCCGCCAACTACAGGCTTTTCCAAGCATAATACTGTGTTCTTCTGCTTCCATCCTTCGCCCACAACAGTGCTACCCCGCTGATTGAATCCAGACCTGCACAGCGAGGAGCTTTGCAGTCCCAGCTAAGTGGAATAATGAACCTGCTCCGTGCTCGGTCAGATGAAAGCCTCTTACAGAGTCCTCAGCTGCATGGAAGCGCACCCACGCGACAACGTCCACTACCCATCCAACACCCTCACCTAAACTTCTCCCCCAGTCCCTGCCAATGCTAAAGGGGAAGCAGAATCACAGTCTTCTATGGCTAGTAACCTTCCACTTGTAACAGGAGTCCACATATCCAGGACACCACAGCGCCAAAGCCAATCAGATTCAGGGGCGAGGGCTTCCAAGGGTACTTTTCGCCCTTTCTAGCTCGACCTTCTTCTTCTTGGCCTCGAGCAACCTGGGCTTGTGGCTGTTGCAGCTTTTGTCCCTCCCGGTACAAGGCGCCGGCTACCGGGATTCCCGCCCGGAGTGGTCGATTACCAGTTGGTACACTAACGTGGGTACCATACCCACTCAGATCACCCGGGCACTGGACCAGGTGATCACCTGATCGATCCTGGAGCAACTTGAATGCAAATCTAGGGCCGAAAAGCTTACGTATCGAACCTTACACAGGGATTGGGTTGTACATCGCAGCCGTTCCATCTTCGAACAGTCGCGGTTATCTGCATGCCCCGGTCAGCATTTTGTAGACTTGGCCGTCGGTCCATGGGCAGCATGCCCTGGGGCCTGGAGGTCAAAAGGGACCGCTGTTCACGCTCCCCGGTGATAAACTCCCCGAGGCTCTCGCTCGAAGGGTTCCCCCCGGGGTCATGGGCCCGTGCTTCCACCGGTGATCACGGAGACGCTCTCTTTCAATCTGCGAACTAGAGCGAGAACCGCCTTGGAGATATGTCTGATGTGGATATGGGACTTTATCCTAACCGTCCAATGTCTTTGATCGACTGTCCTAAATGCCGAAATGGATTGCGGGCAGCTAGACTCATCTCTGTACTAACAAGTAGACTGTGGTGCCTGCACATGCCATTGAATTCATGAAGGCTGGCAAGGCTGGCGCTCACGAGGCATTTGTGCTACGCAATCCCTTGGCATCGTCCTGGCCCCTCCATGTCCTCGCCTTTGGCATTTCTCCAGGCTTGACCTCCTGCAAAATGTGAAGTCCAATTGGCGCTTCTTTTGATTTTTCTGAGGAGCAGTAAATGCAGAAAACACTTCAGAGCTTCAGATGAACTGGCGGCATTTTGATGGTCAAGGTGGTGACATTGAGCTGCAAGTACGTTGTTTGTCCGCAATTCAATCCTGATGAGCAGCTTGTGGGTGCAGATGACTGTGCACAGGAGTTGGCGTCTTCTGCAAAATGCCCACTGAGTGCACTCCCATTGCAATGTTTCCCCAGCTGTAGAGTTCGACATACGAGCAACTCTGATTATGGAAGGAAAGGCACTCTACCCTCTGTTTCATTGTCAGCCCCCGCGGAAGAAAGCAAAAGTCGAGAAAGAGAGACATTATACCACCACGAATAATGCAGACGACAAAGCCAAGGAGCGGCAGTCCGATCCAAAAAGCACAAGCAGCTTGGAATACACCGATGTCAGAAGCAGAGTGCAAACCACAGTTCCAGGTGTGTCAGCTCAGACTGTTGCTGATGCAGCTCAATCTGGTTTTGCACCTTCAGTATCCACCCCCGCAGGCGACAGAGATCAGTTACAGCAACATGCTGACAGTAACCTGCCGTCAGAAGTCCTGCCAGGGTCTGTGGGAACAAGGAAAGCAAATGCTGCCCCTCTCACAGTTGCCACAGGGGCCCTTGCCACGTTGATGGAAGCAGGGAGAACGCGGTTGTCGCGCCAACGATTTCAGTAAGTAGTCCTCATCACTACTTATTGACATTCTAATATCTGAGGAAAGTCTGATGGGGGTCCCACTGGAAACTCGTGGTCGAAGGGTTTAAAGAACAGGGCCAAAGTAGGTATAGTGTACTTGCATCGTTATGCTTAATCAGATTTTTAAATCAAACCTTTTTCTATCGGTTCAGTCCCTATGAAGATATGTTACTGCGTACCTTTGGATTTCAAAGTCTAGGATTTCAAAGTCTAGAGAGGGTGACGTATCACCAATTCAACCACTCACAGAGCCGTCATTGATGAATCATTATCATCACAGGTTGACTCCTACTGACGTCATTGATGTATCATCATCATCATCAGGAGGGGTTGAATCCTACTGAAATTGGTGTAGCAAGCAAGGACGAAGATGAAAAGTATGCAATGCTCTGGCCATCATGAACTTCTTTTGGATCTCATCAAACTGGTCATAACTTCGTACTTTCCCCTTTGCAGCCTTGACCTCCGTGAAGACGGCACCTACACATCAAGTTGGCAGAAGGAGACTCTGGCTTGCAAGGGAAACTCTGTCTGGAAAGCCGAGATAAAATTCAAAGATGGGTCAGGCAACAATGAGATCACCCTAACGGTGTCAACAGGGCAGCCAAGCTCCACAAAGGAACAGTCTCTCTGTTGGGAATGTCCACAGATGCTTAGCAACATCGACCAAGAGCGAAGGCCGAAGCTGTCCGCATCTGTAAGCAGACTTCAAGTGCTCCACGTCTCATTTATCAGTGTTCTCGACGGTTGAACAAGAATGATCGCTCTTCTCTTGATAGGCAGCTCGTTGGTTTCTTGCATTTCCATTTAAAGCGAGAATCACCTGTTGAAGTCCCCTCCTTAACGGCTTGCTCTTGTCCCTGATCGAGCTTGCTTCTCAAGACATTTGTTTGAATTACCGAGAAAAAGATGTCGTTTACAGGAGAGATCAGACAAGCAAGAAGCCTTTGGGTTCTTGCTCAGGAAATGTTTGGCCTGTCTTCTTGACTAACCCCAACAGCTTTCAAACTGGAATTGATATACGAACATTCCTCATTCCCACCTAGCGCTAAATTACTGCACCTGGTCGCGATATATGCCCATTTCCCTGATTATTGTGCATCCGATTGGTATTGAAAGCACCAATGAACCGCCAGTACAGGGCGGAGGTAGCTTGTCCAAAACCTTTGTCGAAAATTTTCAACCATAATTGGCGTTACATCTTTCCAGTTGCTCAAGAGCGCTGTCCAGAAGAATGTCCGATTGTGCCGGTCAAGCCCAGCAGTGAGGGCATCTTTGCACCTCATGAAGGTAAGTGTGATCAGAACCTTCATAGTCAACGTGTCTGTGCATATCTCTCAGATTGATCAGAGGTTACTCAGCTCTTCTGTTATCCTTCTCAGTTCATCCGAAGTCGAGTTCCAACTTGAATCTGGTTGTATTCCAATCACAAGGCACAATAGACATACACACGCGAGAAAGTTTATGAAGTTTGCGCATCTCTTGACAGGATGGTGTTGCTGAGCCGAAACACCTCTCTCTTTCGACCTTCTCTTCACAACCTTCCCTTGTGCTTCGAGCGAACTTCTGTTAAGAGTTCATTTGCTCGAACCCTGAACTCTTCAAACTTCTGCGACCTTGTTGTTCAGGAGACCTATCCCGAAGCTCTAGCGAGTCTCAAATCTCCTTTCATGCAAGCTGTCCTTTCCAATTCTCCTTGTTTCGGCTCGCATATGCGGGTCAGAAGTAACTGTGCTCCACAATAACCGACTCGCGAACTTCTTGGGCAACATCCAACTCCTGAAGGGGATAACTCCTGACATTTTCACACGCTCGCTTCTGTTCCAAACTGCTCGGAATAAGACATGACGTCACTTGTTTGCAGGATAGCTGGTCAGAGTTCCTGCGGCGAGCCACAATCATTGCGTTAGAAGACGCCATTCTGCATCCGGACCTTCCGTTTCTTGTGTGGCTAACGGCTGCGGTTGCGAAGGTAGACTCTCATCTGCGCACTTGTTTCTTTTGCCGGAAGCTTTCTGTCAGTCGGGGGTTGACCTTTTTCCGGCTGAATTCGACGTCCGCATCATATGGATTGCTGAGGTCATCTCTTCCATAGCGGGCCGTCACTCCGCCAAAACTTTTCGACGATCGGATGCCGTCAGCTGCCTTCCTTATTTCTTCTTCTTCGCATGACCTTTTCAATGCATTTTCTTGCAGGGGTACCAGCCTTCGAAGTTGCATGCAGCAGGTAAATTCAATGCACGCTTGTGCTGATTTGCTTTCACTTACTAGGACAAAGGGCTCCGTCGTGCTCTTTTCTCTATCAACCTTGCCCTCGTCCTTGTACGTGGACTCATGCGTGTATTTAAAAACATGGACATGCAAAGGGTACTCACTTGCGATGCAACGCGCTAGGGGTCGTTCCGAAAAAGATGTGCAGACCTTTCATTCAGCTTCTAACTTGCTCGTCTGATAATTTAACCTGGGTAACAAGTTCCTCTTACCTGCAGTCTGTCTTCGAATTGTGCACGAGATGGCTGCCGTGAAATGTCGCGATCCTCTCTCCGATGCTGACGAAGCAGGTATGCCGCCATCTGGATAGGCACACCTGCGTGTGTCAGGGTTTTCAAGGCGGCAAATTGCCTGATACGTTACCTCAGACGGCTCAATCCTCGGCTTGGATTCACGATACGAAGGGAGCGACTAACAATCACTGTTCACAAAGGTCGGAACTTTCGTGTCCAAAACAAGGCCAGCTCGGTATCTGCATTTGCAAGAAAGGAAAGGGAGTCGAAGTAGGTCACAGAGGGACACGGCTGATGGAATCTTTGTTCCGCTTTGCAGATACACACTGTCCTACCATGAGTGACATCTCTCAGCACGTGTCAGCTCAAGAGGCGACAGTTCTGAAGTACGAGATCCCTTCCTTCTACACATTCGTCTCGGTTTCGGCCCCCCACTAAAGCAGTGCTCGCCAACATTTTGATGTCAATACCGATTGTGACGAGGCTGCCGATTGCTATCATTACGTCATGTTGAACGACTGGGTGATCAAATAATCCACGAGACCTCAGCTTCACAACTCTGTGCTCACGGCTCTTTACAAGAAGAACCGCGACCCTGGTCAATCTCTGCATTACGAAACTTCTGTCAAGAATGGAATGAGCATTCCGACCGGAGCAGTCGCCGGCTGTTTGTTGCAGGGCGCTCCTTCTGCGCGCGAGCTGTGGGGGCATGGCGGGCGACGTGCGAATGCTCAGATGGTGAGCCTCTCAAAGCCTGTTATCCCGTGCCCATCTTGATCCTTGTTCGGACCTTTTTAACCCCTTTCCGTAGTCCAACGTGATGATTCCGAACGATTTTAATTAGAATAATTCTCCGACATTCCGACCAGAAAAGCGGATTCGTTTATGCTGATTCCGACAACATTCCGAATGCCATATGTTCCCACTAAGAAGGGAGTTTGAAGGCTGATTTTGGCCGTTTTGGCGCTTCCGAGGACCATCCCAGAGTTACTTAACCTTTCCGAATTGCCACTTTTCGAATGGAAAATCTGATTTTCTGATCATCCGAATGCAAAGAATTATTTATTTATTCGGAATCATTACCTTGGACTACGGCCATCTCACCATTGAGACTCTCAAGAAAGGTCTTTGTTTGGACCTTTTGAACCCCTTTATCCGTTTCAACATCGAATGTGAAGAAACCGGATCGTACACTGCGTGCGCAGAGCCGCTGTGGGCCGGGCAGTGAGAAAACAGCAGGAAAAGCCCTCCACTAACATTAATTGGACGCAACTTAGATGGTGCTTTTCGTTCACGTCACAGAACATCCTGGTTTTGGTCCGCTTCTCTCTGATCTGAATGCTCAGCTGTTCGAAACACGCATCCAGGTATCACTGACCGGCCTTGTCCGCGCGATCGGCCTTCCTGAGTCAGCGTCCGGCGTCCACGTCTAGATGAACCTGCAATATCTTTTAGATCATATCTGCTGCCAGCTAGGTCGAACTTTCACGCAGTAATTTCTAAAACGTCCGCTTACGTTTTCTCGCAGCTACGTGCGCGTCTGGCTCAAGCGCTTCTCCGGCGCTTCCCCTCCTCCGCCCCCCCTCGCCAACTTCTGCTCCGGGCCGGCTGACGTCACCTCCCCCTCGTCTGATGTCAGCCTGGACTGGGGAAACTGGCTGCGCCGGTTGTACGCCCAGACACCGAGACCCCCGCAGGTGCTGGACACGTGTACCAGTGGGGCGCTGCCAGCTGTCGTAGACGTGGCGGCCATGTCGCGCATCATGCTGTCGGACGTGCCGCCGAGCGCGGCTGACTGTGAGTCTCTGATCGTGGCAAGTTGCTGGGTTTGTTTCAATCGGAGCCCAACCTTTGCATCCCAGGCGGCAAGACGCGGAACTGGACTGGCAACGGTCTTTGGAGTGTGTGTGCCGCGAGTGTTTCATGAGTGCAAGCCCGTTTCTACACCCCAGCTGCTGTCCTTAGTTTCGTAATGGAGGGCTCCCTTGTGCTTTTGCGTCTATCGAAGACCATCAACAAGGTCTTGCAAGATCTTGGCGGATGTACCAGACCCTGATTCCGAATGCCCATGGTAGAACAAGTCTTTCGTTGACTAAGTCATGATTAGTGGTTAGCTCACGATTCATTATAGGGACAAGACAGGTTACGCAACCCAACGAAGAAATTGTCTGTCGCTTGCTCTCTCTCTTCCTGTCTGCTCTGAAGCATTGTGCCCCTTGCATTCGTGTGGGCTACGATTGTACTTGTGTCTTGTGCAGACAATCTGTACCACTGCGATCACGGGTTTGTCCTCGTCACCTATCTGGGACTTTACAAGACGCATGTGCACCCAGACTCAAACGGATGCTCTCTCTTTGCAGTCCATTGCTCGAACGTCATCGAAGACGTCCTGAAGGTAAGCTCGACTCGCCAACACCGCTCGTCGATCCATCACATATGGAAGACCTCGTGTGGGATCGAACTAGGTGTCGGTCAAGCAGTATCTTCGTGCCTACCGACGGTCGCTCAGTAAGTTTTTCAGCTCAGGGGATGAGCTTTACTCCTCTGCCCCTAAGAGTAGAACGCTTCTTATTTGCGGGATGCTATTGTCAATCTCTCAGCGCATCAGAGGGATCCTTAAGTGGCCGGACTAAGCACTGTCCATATCGCCCATTCTTACCGGATCCTTCATTTGCCAGATCTTGCTATTGCGCTCGATGGTTCTCTGAGACGCTTCTTTGAAACCAATCCCGATCGTGTCTGCAGGACACGCCTGCGGGACGCCAAGTGGAGGCCACGTGTCGCGAGGAGGCGGTGGACGCGAAGGCCGTCTTCCGGTCGGCCATGTGGCACTTTCGGAGCAGGTACTTGCCGTCCCAGACCTGGAAACCGTCCAGGCTATTGCGGAGCTCAAAACTGGCTGTTCGCATAGCGTGTTCTAGATTATGAAGTCAATTGTACCCGTGACGAAAATCCAACAAAGAGCACTTTCAGCGATTGTGGACTCGTCTTGGTGCGGTTTAAGGGAGTGCTACGTTCCGGCGGAATGGGCCTCCTGTGGTTCTGAGCACCAAGTGACCGGAAAGCGCTTGAGGGTTCCAGTGGATCGAGTCCGATTTTGTGGGAGGTCTTATATACAATTGTGCTCGGGAAAGAAGCCACCATCACTCTCCTTACGCTGTATCAGCAATCTTTGCTCCGCTTTGTGGTCGAAAATGCTCAAGGGCGGATACTCTCTGGGAGCTTTACTTTTGCCGAAATGTCGTAAGGTCCACCGCTGACTCTCCGCTCGCTTGTGCAGCAAGAACTTGAAAAAGACGCTCGATGGGGAGACAAGCACGGACGTAAGTCGACTGTCCTTAGCACTCGTGATACGGAGAGCGTCTGTCATGATGTGTGATCTGGCTCCTTGCAATGCATTTCGGCCGCACTATGTTTGGCTACTACGGTCGCTCCTTACGAATCAATTGATTGCGCGCTTCATGAGACGCAAGGAAACAGAGATGCTGCTGCCTGCGAAATCCTGTTCAAGGGACCAGGTATAAGGAAAGCGATGTCGATGGGGTCTGATACGTCGTTGTTGCTTATTGCAGACCGAGGACGGCTCTCAAGCGGCCAGAATTTGGTCTGCGCTTTCAGCGGAAGCTCAAAAATATTCGTTAAACCTGATCAAGCGAAGATTTGGTGTGTGGACTTAGAGACACAACTTATCTTGACGGTCACGCACTTCGCATATCGAAGCTATGCACAGCCTCTTCCGGCGGTTGCCTTGCTTGCAGCCGGCTGAAAGTCCGCTAGGCTCGGCACGCTCGCGACACATGATGAAAGTGCAATTCCGGCAACGAAAGTTTTGCATTTTGTCAACGATGGACGGTGCGGATCAGCGATAAAATCCATCAGCCTGAGTGTAGCAACCAATTTTCGATCTCGAGAGGGCAGTTCGGTGGCAACTGGACTGTCAGTGTTTCGAGGCTCATGCATTGAAAGGAAGATTGGTGTCTTCTATTATGAAGGGTGATATGAAAGGCCGATATGTAAAAGGTTGCGCAGCTAGGAGCCGGCGGCGGAGGCCATCATTCAGTGCTCGACGAGTTACTTTTAGGCGGCTGCCACGCTTTAGAAATTGAATAGCTGTTCAATGCACGGGACTGCATTTATAGAATAAGTGTGCCTTGCATGATGGAGGTTTATACGGATAAATCATCATACTTAATAGCAACGCATGCGTGGCATTTGTTCACTAATTTGTATTATGGCCGGCTGCATGGAACCTAAGGCTCGAGCAGCCAACGTACCAAGAGGACATAGGGGTTATCACTTTCGGCCTAGTAGCATGTAGCTCGGGCCGCCCATATTTGACTCCGACGCGAGCACATCTGCAGGACAGAGGCGTATGAAGTGACTGATCAGAAGGATCAATCATGCACGATTGCATGTCTGCGCTGAACTTAGACCCATGGTCGAGCTAGCACTGGTCAAGCACTAAGAGCCTCAAGCCAATACGTTCAGCATATACGAGCAAGCGTACGAAAATGCATGCCATGTTATTGGACACAATCGGACAGCACGAGGAGCTGTTGAGCTCCAAATGTATGGCGGCGACATTATTAGCAAGCTTCGATTCGCATGGCACTGTCAATCAGTCGGGCCCGACTTGGTCCACCCCGCCATGTCTTCTCGTGTAATCCTCTCGATTCAAGGGCGCGACCTCTGAGCTCGCGGCCTCAGAGAGCAGCCCCTCGCGCGCCCTAGGACTTCCTAGCTGCATATGGGCTATGTCTTCCCGCGGCATTGGCCCAAACTGATCCCCCGTCAGATCATCGACCGACGACCTGGGCAGCAGAATATCGCCCCCCTGCTCGCTATCCGGATGCACGTACGTGATCTCGCTGTCCTTCCGAAGCGCGAGGTACAGCAAACAAACCTGTCGGGACAGTTTGTGATTGTTAGCAGGCGTGCCAATTTTAAAATGACGGCAACTCTTGTGCACAACACAAGGCTACCAGCAAGGGATCCCCCTTACTGGCGCTTGCACATTTTAGCATTTGTCTCCGATTTGAGACACGCACCCCCGGAACGTTGTCAGGCCGGAGTCTCTAGAGGGCTGTCAGAAGTTGTTTGACTTTGTTTGCAAGAATAGCCTGGACGTCGGCAAAAGGTCGTTACCATTGTTGCGAGAATTGCACAAAGCGAAGCGGAGAGCATCTCAGGCAGCAGAGGGGTATTTGACGGGGTTTGCATTGCCTCTAGCTCAGGAGCATCCACTTGATACCCTCACCCCGGACAACGCACACTGACAATCACTTTACCAAACAGATAACGAGCTGAAATAACGTGCAATGAAGCACCAGCAATAACGCGCAATGACGTCCCAGCGAGAAGGTCGTGGTCCAAGCAACCGCAACCGACCAGAACCCCAAACATCATTCGGCCAAAGCGCAGCCTGTCGAATAAATCGAGTTAACTTGAGAATAATGCCACCAACCATCTTCGACCGAGACCCCATAATGCGAGATTCCGGATTCGTAGGGGAAGACTCACCAGGTACACAAACATTGACGCAAACATGACGATAGCGACAAGGACGACGAGTCCGGCCGGGAGATCGGACTCCCGCAGGTAATCGATGCCGAGGCTTCCTAGGAAGTAGCAGTTCACGCCGATGACGAAGAAGCCGATGAGCCAAGTCGCCAGCGTGATCTGCAAAGGAGTCCGTTTGCAGGGGTATTGAAACGTTCCGGATTGTCGATCTTTCGATGTTGAGGTCGAACCCTTGCCAGTTTCAGTTTACGCAGGCGACAACAGCCACGTGGGCAGCCCCTTGCACAGAGACTGATCCGCACTGACTCTCCTGGATTTTAACTTGCATCGCCACAAGTGCCGGGATGCAACGACTCACCACTCTTTGTAATGCAGAAGTACCACTTAAGTGAAAAGTAAAAGGCAGTCGGCTGCAGGGGATGCCAGAAAACATGCTCCACCAGCTCGCAAGCGGCCAGTGTCCCTGAGAATTTCTGGATTTCTGGATATGAGTATGACTTCAGATTCATGGAGCGACCGCGCTGAAGAATGCGACACCCAGGAAGCAAAACCAGCAAAACAGCGCTTGTAGATGCAACCGACGGGGTCGAGACTCGAAGCAGACGTGTACAGCCGGGGTGGGTCAAAGATATTAAAAGAGAGGAGACATGCTTTCAGAATGTTGGATACACCACGTCGGAGTGCGGACTCAACGAGGGCGTCGGAGGACCGGTCTTACCTCAAGCGACCAATTTGCCGCCCATCAGGGCCAGCGTGGTCGCCGGAGGCAAAATCCAAGACTCAGGACTTAGATGCACGAGTGTACCTTGATCTCTGACGCCCTCTCTAAGAACGACGCATGAAAGATTGGTCGCTCACCACCCAATGATTTGTGAAGGGCCCCATTTTGACGGGGCTGCTGGTAAACTTGAGGAGGGGCAGCAGGGCGAACGGCAGCTCGAACGAGAGGATCATCTGCAACAACAGCTTTTAGGGATTTGAGTTCGGAAACTCTAGGATTTCGAGCTGTACGGTTGTAGGGCTTCGGAAGTTTCGGTTTATAATTAAAGCCCTTTGATATGCTTGATTCGAAAGAGGGGCTCTGGTAATAACCATTCCTTGAGCCGAAAGCTTCTGCATGGATGGATCGGGTAAATGCAGCATCTTCCAAACAACCCGCGAGGTTTTAATGGACAGCTTGGCAAAGACTAGTCATCTGCTACCATTTGTGGTTAACTGAATCAGTCGTCTAGCAGGTTGCCCCGACGAAGCTGTCAACATCATCTCCGAAAGGCGTCAATACTTGCAGTCGTCGATACGCTGGCAGCTCTGCTTTAGGAGGGACGCATGCTGGTGCTCCGAAGCGGAGAGCACTGCAAAGCTCGACGTAGCAACAAAAAACAACTGCCCGCCGTCCGTATATTGCTGCCAGAAGGTGGGGCGAACCCGGTCAAAACCAACCGCCCAGATATCGCACTGATCATTTCGAATGATGAAAGACGTTCTGCAATCCAAACACGGCAAAGAGCGGCAACCGCCAAACGACTGGGCTGAGCTTGCGCATCTCCACGGAAACGCGCAGCTCCATCTGGAAGCGACTGCCCATCAATCGCATAGAGTCAGCAGGACAGCACAAAGAGCCCTGCACTCAGAGCGACCCCGTGGACGGAGACAAGCGGCCGAACAATACTTGATCGGGTTCCTATGGAGAATCTTAACATCCGGGAAAGGTGTGTTGAGCACGGAGGACCTTACCAATGAGAAATCTCCTTTAATCTCTGCTGAGAAGCTCACCGACCGGAAAGAATTTTCTAAGTTCGTACGGAGGACCTGACCGGCGGGAAATTTCGCTGAATTCGTACGAAAGATCTTACCGAGGAGATGATAATGAGATCGCCTGCGCCGCTGCTCCCGCCAATCATGGCGACCGCGAGGCTCGGTACGATAGCCACCGCCCGCGTAAGGAGGTTCCGGAGCCACGGCTTGAACCGAAGCTCCAAGAAGCCCTGCAGAAAACAAGGTTAGGGACAGGTTGCGGAAGTGAGAAGTTTGTGATTGTGGATTCAGGGACAAAAAGACTCAGTCTGGCGGGCACGATGGCCACCGCGCGCGCTAGGAGCTTCAGGAGCCACGGCTTGAACCGAGGCTCCAGAAAGTCCTGTAGAAAGCAAGGTTAGCGACAGAGTCTGCAAAATTGAGAAATTTACTTTTGTGGGTTAGGGACGAAACGATATGATTGGCGGCACAATGGCCACCGCCCGCGCGAGGAGGTTCCGGAGACACAGCTTAAACCAAAACTTCAGAAAGCCCTGCCAGGGGGATGAACTCTGTGGTGAAAGGTTCTTCCAAGAAGTTGTCCGGAAAGTATCTTTTTCTGCGAATACGAGTGCAAGGGTCTAGCGAGCACTTCGATTACAATTCCTAAAGGCAGGAAGGCGAAAAAGCTTGAACCTGTACGACCGTAAAGACGAGGAAGAAGGACGGGAGGTCCACAAGGGATGTGAGGCGGAGCGTAATCTCTTTGGAGCTTTGATCCTGGGTGTAGATTTGCAACTACATTCGGGCGGTAAGACCGTCGCTTGGTACAGAACAAGAACGAAAACGCTGTCAGAGGTGGAACTCAGGGTTTGCTGCAAAGCGATGTTCTGGCTGTTGTTCTGCTTTTGTTCTGGGTCTAGCTCTGACCATGATCCGAGCAGATTTCAGGAAGACAAAACAACACCTCAAGGCACCGTACTGCTACCCATACGAGCTCAAATGCTCGCTGACGTCAGCATGGGAGAGAAATCTTACCTGCATGACGTACTGCCCCGCGTACGTCCCGGTGATGGTGGAGCTCTGGCCGGACGCGAGCAGCGCAACCGCAAAGAGCTCGCGGCTCCATTTGCCGAGCACGTTCTGCACAGAGAAGTTGGGGGTTGCTTTTACTTTCGCTTCGCGTTGTTCCCTAGGTCACGGTGTTTACGATATCCTTGTTCTCAAAGTAGGAGAAGGGCGAGCACTAAGAACAGGCGCTTGAGGGATGTCACGAGCAGGGCGACCGCAAAGAGCTCGCGGCGCCATTTGCCGAGCACGTTTTGCGCAGGAAGGACGACGGGAAGAGACTCTCATTTTCTCTCAATCTAGTTCCTGCGCATCAGTGCAAAAGCACGGGAACGCTTTGGTAAGTGATCACAACGGAAGGGACCGCTCGCGGCTTCTTTCGCCCAGCACGGTTTATGCAAAAAGGCAGGAAATACGGTTCTTCTCTCCCGCTTCTAGTAGTTTCCACATCAAGGTGTTTGACATCTCCTCGTTATTGAATCAGGAGAAAGAGGAGCACAACTGACAAAAGACGCTTGAAGATTGTCACGAACAAAGCCACCGCAACCGGCTCTCAGCTCCGTTTGCCAATCGCATTCTGCAGGAAAAGGCGGGATCGAGAACACTTTCCTCTCGCTCTCAGGTTCCGTACTTCCTCGCTTAGTTGCAAGAATTAGAAAGGGACTGGAAACTGCTTAACGGAGGGATTCTAGCGAACAGCCCGCTGCTTCACTTGTTAAGACCTTGTCAACTCCTTTTCCCTGGACAAGAGAGGGACAGATAGCCACGAGGCAGAAATTCCAGCATAAGCGTCCCGTCAGGATAGTCTACAATGCTTACTTGTAGAAGGAAAGGTGTCCGGTCGAGGTCGATGTTTTGGCAGTTGTCGAGGTCACTGGGCGACAGGTTGGGTCGGCTGCAGACCGCCCCGGCGACGGCGATCACGCTGACGTTGATGGCGAAGGCCAGGAAGAGCGCGAAGGAGCATTCAATAAAGTTGAAGCGGCACCCGTCCTGCAAGGGGAAAGTGAAAGCTTCGATTCGAGATGACTGATGGGTAGAATGGTAAGGGTGAGGAATGAGGGACCTTCTTTGAAGAGAGTGAGGGGTAATGATAATAAGGGGGGAAAATGATAGATTTGCCAGCCTAGGACGGCGAAGACAGTTTTGGGGGGGGAGGGAGACGGGTGCATAACGGGCAATCTTCGGGGTTTGTGTTTTGAGATTAGTGGGTTAGAAGCTTACTATTCTTAACGCTCCGTATTCCTGGATCAAAGACTTACTGCAAGTTGACCGGTACATCGAGTTCAGTGCTCCAAGTAGGTTGTAAGACGTCCTAAAAGGCGTCTGAAAGAGCCCGAAACGATTGCGACATGCTATCAAAAGATTATGACCTTCTTGCACAAGATGTCACGTGGACCGAATAAGTGCGTCCGTCGTTAGGGTTGGGCTATGCTCGCACTCCAAGCTGTGCAAGGACCTGTGAGAGGGGGCGCCTTCAGGAATTGACCACGGAAAACATTGGACAAAAGGGAAACGGACCTGAGAAAGCACGATCTGAGACAAGCAAAAGCAAGAGCGGAAGACGAAGCTTAGGAGATGAAAAATCCTCCAGGGACTTCAGAAGCCACCAATATGTAGAAGGGCTCAAGGAGCTTGATGGAAGACAAGCAGAAGCACGCCGAGAGACGCAAATGGGAAGCTTGAGCTTATGAAAGAGCGAAGATTCGAGAATTTTGGAAGAACTAGGTTGACAATGAGCCCTGACCTTGATGCCCCGGGCTGTGCGCGGAACTTTTCGAGTCAGAACGAGCGCGGAGTGCAGGTACAGGTTATGCCTGCAACGGAATGAGCGGAACAAGTCAACTCGGCACGCTTTAATTTCTCAGAAAGATGAGACGCGCTACTGTCTGAGAACGTAACGAGCGTGACGCTTTGCATTTTCAAACAAACAACATGGAATAGCGTTTGAAGCGAACTTTGCCTAGTAGACCGAAAAATAAGCAGAAAGCGGCGGCTCGTCCCTGGATGTTCTCAGACTTGGAGAAACAACTTAAAGTAGTAGTCCTTCCCGTCTGCAAATCTTATCCGGCTCTTACCTATGAGAACCCTTTTCTCCTCAAGCAGGCGTGCACTTGGAGAAAAGGCTGGGACCTCAACAAATGCTGCCCTCGAGAAACTACCGTATCAGTGAATAATTTCGGCACCTTCGACGCCGAGTAATTAACTTAAGAACCGTTTGAAACTTTCGGTAGACCAAGGGTTACCTGCTAGAAAGTACCGTTATCGATCTTCATCGCGTCCTGATGATGATTACCACGGCAAACAACTGTATGGATTTTTGCGGAAAATAAACACCGGTTCAGTCTTGAAACTTCGTCACTCACGGCATGACGACTGCCCCCAGCAGCGACACCGCGATGGCCGTAGCGTGCGACCCGTTCAGCCGGGGCACGAACATGCCCTCCAACACTTCGGCGGCGCGCGGGCGCGCAAAGTAGAGCTCGAAGAAGAAGCACGACGCGATCATGAAGACCAGGACCGAGATGAAGATCTCCAGCTTGCGGACCTGCGGCGGACGGCCAATAAAGTGAGCGTCCACAAAGTCCGAAAGCTCGCCGTCGGATCTAAGAAACGGAAGTGGCGAAACTCCATCATGAGAGGGAGCCTCGGCGGAGTCGCTTTGCGCACGGAGTAGCAAAAGTTACTTCTTGTGGGGGTTAGGACAGGAGGATCTGACGATCTTCGTAGCAGGCCGCTTTGTCAAGCCCAATTGCTGTCTTCAGGGTTGCGGGTTTCCAAAACATTAGGTATTGGAGAAGGACATCCGTCAAAGCGTTCAGGGAGCCTCCGTGGCGTCTCGATGCTTTCACACGGCTGAGAAAAGAGGACGCTAATCCACAATCTGCTTCGCTCTTCAAGCAGAAAGCCTTTCTCCTGGAAGAGACTTCTCTTAGACACATTGAACGACTCACCCCGTAATTTTGCAGCGCGAGCAAGATGAGCGTGCTGAACCCCGTGAGGATGACACCAATCCAAAGTGGGATGCCAAAGAGCATCTGGAGAGCAAACGCGGTGCCAATAACTGGGGAGGAGCAGAGAAACAGGTTAGCTCTCTCTTCTCATTTTGTTGCTTTGGTTTTCGACACTCTACAAGTCACGAAGCAACAAGTAAAGGACTCGGAGTTTGACGAATCTCCAGTTGCAACAGAAATCAAATTTCTGCGGTGAAGAAAGCGGCCTGATGGGTTTGAATGGGACGCCGAAGTTCAGCTGAGACATCTGACCTTTTGCAGCCAAACAATTTGCATGGTGAACTCAGGGTTACCTTCTGGAATGTCGCTAGCCACAATTGCCAGCTCGGCAATGATCCAGAGCGCGTGGTTGACTCGCTTCGGGTACTCTGCTCGGCAGTGCTCCGAGAGATGCTTCCCTGCAAGGTTGTGATCAGAATGATCAGTGGTATGCAACGTGAAAAATTACAAAAACAGACAAAGCACTGAAAAAAGATGCTTTCCTCCAAGATTTCAAGCAGGATGATCCGTAAGAGGGTGGACTTTAAAAATCCACACAAATATGCAGAAGCATTGAGAAACGTTGGCGCACAGCTCCCTTGCCGCCTCTGAGGGCCGACTGCGTTCGAGTGCGATATGAGCGACTTTCAAGTTTGACCCACGGGCGCATTGGATCCTACAAATGTACAGATCCGGGCACTATACGGGCTCAGGGGAGAGTCAGGTGACTCCGCATCCCCCAAAAGGGAACGTGAAGTCAGTGGCGGAGTTACATCTTATTAGCAGGCTAATTACTCGCACAGAATCTCAAGTCACAAGCGAAAACGGATCACATCCTTCCTTCCGCGCAAGTCGAGCAGCTTTTTGCGGCAGGAAATTCCAATATGCTGGTCACAAATACGTCCCGCCGTTTGTCAGATTGACGCACCTGTCACCACCCCTAGGTTCGCCGCTAGCGATTGTATGATGAGCCCCGCAATGGAAGCCAGCAGCAGCACCCAGAGTAACTGCGCCCAGAAACGCATGGTATTTCACGCACGAATCAGATGAAAGGTGTTTTGCAGATTGTAATACGGCCAGCGGATCAGGCAAAGGGAGAGGATTATCGGCTTTGTGAGAAGTCAGCTGACCAGTGCCCTTACGGTCTTTCAACGACTTCTGAAGAGCCTTAGTATCGGCGCAATTGAATACCTTTGGAAGGATTCTTTTGCTTACGGGCTGTGAAACGATATGGACGAGATGGGGATCAATCGTGAGTGCTCTTCCTACAAACAACCCCAATCCGGGGGTGCTCTGGTTTCGTGTGTCTTTACCAACAATGCTTGTTGTGATTGGCCTGAGAACGAATGGTTGCGCACTGCTTTGCGCTAGTTGACAACCTGAAAGTTTATCCTTACGCAAATTTGGGATACACAAAAGACGACCTCTATCATACAGAGCAGTACAGAGGTTCATAGGTGCACAATTGGGACAAGCTAAGTCGCTATGCAGATTGGGCATTGCCTTAAAGTAGTAAAGGAAAAAACCGGATAAGAGCGCCACTAATCAGTTCTCAGGGGCCACTTGCCTCGTACTTGAAGTCAGCTCCAGCTTTCAGGTCGCTCTCAACTGCACAGCGTGAAGGCAGCTTATGTTCTGGTTCTGTTCCATCTATGCTGACGTCAATTCTCACAGAAACAGCACATTTCCGGCTCCGAAGATGGAATCAAGTTTCTCTTTCACTCGGGCTTAAACTCACAGATTGCTCATCAAGACTGGAGCTTCCAAGAAATCCCGGAATGTGAAGCAACGTCGATAGGGCCAGGACTGTAAGCTAGGTCGAATCTCTTTCCGTGAACAAAGCCACAATATCTGCCAAATTAGCCAAAGAAGAGAGTGAACAAACAGAGGGACTTTGGCTGACTGCATGACACGGCACCAACATCGAACATCTGCTTGTCCAGCGAGAAGACCACCAGGGAAGCATCCATGATTTCGTCAGGGGCGCCCAAATCGCCAGAGTTACACATTCAAAAACTATGGGGTGAGAGGCCTCGATAATTAGGTTAGGAGCTAAACTAACATCTGATGACACGCTTCCGGCGTCTTGCCCAAGACCTCGCAGGGCTCAAAGTCGACGGCAAACCAAACCAAGGCAAACTAGGAAGTGAGTTTAGACAGGTTGACTTAGGTGGGTTAGACTTACAGTTTCCTGGATCAATGTAAGCGATGGCCACCAAAAAGCCCGGCCCCAGGTACGCTAGCAGTTTCCGGAACCCCCGTTTCTGCAAGACAAAGAGGCAAGCCGAGTAGGATCAACCTGCGACATTTCCTGTGTACCAAGGGGCCAAAAAGGAATCAAAAAGGAGGGCAAAGGAGGGAGGAGGGTGCAGACTGGAGGACAACGGGGCTTCCAAACCTGAACTAGAATGTGGAAATCATATAATTTGTAACTTTCAACATACAGATAAGGGTGACGCCAATAGTACGTAATCAAGATGGGCCGATTTAAACGAGTTAAACTCTCAGTCTTTGCGGCAGGGCGAGCACCTGGCGCACGCAATTTCTGATTGTATGTTTCCCACCACTCCAATCATTACTGAGGACTCCATCCTACGGTGACCCTGAATGATTTAATCATGTACATAAACAGTTGCCCTGAACCTTGCAACCTACCCTGGGAACTCCCCGTTCCCCCAGGTTAGAGACAGCTGCGATTGACGTCCAAAAAGGTGGTAGTCACAGACAGATGATAGCCACATTGGTTCCTGTTTGTTACAACAAATATGTCCAACTCTCTCAGTTCAAAGGGTGGTGGTCATGATGTGAGCTTGAGTGAAAAGTGAATAATATCGAGCAGATTACAGCCACGTTGTCATAACAAGTATAACCACTTTCCCCACAGCAAACGCTCTGCTTGCACTCACATCCGGCACGTGGATCTGCTTCTGAGCTGGCCCTTCCTCCTCCTCCGCCCCGCGCCTCGCCGATTGTGACGTCATCGCCAGCACGTCCGCTGTAAGCGCGTCAGAGCTGGACCAACTGCCATTGTCTGAGTCTGAACCGTCCAACAACCTCTTCTTTCCTTGAACGTCTTGCACCTTGGGAGCCATTCTTAGGTTAGGACAACGAGCAGGCAAATGCCAGCATTGAGCTCAAGAGACCTTATCCCCAAAGTCTGTTGATCATTGAATTTGACACAAGAGTTCTGGGCTGGCTTTGTGCGGAAGTTCAGTATGCTTCTTGAACCACGCCAACAAGCTAGAACTTTCCAGATCACAAAGATCGCGAGCAATTTGACGGAGGTGGTACACTCCTCTCGGCCCTGTAAACCTCAATCGAGCGCCTGGCCTTCGCAAACAAAAAATACTCGATGCCTGCCTCCTGCTCGAGTATCCTTGCAAGCGTTTATGAAGATACTATAACTTAGTCTATAACCGCCACCATCTCCTCCCCAAACTCATGCCAATGGTTGATGTCTGATCTTGAGCTGGCCCTTCCAAGTTCAGATCACTGTTGATCAGTTTTCAAAGAGTACGGTAGATACCACAGCATATTGCGGCAGACTGTTGATAAATGTGGATAGAAAACTGCGCAGCATATCCTTACCCGAGGTGGAACATTAAATCCTTTAATAATACAGGACGCATTTCTCCTGCGAAGCAGAAATCGCGGAATTCGTAATGGCCACAATACTTTGTCTGTATACGAGGGATAAAATTGCTACATATTACCTTCCGATCACGAGAGCAATACCTCGGTATTGAATTCAGTTTGCTAGCTAGGTAGGTGCTTGCCTTTGCCATTGGCATTGGCTTCAATGCAGATAGACAGGTCCAGGTCCTCCATTCCCCTACCGCCACACCTAGTCACACTTTCTTTCACTCTCAGAAGAAACATGCTGAGCAGCTGAGAGCTGGATTCCTGGAGGCTCTCAAGTAAAAGCTTCATTGCACCTTGTTGTATGTCAAGTGTGCGGTGACTTATCACCTACACCAGCGGTCAAAAAGAAAATCCAAAAAGGCATCTTCAGAAGGGCTAATACGCAAAGGGCACGTCCATGGCCCTGGAGGTACAAAGGCCTGTGCCCCACCCCATCTATCTAAATGTGTATGATCTGACTCCGGCGAATGGGTACTTCTACTGGCTGGGCCTGGGCATCTATCACAGCGGTCTGGAAGGTGAGTAGGTTTCACAGCTGAGCTTACTTCTTATCAACTTCTTTGTCTCAATAAGCATTCGTGAGGACCTTTGAACCAAATTCGTTCCATGAAAGCCCATATTCAAGAGAAGTTGACCCGCTGGTTTGTGCTCTGCTTCAAAGAACCCTATTTTTTGTTTAGGGATGTCTGAAACAATTTAGAGTTCCTTGGGGGAGAGAGCGGAGGGTGTGGCTGAGGGGAGTCGTTTTGCAGACTATGATTGCTAAGAATAAAACCGTCTGCCTTCAAACCACATCCCAAGTGTGCAGGTTAAACTCTACAGATGATCAGGCGGCCAAGTGCTTTGTTTTCAACAAGGCCCAATCAGCGCAAGAGTAGATTACTTGATACTTCAGAAAAGCTTTGCTTCTTGAGTTTAATTGAGCTTCAGGATGACTTTACGGGGTTCGTTTTTCTTTCTATGAACTGGGGGAGTGGCGTGTATTTCACTTCACTGCCTCTATCAAGAATCAACAAGGCCTGGTTTGCAGTAAAGCAATCACAGATTGAAACTGCCCCCCAGCTTAGGTTCACGGGACAGACCACACGTGTGGCGTCGGAACTTAGCCGTGCCCAATTTATTTTCAAAGTATCAATTTTCAATGGTCGAAGCCAACTGTGTTGACCCTAAAAGCTGAGGTCCAAAAGCAGGTTTTTACTCCCCCCTGTGAAGCATCTTCCCCTTGTGTAGTGGCCAACTTAAAAGGGGGCGTCACTGTGTGTGGTGATGTTATCAGTTTGTAACCAGGTTTTGCACTTTCTGGATCGATCCTCCTCGTTCCTAGGATTGGTTTCATTCTTTACTTACCCATTTGACATCCGCCCGCAGCCCACTACGTTGATAGGGGTGCGTAAAACTCCCAACTGAACAGCTTGTTTCCCCATTCAAGTCAAATACGCTACCAGGGTTAAGAAGCGGGTTATCCTAACCTAGATTATTCCTTGCACAGCACATGGGACAGAGTACGCATACGGGGCGCACGACTACCCCACAAGCGGCGTGTTTGAGGTTGAGCCCAAAAATACCCCCGGGTTTGTATTTCGGGAAAGTATTGAGATGGGCACAACGAGCATGACACCCCGTGAGTTTCGGGGGTTCATCGAGGCGGCGGCGGACGAGTACACGGGGGATAGCTACCACTTGATAGTAAAGAACTGTAACCATTTCACAGATGACATGTGTTACCGGATGACGGGGAGGCGGATACCTGGGTGGATCAATCGGTTGGCGCATATAGGTGAGGGTCTCAAGTAACTGAACTCGGTGAGCGGCAATATGCTCTGGAGTCGTCTTGATGCATTGACTGGAAAGGAGGTTCCTTTCACTTCAATTTGGGTAGGCTTTACTGGTCCCAGAAGAATTTCTTGGACCGTTCAGAAGTACCTTCGAGAATTGACTAGTGCGCACAACTGTCCTAAGAACTCAAATCCATTTACTCGGTAAACAATCAACGAACTTGCTCTGATAGGCCATAGTACTTTGTCGTCTTCCTTCGAAGGACGATGGCTGTGAGATTGTTCCACGTTGTCAAAGGAAGACAGCACCACAGCTTTGACGTTTTTCTGGAACCGTTTGCGCCTGCGATTCTTGTTATGAAAGTATTTACCTGGTCCCGAGCAGGTGACAAGCGCCCGCATTCTTGCGGGGCGAGTTCGGTCTTTCCCTTGCATGAAACAAACCCTTCGGTCTTGGTCTTAATTTGGCTCTACGAATCACGCCCTTTGACTCGCAGACAAAAGGATGATCGGACCCTCCAGGTGGGTCTTCCTGGACCAAACTTCCAAGCGTTTGTTCCCCCCTTTTTCCAGGCTGGATCTTCAACTGCCTGCTCCCCGAGAGCCTCCAGGTCACCGCCGCGCAGCAAGAGTACCGCCCCGTCCAACAAAACACGTACACCAAACTCCCAAAACCCCAGGCGCAACGACCGCGGCCGCCCCCCGAAACGGCCCCTGCCTGGGCCGTCCCGAGCGCCCGGGAGGGATCCCCCGGCGATGACGTCAGCGGCGCAACGTCAGCGGCGCCCATGTCGGTTCCCGGCCTGAGGCGGGCGCAGGCGGGGTTGTTGGACCCGAGCCTACCGCAGCTGCCGTCTTTGTTGAGCTACCGGTGGAAAATGGACGCAGGTGCGGTTTCGTAGCCTTGGCGTGTTCTTGATTATTTTTTGTTGTGCTTTTACCCCTCTTTTCTGAACGGGGACGTTCGATCTGATTTCGTCACGATGTTCCCTCCAGCCGTCCTTACGACTGGAATACCTGTGGAATATGGGCGCAAGCGGCTGCCATGCATCTTATCTTTTCTTTTCCTCGTACCTCCGTGTCTTGTTTTCATTGCTCGTTATCCTTTTCGTCGTCTTTCGCCCTGTCCTTGTTTTGATAATTTTGACCTTGTTGTCCGCATTACTTGGGCTCTACTGTTCCTATCTCCAACGCTCATACGTAATGTAGGACTGACGATCTCCCTTTACTGCAGACGGTCTTCGGCCTCAGTCAGTCAACCGTCCGAGTGACAGCGAACGGTTACTTCCTACAGATGCGAGTGTGCCACAGAAGGACAGAATACTTGACACAAGGCGGTTACGAGACGGTGGAACTTGACCCCAGCTTGTGTGCTCGACTGAGTTTGTGATTGTGTTGTATTTGGTCAATGCATGGCTAGATATGCAACTGTAATGAAGTGCACTGACTATCAACGTTCCCGTTAATAGTACAGGCTTCGGATTGTGCATAAGTCAAAGCTTGCGGTGATGATCGAAGTTGCAGTGCGTGTATATCATCATGTTGAGTGCACTGATCGATGTTATATGCAGCAACTCGATGTTGCCTTCCAATCTACCAACGCCCTAGGCGTCATTAATAGCCATGTTGAGCACGGCCGCCAATCGTTGTCAATGCAGTTTGTTCAATCATGGCTGATTCACCCTTCTTTATTGCATGGTCGCATGCTTTGTACGTTAAGAGATAAGGATATATCCCTGCTCGGCGCGCGCTAGAATATAGCTTGCGCGGCGTGTGTGTATATGGCTGAGGATCTGTGCACCCCCATCAAAATTCATGCACAGCGTACTGTAGGGGGATCGAGTAAATTGCAAAAGGACGATAGTCACTTCCTTTCCTGCTTTGTACCAATGCATGTCAGGCAGCTAGGCGATGAGATCTTGAACTTGCCATCATAAGAACGCGATACAAGTTCGAACTCAATACACACGAGGGAAAACGATATGGTGCATGGACCCATACCAACACAAATCTCTGGCTCTGCGCCACAAAAAAAGCACGATTCGCAGGTCAGGTTAGAAATACATGTGGATTATTCTAGTCCTTCGACTCAGCACTCGAGTTGCTGATCCCGATCCGAACCACAAACTACCAACAACATGCACACCCCTTCGTTATTAGAACAGTCTTCATAATGAGCTGTCACAGCATCCCGATCCGCCAAAACTAGTACCTACCCTGCAGACTGCAATCACCAGCATACGATGGTACCTTCCACTACCTCATTCCTCATGCAGCACACCCAGCGACAGTCCCCTCCCAGTCGCCAGCAACACCTAATAACGGTAGTAGGCGGGCTTGAAGGGGCCGGACTTGGGCACGTTGATGTACGCGGACTGCGTGTCGCTGAGGACCGTCAGCTTGGCGCCCAGCTTCTCGAGGTGGAGCGCGGCGACCTTCTCGTCCAGGTGCTTGGGCAGCACGTACACCTTCTTCTCGTACTTGCCGGAGGTGCGCTCGTTCCACAGCTCCAGCTGGGCGATGACCTGGGGGCAAGAGACGAGGGGCATTGAGTGTCACGTGGCACAGCGTTTCCGACAGCATGAAAAGGATCTGGATAGGACATCGTCGGATATTGGGACATATGACGGCCAGCGCAGCAAAGCTGCTAAAAATTCTAAACAAGGCCCCTGAAGACTCTGTAATCCGCTAGTGGACTGCAACAACAATTTTCTGAGCACAAAACGGAAGTCATACAATATACTCCCTAGACCAACGGGGTTGCTCGACTTTCTAGAGTTGACGGATCTGTTTGTAGACAGGACAAAGCGCCCTGATCTCCTTTTCGTGTGTCACTTCGATAGTCAAGTGGGGAACAAGAACCCCGAGCATCCCAACTGCTCGAGCAATCTCAGAAAGAGAACGAAACAACAAGTCTACACAGTACGCTTTTCTGTAGATGTCCGAACAGATCCTTACCTGGTTGGTGAAGGAGCAGGACATGACGAAGCTGGGGTGGCCAGTGGCACAGCCCAGGTTCATGAGGCGCCCCTCGGCGAGCACGATGACTCCACGCCCGGTCTCGGGGAACACAAAGCGGTCGGTCTGCGGCTTGACGGTGGTGCGCTTGACGCCGGGGTAGCCCTCGAGGCCGGCCATGTCGATCTCGTTGTCGAAATGGCCAATGTTGCACACGATCGCGTTGTTCTTCATGCGCACCATGTCCTTGACCATGATGATGTCGCGGTTGCCAGTGGTCGTGACGAAGATGTCGGCGACCTCGACAATGTCGTCCATGGTCAGGACCTGGAGGAGCGCCAGAGAAAACGCGTTGAGCTCCGAAGGCAAGGCCAACGGAAGGGACGGCGTTGAAAACCGTGGTGAAGTCGAAACTGGAGGGCCAGGAAGGTTCTCAGGAGACTCCACAATCAGCAGATGGAGGAAAGGCGTGAGGAACAGCGTGACCTTGCGGCAACAAGGTTGGGGAGAAAAATCAGCCCGCTTTTGACTGGAGTCGGCAGTTGATACTGGGATATGGGGCAGGCAGGCAAGGCGGGGTGCTAGACGGCTCTGAAAACATTTCGCTTTGGGGTACTCAACAATGTAGTAGTTGAAAAGTACATTTTCAATCACTACTGGAGAAGAAGTTTAGTAGGTTCTTTGTCATTGATGATCATGGAACTGCTTGAACGGGAAGGGCTGGTACAGTTTGGGGTCCACCAGATGGGTCAGACAAGTTGCTATTGCAGTTGCAAACCGAAGTGAGGGCAAATGCTACCAGGGTTGGATAAAAGGCTGCCTTGAACTCTAGTGCAAGGTTTGTTTGAGAGCCAGATACGATCTAATGTTCGGCTCAGTGAGAAGCTGAGCGTTCGACAGGTATGCTTTGACAAGGAGTGAAACAGGACATGTAACCAGCTGAGAAAACAAAGGCATGAGTGGCAGTGGAATCAAGGATGCCGCTCGAGTCCTGTGAAACCGTCACATCCATAATGCACACTGGACACACGCGAGTGGTGGATATAAACTTGCTTAGACACTCTAGCTTAATGTGTGCAATCAAGCTGTTTGTAGGTGCTCCTGTTTGCTAAGTGGTGTGTTTCAGACTTCTCTGATGACCAGGGAATGTTGTGGTGGCTTCAATCTACTCTGAGCCAACCAAAGGCACCCAAGAAGGACAGACATACAGCTAGGTAGATCTGGACTGAGTGCGGGCTCAGCAAGACAACAAGCGGCAGATCTAGATAGTGGTGATCGCGACCCTCTCTGCTTTCGCACGCAGAATCTTCGACAGAAGTGGCTCAATCACAGCACACGCAGAGAACTGAGATGGAATACAACTTCAGCAAACTGACCAACTCTCTTGAGTTCTCAGGCAGAACCACCCCCGACAAAGAAGGACAAGACCTCAAAGTCCATGTAAGACAGTTTTGAGGGTGCATAATGCAACAAACATCATCACAAGAGCAAAAGACGAACCTCCTTGCAGCAGTCCTGGTCCAGATCATCAAATCGTATCGAGACTCTGCAGATCCACATGAAGAATCATGTTCAACTGCAAGTGCTCTAAAACACTGGTCCAGCCTCAATGCAGAAACTTCCACCACGCGCCTCCGTAGCTCAATACTCTCTTGAGTATGTGATCTCACCTGGAGTCCCTCCATGGTTGCTTGCAGCGCGCAGATGGGGTCGATCTCCGTGACAATGACGCGAGCGCCTGCAGCCTTCAGCGCAGCAGCGCAACCCTTGCCGACGTCACCGTATCCGAACACGACGGCGGTCTTGCCAGCAATCATGACATCAGTGGCCCTCATGAGACCGTCAGGGAGGGAGTGACGGCAGCCGTACAGGTTGTCAAACTGCAGCAAGGGTCCATAGGTTCTGGGGTGATCAACAAATGAGAGAAAGAAATGACAGTAGCATACTGCTGAAAGAAAGTTCGGGCGAGCAGAACGTCCAGATCTAAAGCCTCCTTCGCACAATGTGAGATCTGTCACAAACCTGCCAACTTTGAAAGATCTCTTAGAAACTTTGTGTGCAATGCATACCTTTGAGCACCATCAAACTTGCAAACTTTGGAAAGATCTGTCTGTGTGCATTGCATACCTTTGAGCGCCATCAAAGCACACTATCAAAAGTTCAGAGGTTACTGCGTCTTTGCCGGGCGATCTATGATTGCAGACAAACCCTAAACAGCTGAGATCCAAGCTACAAAGTTTGTGCATCAACTACGCCTCCAGTAAGGAATGCGCTAAAGAAAGCAAGATCGATCAGGAATACCAGGATCAGGAGGGTCTATTTCACTTTGTGTTTTACATGTATCCTTGCCTTACAGCACTGTTGCAAAAGCAAGAAACAAATCCAGACCAATCCGTTACCAGCAACATTTATCCTGCAAGCTTCTCTTAGACTTAAGCAGCAACAGTGGCGAAACGGCGAGCTGGCCACCAGTAGACGGGAAAGATCCAGTGAAAGGATCCTGGCAGATCCGGCAAAAGGAGCATTGTCATGGGCAAACAGTTTGCAAGGAAGTGCTTGGCAAGCTGTCTGCATCGCGCATTTGCGAGATGGAAGCTGCAAACTGAGTGCATTATGCATCTAAACCAACCTGAGGGTAGATCTGAGAAACTTGGACATCAATATTGTATACTGGCGAGCAGATCTTCAATATCCCACCTTGCACTTGGTCACAGAGTCGTTAACGTTGATTCCAGGGAACAAGAGTGTCCCTGCCACCTCCATCTCGTACAGCCTCTTCACGCCGGTGGTCGTCTCCTCCGACACGCCAACCAGATTCTCAGCCATCTTGTGCCACCTGTTGGGGCTCTTCTTGAGTCCATCAGCAATGATGGTTAGCACAATCTGAAACTCGGGGTTGTCAGTGGACTTGGGGTCGGGGATGGTGCCATTCTCCGCAAATGCCTTCTCGGCCTTGACCCCCTCATGGATGAGGAGCGTAGCGTCACCCCCGTCATCGACGATGATGTTCGGGCCGGAGTCCTCACCCCAGTCAAGCGCCCTCTCCGTGCACCACCAGTACTCCCACAGGGTCTCGCCCTTCCAGGCAAACACTGCCGCAGAGTCACGAGCAATTGCGGCGGCTGCGTGATCCTGAGTGGAGAAGATGTTGCAGGAGCACCATCTGACTTCCGCCCCCAGAGCGGTCAGAGTCTCGATCAGGACAGCGGTCTGGATGGTCATGTGCAGAGATCCGGTGATCCTTGCACCCTTGAGCGGCTGGGAAGGACCGAACTCAGTCCTAGCAGCCATCAACCCCGGCATCTCGACCTCGGCAATCTCGATCTCGACGCGACCAAAGTCGGCCTGGGACATGTCCTTGACCTTGTACTCCCGGCCGGAGCTCAGCTTCTCAACGGACAACTCCGTCTTCTCGGCCATGGCTGCGAATCTGCTCGATCTACAAAGGGAGAATGCGCCTCAGGAGAGGCGGAAGAAAGATGGTGAAGGGAGAAAAGACAAGAAATGTGAGCTTTCCCTGGAACTTTGAGCACCCTTTGTATAATGCTCCCTAGCTGTGATCCGCTAAGTTGGCGGGCCCAAGCTACTGATGTCAGTGACGTCGCTGCAAAAGTGACGCTGCATTGCTCTGGATATTTTCCACTTTCCGTTTGACCGAATTACGATCCAACTTTCTTCGACGATAATTGTTTCGCCGGAGTTTGTATACCCATCGAATTGCCCCGGGTCGAAACTGAATCTTTTCGGCATCGAGCTTTGGTGGGCGCTTCTGCGAGAGATCTGCGAGGGGCGGTGTAGAGGAAGCCAGCATTGCGCATGGGGCGATAACGAGGGCGTTGCAATCACTCTACCTCTGAGTCTACCGTCAATTAACGGGCAAGGCGCCCTGCATAGCTTATGGGGAATGGTGATCCCTTGAGCTTTGTTTGAGCTCCTCATCCAAAACTCGAAGCTTGTCTTCTCGACATTCAATGGTGCCAGTCATCAGCAATGCGGACCATTGCCATATTAAATTCCTTGTAGACGTAATGGAGTGTGTTTGAGGATCATAGTTTTGCCGTTATGCTCATTAAGCCTTGTACCTCTTCCGTCTGCCGCTTTCGTTGCAGCCCTTTTGTCTTCTCTGCGCTGCGCACATACGTCACCAACTCTTGCAATGCAGAAATTCTGAGAATTAGGGTTCAGACCGAGGATAGTGCCCCCCCTGAAGCCCCACAGCTGTCAAAGAGGCAAGCGAAGAAGCGCCGCCAGCTGTTGCTCAGAATGCAGATCTATCCACCCTCAGGGGACACCGTCTCGGAGTTCATGCGGCAGAAGTATGAGCGTGAAGCACGTCGATACTGGGATCTCTTCTACAAACGCAACGAGGGCCGCTTCTTCAAGGACCGCCACTACCTGCACAAGGAGTGGGGGCACCTTCTGGGCGCTACCACCGCCGCTGATGTCAGCGCTGATATCACTGCTGATGTCAGTAATGCTGACAGCGCTGAGGCAGCATTGAGGGGTGGTGGTGCGGCGGAGAGTGGCGCCCTTTTGACTGCTCCGAAAGAGGACGTTCACAACCACGGGAAAGTAGATTCTGGCAATGGGGAAAAAACTAGAATGGAGAGCAGAGGGGGCTCGCATTCCTCAGTTGCGGTTTTGGCGGACGATAAGAGGGTGGTGCTGGAGGTTGGGTGCGGGGCAGGAAACACGGTGTACCCCTTGCTGCAAGAGAACCCGGCAGCCTTCATATATGCGTGCGATTTCTCAGCGCGGGCGGTGGAGCTAGTGAAGGTAAGCTGGTTGGTCGGCAGACTAAGTTAGGGTTCCAAACCCTAAATGTGAAATAGATCGCTTCTGATCGTGCCTGTTTGTTACTTGAGCGGTCAGTATTGCAATGTAATGTGGGCCATACTTTAGGTCACTATGATGCAAAAGTGTTCGAAATTGGGGCCCTCCTCGAAGATATGCACATCTCTCATTTCCCTGGGTGTAGTGTGACCTTTTCAGAACTAGTTACCTAACTACTGGTAGTCCTGAGGCCTTTGATGGACTTCAATCACTTTTCTTATCTGTGTGCAACCCCCAAAAGGAACCTCGAAAACGCATTTGATTTATGGATCCCGTAATGCACGCCTGACTGTTCTCACATTGATCACGTGCCAAGCTCTTGCAATCTGGATTAAGTAGCTCGACCGGACCCTGCAGGCGCACCCGTCATATGATGCGCAGCGGGTGCACGCCTTCGTCTGCGACATCACGGAGGATGACCTCAGCAAGGAGGTCCCCGCGCAAAGCGCTGACATTGTCTCAATGGTGAGACCACTTCCTGGCAGCATCAAGCAAACGCATTCTGTTGTATGCTCAGTATCGTCAAAACATAGTCCCTCGCGTGCGGCCACAATAGTTGCGAGTCTTAAACGAGTTTTAGCCCTTCCAGGTTCCTCAAAAGAGTCGAGTTTCTTGGTTGCAGCTAGATACACGGTTTTCTTCCTGTCCCCAGATCTTTGTCCTCTCTGCAATATCCCCCGAGAAAATGCCGGCGGCGCTGCTCAACGTCGCCCATGTTCTGAAGCCTGGGGGACACGTTCTCCTTCGGGACTATGCAGAAGGGGATTTGGCACAGGTGGGTCTACTGTTTGTCTTTCGGACTTCTCAGCGATGCATGGCTGATTGCAGTGGAGTTGATGTACAGATTGCTGCGTTTGATTGTTCTGACCCGGGCCTCTCAAAAGTTAGTTTGTGAACCGTTATTAACCCAACCGCTTGCCAACGAGCATACACTATCGATACCCTCATTATTGAGTATCTGTTGGGTGTTGGTAACCAATCCTCCTGCTTAAGTTTGCAAGCAAGGAGACTAATTTACGTGGGGGTTTCTTCACAGTTTGGTGCATTGTGTTGGCTTGATGTGTCGACATTAGCTGCACAGTGCGTGATGAACACTCTGCTGGAAAGAAGCATATTCATGGCACGTACTTTCTCCACTCTCCGCAGGAGCGGTTGACTGGAAAAGTCCAAAAGCTGGCGGACAACTTTTACGTTCGGGGGGATGGCACGGTAAGCTTGGTTACCCCCCCAACTTTGGGTGTCTGGTTCTGCAACAGAGTTTTTGTCCCTCTGTGTCGCTTAGACGCTTCAGGATAGGCAGCGGCTCTAATTTATCCACTCTAGATGACTTTTTGGGTCAGCAAATCCAAGTTGTTGGGTCGAGCTTGAGTATCTCGGTGTTGGTTGACAATTATCACCCGATTGCGATGACGAATCTGATGTTTTGTTGTGCATACCAACCTGTTCAACTGTTACACGATCTGGATATGTAGCCCAAAGGAAACTTGTAGAAAAGGAGGGTAAGGCCGCTCAAGAGACTCTGCTTGCAGACTATGACCTGAAACACGGATCTCACTCGCTCATTTGCATTCCGGCGCACTCATCTTTCTCACAATCTCCATTCTGAGTTGTTTTCTTTCTCTGCTGTAGAGGGCTTATTACTTCAGCGAGGAGGCCCTGTTGACACTGTTTCGAGGCGCGGGCCTAGAGTGCACGGATATAAGGGTGCACGAACGGGAGCTCGAGAACAGGGCCCGCAAAGTTGTCATGAACAGGTGCGCACGAAGCTTCGTTCTTCTTGTAGCAAGAGGCCTTCATTCTTGCACTTGTTGCAGACGATAGAGGGAGCAGAGCAGCGGCAGAGGTTGTGATAAGACGCGAGGGGACTTGCACATCAGAGATGCTAGCAACGTCCCTTGAAAAATAACCAGTGAAATTTAGAAGGTACAAACGAGGACTGGGCTCGTGGTACGCATGGCAGCTGAGAAAGGTGTTTGGCCATTGGACAGCTGATGCTTGCTATGACATCAAAGATCATGAACCACGAGAGGATTGAACCAGGAAGAAGGCGATAAGCGACGTAGTGGGGCTGGTGCTCCTCGCATGAACCAGCGGTGTCGCCATCTTTGAACCAGTGGATTGCTGACAAGATTCTCAGAACCTTGTTTTGTCCAAGCTTGGTGATGTCCACGCCTGGGCCCAACATACCCCAGAATGACTAATTTGGTGCATCTTTCCTGCAGGCGATGGATCCAGGGAACGTTTCAAAAGGCGGGCGGTAACATCCCCTCCACAGCGTTACCGCTCGACCCGCGAGATGGCGTGTCTCGGCAGCTAGAAACGTGTACTATCGACTCCGAAAAACCGCTACCCGCCAATCGTCCAAACACGACTCTGCCACACAGCACCGCGCTCGCTTTTATCGACTTAGAAGGGTCCTCCAGAAAGCAACCGCTAGCCACGAACGGAGTACCGGGCAACCAAGCGAGCAGTGCCGTAGGAGACGGAACAGAACGGAACGGAATTGTGCACCTTGAGTCAGACGGGGAGTTTGCGCACGCGCAGTCGACTTCGTCTCTGACCTTGACCGGGCTCAGTTCAGGCGGAGACAACGGTGAAACGGAGCGGAAGGGGGAAGCACTGTCGGAAACGGAAGCCGGAACCGGACTTCGCTCGGAGGGGGAGTCGCGTGCAACTGAAGACGACGGGGGGCCCTCGCTGGGTGAGCTGTTCAGCACCCCCCTGGAGTACGAGGTGATTGGCCGTGCCTTTGTTGAAGTTCGAGTCAATTGGTTTGAACGGAAGAAGGTTTGTTTTGTGCTTGTCCATGCGCTAAGGGGCCCCGTTTGGTAGTTCCTGGTGCTGAAGGACCCCCATCTACCTGTTCTTGTAAATCGTGCATACAAGAGGCGTTCCGTGCTTTTTCGTGTGCTAAGGGGCCCCGCTCGACAAGTCCTGGTTTTGCGGGATTGCCCTCCTTACTTCGGAGCTGAAATCGAGGGGCGCTTTGCTCTGAAAAGTTTATGCTGGATTCGCATCCTTTTTTCAATCTTTTTCAAACCGAGCCCAACCCGGCCCCAAACGGGGCCTGGTTCGCTGCGCCGCTGTTTTCAGAACATTCTCTCTCCACCCCCGATTTTCCTTGGCACCTTGATCCCGCCCTTCTTCCAATGCTCACGGCGCTTAAAGTTTTTGAAGGCCCCGTTTCTGAACCCCACGCCCCGCCTTGCAGTTGCGTGAGCTGGCGGTGGCGGGCAGGACCTTCCGGTACAGGGCCCTTTCGAACGAGCACCAGCACACGCAGCCCAGCACGGGGCTACTTCTGTGGGATTCTGCGCGGGTTCTGGCCGAGTTTCTTGCAGCCCATCCTCAGATAATCGCTGGAAGGTGAGGTATTTTGAGTGCGGGAGACGTGTCCAAAAGACTTCCCTGTGAATTTCCTTCAGAATTCCACGTGGGTTCTGGCCGAAGTTCTTGGAGCGCAGCCTGAGATTGTAACTCGGAGGTGAGGGCAGCCATTCGAGCACGAGTGCGGGACACGTGTTCACTTGAGTGACCTACGCCAGTCGCAGTGAGACAAAAGCGAGGAGAGTCAGACAACTGCGCTGGACCCTGAACTCGGGCCCGAAAATCAGACCCTCAGACCGATGGGGTGGTTTTGAGGAGACCTAATGTATTACTGATGTTCTTTGGGACTCTCAAACGCAACAGCAGACAAAACCTCAGAAGCAAGTTGTGTGATGCCATGCTAATGTGATGCTCTTGAAGAGGACCTGTGCGATGCCATGCTAATACGCAACTGCTCATGGCCGGCAGAGAAAGGGAAAGTGAGGAGCACGTAGTGACTCAATTGACAGATCATTAAGGTTTTTGTAACTGGTAAGAAACGGTAACACACTTAGACACAAACTTCTCAGAAGGCGCCCGTGTTTCTGCAGGCACGTTCTGGAAGTGGGGTGCGGCGGGATCGCGCTCCCTTCTACCCTCTCAGCCGAGCGGACCGGCGGAGTCGTGGCCACGGACGGCGACGCTGCGGCAATGGAGCTGTTGGACGCCAACATAACGCTGAATGCGGACGCCTTTGAGCTCTCCAAACTCAGAGCCGAGCGCCTGAGGTAGGTCTATTTTGTGGCCTTTGCTCGTCCTCTCCTCTTTCGCCCGAAACCCCGAGGCCAAAAGTCAAATGGATTGAAGGAAGTCTAGAAGCATAAAGTGGGCGCTTCTACAACTGGCCTGTTTGGGCGGCTGTCCTTTTTCGGACATCCACTATATGAAGACTTTGAACTCTTGACAAACATTGGTCGATTCATTGTCGTCTCGGGTTTTCTAATTGACGAAGCATTTCCATCTATCACTGCCGGAGGGTCCTATACTCTTGAGGCCGGTCCGGTGGTAACTGGACCTTTCTACCGTTCGGATGCATGTTATTGAGCCTTTCGTATTACGCTTGTCTTTGCTGCGCTCCAAAAAGCCTTGCTGCCATTAAGGGGAAAAGGAGTGACAATTTTGTTCGCAATTTTACGGCAAGCAGAGCTACCTGCTTGTCCTATGATGCGCGCTGATGTCGCTGAAGAAGCCGAGCGTCTGGAACATGAAGCAAGAAAGTCATGTGAATCCTCGCAGGTGGGGTCATTCTGAAGACATTGCTCGAGTCCGCGGTCTCGCTGGGCCCCACGGGTATGACGTCATCATCGGGGCTGACGTCGTGTACGTCAAGGAAGCGGTGCCGCTCCTCTTCCAAACCGCAGCCGCGCTCCTGGCGAGGGATCCCTCACAGGAAACGGCCCCGGATGCGGACGTCATGCTGACGCCGCCACTGCTGCTGCTGTGCCACGTGATCCGGCGGGTGGCAGAGGGGGACATTTTGGAGGCTGCAAGACAAGCCGGGTTTGAACACCACAGGTTTGTTGAGTCTCCAGAAGGACGGGGTGCCCCTGGAGCGATCAGATTGCTCGCTTTACGAAGGACTCCTTGTGTCACTCAGTCGATCGCGACCTGACCTCAATCCTTGACGCACAGGTTAGTGCATAACAGGGTCTGAGGATACGGACTTAGCTCAGCGAGGTGCAGATCATTGATTTTGAATGATGTGATGATTAAAAGATGAAGCGAGAATCTTCAATTATCTGGACGTCGTGCCCGAGAACAGGACGGTCCAACATTGATGAAGTGCTGTAATGCATCCAGCTGCAATTTAATTGGACAGTGGCCTGCCGTGGAAGGCCTGTTCATATTCGACAAGTTCCTTTGAAGGATCTGGCCGCCTGAGTCCTTGGATTATGCTGATTCGATTGAGACGTTAGGTTGCGCGTCGACCGAAAACCTCCGAGGTCATCCCAGGTTTTTCAGCCAATCAGAGGCCTGCTTTCCATAAATCTGGGTTTGTAAGAGGTTTGCAACACTGAAGTGATTGTGTCGTCTACATTTATCATATTCGCATCTTTTCTGCTCAAAGAAGCCTTGTCGGCAATTGCTACTTCACATGGCCATTGCCCACTTGCTTTGGCTTGAGCATTTTGGTGCAGAATTGGGTGAAATAGGGCGCACAGATGTGAAGGGTTTGCTGCAAACCTCTGCCGAAACAAAGGTTTTCTGAACCACGTGGTCTGACAACAGAAGAGGGGGGGGTGGTAGGTTTTCGGTCGACGCGCAACCTTAGCTGGTGCAATGGTGAGGCTGAGGGGCTTGTTTGTACTATATGCGTGCATGTAGGTTTCGTCACGGTAGTCCGATTATTGCTGCAATATATAAACCCTCAGTGAGGGGCGCATGCTAAATCGTGTGATATAGTAAGCTTGGCGCATTATACATGCACATGTTGAATTAATTTATGGTGCACAGCAGATGCATGCAGCGTATTCAGCGCATGGCGGCCCCGGCCCGCGGTTTCTTGCATGCTTGGTAAACGTCCTAGCTAGGTTCATATACGTCCGGCTAGTTGCAGCCTCCCTTGCATGCCAGCTACGGTACGTAGCTGAATAGCACTGACCGTCTGTCGTAAATCTCTTCTTGGTGGAAGGAGTGTCCTTTCACACAACCATTCGTATTGTTGCATTCCGTCGAACCAGCCATACGCAATTTTTGAGATGGTGGAACATCTCATGTGCAATAACTGTTGCTTCAAACCTCATGCGCGTGCCTTCTGATCAATCTTGCGACGTTAGGTTGAGCAAGCTAGAGAAGAACCGTACAGGGACGACTTAACTTACGCTAAGTTGTCCTAGTCAGCTACCTCACCTTCTCGTCAACGTTCTTATCAAGCGTCCTATCAAACTCCAGGAACGAGCAGAAGTACGGCTACTTACAACTTACATCCTGTTCGATCGAGCATTCCAACGGCGTACTTGAGATTCTTCTCCCCCTGATGTCTCACTCCCAGTCATAATCACCACACAGGCTGTACTCTTACAGTGGCTAACGATATGGATCCCTGCTAAGTTAGCTCCTCACTCTCCTCCACTCCATGATCCGTATTCCACTTCCAAAAGCCACAGGTTTCGATCACTCCTCCATCTCTGCAATGCTTCCAATGATTTTCATAATTACGATAAGCTCCAGATTCTATCTTCGCAATTGCTATAAGACAGGAACATCGTCTCCTTCAATCGAGTGCCGGAAGTGGCACCTGTGTCCGTACGGACATTTGTATCCGTTGGCGACCAGTCGACAGATCTCCGTCTTGAACTTGGGGTGTCGCAGTACAGGGCGCAGCTCCTCGATGCCGTGGGCAAACTGGGTCAAAGATATAGAACGCTGAGAAATTTTCAAAGGGAGGTTAAGGAAAGAAGAGGTGATGGAATCTAGAGAGATATAGCGGTGTAAATAGAAGGCCTACACATTTGTAAACCTTCCAACTCTTTGGGCATTCGTGGAGGGGACCTAATTCGTGGAGGGTGTCCGACTGGGAGTATGAAATATATTCCCTTAGGAATCGGGTTTGCATCCAGGGCTTGTAAGAAACCAAGCCCGAGAGGCATCTGTAAGCAGATTGAATACAACCTGGAAGGATTTCGTCACGGATCGTTGGAAACAGCAAGGAAAGTTGCGGTGCGTGACAGGTTTTGAAGAAGCAAGTAACTTTCGAAATATCAACAGAAAAGAAGAAGTGCTCAAAAGCAAAGGCTTGAAAACTTCCTGATTCATCTTTCGGACACAGTCGAAACGGAGAAAAAGCTTGAAAATCTGCTAGCAGGAAGGCCAGTTATAATTTTCACGCACAAGTCAGCCAACCACGATGCACGACTTCAGGTGTCTTGGAGCACCGGCTAAAGTGTTCTAAACTGATTGCGCGACGGATGGTAACGTTCGCTAAAAATACGAACGGAACGAGAACTCAGGGGCGGTGTATTGCAAAAGTGCCGATTCCAAACGCTCGAAGAAAGGGTTTTTTTCTTACCTGGCACTTCGGTCCATACGGGCACTGCCCTTGCTCTTCCCATTTGTTGCACAGCTCCGTCTTGTAGTAGCCCTGCGCACAAGCATGACGTCACACCGGCGGCGTCTCTGTCGTCATCAAACGTGGTAAAGATGCACGAAGCAGCTTTGCATCCTTTTGAGCTCTGTTCAAAACCAAAGCCTTTCTTCTGAGATCTCCAACCTGTGCGTCAGGCCTAAAAGATCGATCGCGTGATTCCTCAGTATCTAGGTTGTGCGCTTCTCGAAAGCTTCAAAGCAGAGCGTAAAAAGAAAATTGCGAGGCAGCACCTGAGGTACGATGACCATGTCCTCCAGTTCGATGACGTCATTTCTCCTACCGGGCGGCGTCCCTGGAGGCTGCACACAGTGCTGGTCCATCAGAATTTGTGTTCCTCATTACTGAACTTCGGCTATACTTTCCGTGGTTTGTGAAATTCCTTGCAGTCGCGCAGGCACAGGGAGGAGGCAGTCTGATTGTCCAAGGTGATAAAAAGTTGAAGAAGCAGTTTTTTGAAGGCACTAACATTCTGCGCCTTCGTTCGTGGCAACTCTCTTTTGAGCACATCATGGAACAGTCTTCGCAACTCCCGTGCCTCCGCTTGACACGACCGCCTGTCCAAACACCTGCTGTAAAAGCAAACCCGCGACGAAAATGCGAAAATGTAAGAGGTCGTACCGGGTGGCTGGCGGCCTTTTTGCGCGCTTCGCCAGCGTCGTGGTCGTCCTCCTCGCGCGCGCGCTTCACCCCGCGCTCCTGCTCCTCTTTGACCGCGCGCAGGGTAGACTCGCGGACGTTGATGCTCTTGGGAAGAAGGGCGGGCACGTGCGCTGCCAAAGAAATGCCACCTGCCGTCGGCAAGCTGTCCAGATTTCGGAGGCCCAAGCCGAAATAAGGAAGATTGCCCATGGATTCTGAGAGCGTGGGCATGATCAAAAGACAACGTGGCACGTGATACTGAGGAAAAGAGCGCGCAAGCGTCGTTCAAGAGGACCACAGATAAAACTCGAACGCCGAAGCTCGGAAGCCCTCTCAGGGTTTTAGGCTAGCGTTGACATTCTAAGGCTCAGCGATATTGGAAGGGGTGCTTGGAAGAAGATTCAGATAAGGAAAATCTGGTTGGCATCCAGGGTTCTAGGAAAGGGTTTCTTCCAATGATTCGCTCTTGGCTTTCAACGATATTTAATTGTAACAGACTTATTGAGGCGAAGACTTCGGTTCTACATTCCGAAGAGCACAAAGAGAGGAGAATAGAGGTCAGTATTCTGTCGGCAGATTTTATGCACCTAAGGCCTCAAGAGATTGGCAACACAGACAGAGCACTTGCCGGAATGATCTGTCTCGCGCCTTTCGTCGGGCCCTCTCCGGCTGTCCGTGACATGGATGCGCCGTCCGTCCCCGTTCTGTGGGCTGACGCGCCCCGCTCTTTCCTCCCTATCTCTCCTCCCCTCACCGTCAAACGGCCGTTCGCCCTGGATCCTTCTCTCTTCGCCGCTGCCCAGACCGCGGACCGCCCGGACGTCCGTCAGCCTGTCCTTGACACTCGCCCTCTCCCGACCGCCGTCCTTGCCCTGCGGATCACCTTCGTGAGCGGCGACACCTTCTCCGTTGGTGTCAATTGGGCGCTTGACGAGACCCTCCGCCTTTCCCCCGGCGAGGCCCCCTGGCAACGGGGCAGCGCCCGCGCTCGCTTTCCCGGGTCCGCGGGCGGGCCCCGTTTTGCCGCCTGGCGCTCCGTTCTCCGTGCCGCGGCCAGCCGCCGCGCTTGATGGCGGGGCCTCGCCCGTTCTCAGGTACTTGATCGCTTCCAGCCGCCGCCGCGCCTTCAGGATCCAGCCGTCTAGCTCCACCTTCTGAGCGGCGAGCTCCGAGGTCTTGGTTGCGATCTCCTGGTCTTTGCGCGCACACTGGGAGGACAGGTCGGCGTGCGCGGACTCCAAGTTGACAAGCAATCTGCAATTGACATCAGGAGAGTGTTCAGACCTTTTTAGAGGCTTCTTGTTGTAATCTTGTCCTGTATGTAAATCTGTGTGTACCTACGTTTGATGATTTTAATTGATAACGTCATATTACGAGAGGATCAGAGACAATGGAGATTCTGATCGAAAGATGGAACCTAGCTTTTGATAAGAGGTATCAGCGTCCATCTGGTTGAAAAAAGGGGAAAAAGCTGCGCAGCAACTGCTGTTCGAGAGAGTTGTACACCAATCTGGAAAAGTTCTCTCAATAAAACGAACAGTCCAAAGCGACAATGTGTGGAATGTGTGTTTTCAGAATCAGTCACCTCGATAGAGACACTAAGAAAACTCTTTGGGTATCAGATTGTACACACGTGATGCCTAACAACACCCATTTTTGACACTTAATTTTGATCGAGAACATCCAATATTTTTTTCTGAGACCATAGATGCTCACAACAAGTCTTCGACAGGTAAGCTCACTTCTTCAACGTGAAAGCCTCCTCTCGACTCTCCTCCAACTTGTTCGTGGCTTGGTTGTACTTCTCCGCAAGCTGCCTGAACTGCTCCCCCAGCACAGCTAGCGAGCTTTCCAAAAGCTCGACGCGCTTGGGAACGGCGCCACTCGACGGTCCGTGCTGAGGCGGAGGCGTGCGACGAGCTTGAGGGCACTTCAAAGGGGAAGCATGGTTAGAAGTTTGTTTTCAAAACCAGGGGTGTCAGATTGATTGTGTCATCAGCAAGACTGTTGATATACAGCCTTTTTGTTAGCCTGAGATAGGTCACGTTCCGGTGAACCCGTTGAAAAGGCTACGAGTCTCCAGAAATGCGCTACTCGACAAGTATCAGGCAGACTCATGCGCATCCTCTTCGACTGCTCCAACTATCAGGACAAGGGATGAATTGCAAGGTCTTACTGAATGTTTTGGAAAGTTTAAAAACACGTTGCTCAAAATCTTTACGAACTAGGGTTGCTGATTTAAGCTTCTTTTACTGTCCCCAGAGAGTTTTATTCCTAAACCTTGAATCTATGGACCCCCTAACCTGAATTTACTTGCAAAGAGAAGACATGACTACGCACCATTTTCCAGTATTCTGCAGATTTGAGCGCTTACCTGATGGAGATGCTCCTGCAGTCTCACTTCTGTCTGAAGCTTTAAATTCATGCAGCGAACTAACTCTGCCTGCATGGCAGAAACCTGCAACTCTTTCTCGCCCAGCCTTGCCAGCAGTTCTGCTGTTGACAGCTTCCCTTCAGTTGCTCTCAAGCTAAGATGAGCATCCTTGTTACTATCCTTCAGTCCACGAATACGAAATTGAGTTTCTTCATGAACCCCACAACCCGTTGGGGTCCTGTTCTCCTTTGCAGGATCGTGTTGCGGAGTCTGCAACCCGACTATGTCATCGCGAAAGATGCCAGGGCTGATAGAGAGGAAGTTTTCTGTTGTCAATCGGTGAAAGTCAGACAATCTCCTGTCTTCTACAAAATGCCTAGAACCTTGCTCTTCACAACCCCTGCCCCAGCTGCCTTCCTTTCGTAGAATATTAGGGCTCTTCTGGAGGACCGATGAAGGGGGCGTTCTGAAGAGTTTTGGAGAATCATCCACAAGCTGAGGAGAAGGATGGCCCGAAACGATTGTTATTCCAGCCGCCATGATACCTGCAGGACTTGCTGCTTCTGAAAAGTTCAAAGGACTGAGCCTCGCTCTAGGTCCTATTGTTTCATTGTCTGTCTTGGCAAGCTGCTGGTATGCTCGTAGAGAACTGATTTCTCAACGCTGCTACCTAGCTTTGCAGTCCGATATTCCTGCGCCATGCAAATTGAAGGCTTTTTAGTTTCTTCGAAGGACCCAAACTTGTACCCGTGCGCTGGAAAAAAATGCCTCGAGTACTTTCCAGTCCATGCACCTTTAGGCACAGGTATAGCAATGGCGACCTTCTCCGCAGTCAACCTCCTGGTCCATGCAGCTTCAATCTCTACTTCCTCAAACGAAGGCTGTCTGCGGTCTGCTCGGATAGAAACCGGATTCCTAATCTGCAAAATCCACGGCCTTTTGATGTAAGACTTGAAGCATAAGGTCACCAGAGCGCTCAACCCAGAAAACCCATGGGCGGCGCCATCTTCATATTCCTGGGACGAAGACGTGATTGGAAGGGACAGATTACTGGAACCAACCAGAAACTCCTGTTGACCTTTCCTGATTTCAATCCAGAAGTGCGTCGACAGACGTGCAGGAAACCCATCTTTCCACCTGACGGGACACTGCTGAGTCACAGCTTTGGTGATGAAGTTCTTTGAGATTCAAATCGCCAGTCCCGCAGCTCTGACGATGCGCTTTTCCAATCTTATGTCAAGCTTGACGATCACCGCGCCATTCATGGACGATGCGAGCAGACTGAGACAGACTGGGAGGCTTACGTTGGAATAAGGCACGAAGCCCCGAGTCACGTACGGCAGCAACCCCAAAGCAGGTTTGCGCAATCCAGTGTTCCTCGCTTTGTGATCGGGCACATATGTACAATTATCAAAAGCTGCATGCCAGCAATCAGACCTGCGAAATTTGAAAACCATTCGTTTAATCGGCTTTCTGTGTTCAATTATGGCATGCTGTACTAGTCACACTTCCACTGCTTCCAAAGCTGGAAGGCACATTCTTGCAAGGAAGCTACTCAGTCGATTCTGGAATAGAATGGGTGGTTTTAGTGACTGTCAAAGCCTTGACAACGTTGTACGTAGAATTTACATTTGGCTCATGTTACACATGCTGTAGTGAACATATCAAATTGTCTCGAAAGACCTGACAGATTGCAGCTCTTTGCTTGTCGTACTAAAGCCGCGCGGGCAAGCAGATATAGAAGACATGGTGCAGTAGCACTATCGTACTGACGTACTCTTGGGGACAACGAATTCCGGCCTTCTGAAGGCTCAAAGCTATCCTTCGACCGCGCTCGAACGGCCATCAAAGTCATCAACAAGCTTTCATGTTTAAAGCCTTTCCTTCTCGGATTCTCAGACTACGTTATCTGAATGAGACGCATACAATTAGACGCTATCTTCGCCACTACGGATCCCAAGCATCGTCCTCGCTCCGTGATCCTACGCCGATATCAAGAGACCAATAGGCCGGACCCTTCGCGCTGATCTGCGTAACTCTCTTCCTGGCAGCTATGCACTGTCCGAGAAACCTGAAGATGTTACTCGAGATGGTGCCGACTGCATAGTCCGCCATCGAAGCGGCCGTGTACAGCTCGGCAACGAAGTGGTCCTGGAGGTCCTTTTTGACTTCGACCGAGGGTATCGAAGCGTGGCCGTACGTTTCAATGGCACTCCTGTTGACTCCCGGATCGTACAGGATGGGCAGATCTTCTCGGAGGCCGTTCCCCATTCTGTCTTTCAGCAGCTGATCGATAGCTCGCTGAGTGTCGCTCAGGACGAACACGCCTCCGAACTTCAAATCGACCTCGTTCTCGATCTCCGTCACAGCGCTTCCGTAGTCTGCTAGCTCTCGGTAATTGTGGCCGTGAGACAGCCAGTAAGGGTCCTGGACGAGACCCGTGAAAGCGTTTAATCAAGGGCCTCACATTTTTTGCCGCCTTAACTATGTCCAGAATCATCATTTTCGATTATCATCAAGGATGAACATCGTAAATCTACTGTAAAGAGAACGATCTTCTGTGCAATTTAGAACTCCTAGAATATCTTCAAGTTTTTCTTCGACAAGTACGAGGTCGGCATGACGGGGCTACGTTTTGTCTCACCTCTGTCATCTTGTCTGTTCTTCGGACTTGAAGCACGGCAATAGGGGTTTTCCATAATGGCAAGCTTTCCAGGATCGCTAATGTAGGCTCCTCTCTCGAAGGCCTCAACAGCCATTTGCTCACGATCGCAAAGAGCAAAAATATCTTGTGCTTTCCCTCCGCGTCGCTTGGATTGCCGCCTGCAGCAATGCTTAGATTGCCGCTGGAGGCGAAAAGGTCGAAAAGTCCTTCTGGGTAGACGTCGTCTGGATCATCTGCGTTCACCAAGTTGGATGTTACAGGAATCTCTTCACGATGCTTTCACGAACCTTTTGGGCCAACTTGAGATCCAATTTCAGAAGAAGATATTGTATCAACAACAATGACTGGAAGCTTTGAAACATTTCTAGCACGCTGAATCAAGTAAAGAAAGCAGTTTTTATTCTGGACGCATTAGGCACTGTTCACAAAGTGCAGGTCGCAAGCAGCATGTTTGAGCGGCTCACTTGCGACTCTTTGCATCTCACCTGTGTAACCTGAAAGGGGCTCAATGAACATGATGTCCTCCTCTTTCAGCGGTTCGATCTGAGACGTTAGCCGATCTTCAAAAGAAAGGCTGTAGTTCCAAGCAACCTTCTGGAAGGACCCGAGTTCTTGATATTTCGCGGGGAGTTGATCAAAAGAGCAGCTGGTGACGTTGAGAAAGCAGGATATTGACTTCCGCTTCTCGGGACAGCCAAGCCACGTAGACGTCTTCCATTTCTCTGTTGCTGATTCAGGTCTTGGGACTGGTATCACCGTTCGATTTAGTTTGAGACCCAGCAAAAGTGCCCTCGTAAAAGCTTGGAAGTTCCAGCAGAGTCCTGCAAAAATACATGCACAGAGAAACAGTCAACACAAGTGAGCGGATTAGGAGCATGTAACAGGATGTGATGGGACACTGGGGTCATATGAAGCAAGAAGCTACTGGTCCCTAAGTTGGCTTCAGTAGCAAGAAGATTGATATTGTGCTTTATTGATTTGCAGTGTCGTGCTTTGTGATTACATGCAATTAATTCACAATGTAATCAAAAAGCATCTATCTGAAATATGTATGAACACATCATCCTTCTTTTGCTGAGCTTTAAGGCAGCAATGCAGAAACTTTGAGAAATAACTCGAAGTTGCTTTAGCCAGAAAGCTTGCCTGACACATCCATCTCCACAAACAGTTTTTGTGTCGCAGCGCAGGATTTGGGGTACTGAAGTTCTGTTAACATGCTGAGGACTGTCCTTTCAAGTCCTTCGGTCCATTTGAGAGACCCGTTTGTGATCAAGAGGGAGTCTAAGGGTGTTTCAAAGTGTTCTGCTCTCTGCGAGAAGAGTCTTAGCTTATCAGTTTCGCTTTGCTCTGGTCCTGATCCTTTCGAAGATTCGTCCTGAACAGAGAATTCATCCTCCAAACTCATGCTGTAGTCCGGCTCAGAAGCATTAGATCCATAAGTTCTATGCTCTTCTGTTCGTCTGTTCAAGACCTGTAGCAGCGTAGCATTGTTAGCTTTGCTCGCAATCACTTTGTTTCCTTGTCGTAGGTCGTGCTGAAAGACCGCCATGGCCAACAGGACACAAAGAGCCAGAACCATGGCCGTCCACGAAGGCTTTCCAGGAACTGCCATGAGTGCAACTTCAGTTATGAAGGCACCACAATCGTTTCAAAAGTTACAGCACAAGCTCGCGAGAAGTGCGACCTTCTTGCAGATCAGCGGATCTTAAGCTGCTATTGTTTGCGAGCAAGCGAACGGCGCTAGCAGCTGCGCATGCATTCTGGTGGTAGCAGCATCAATGGCCAAGGAAAATCTGCCGGAAAACCAACAGTTGCATTAGTCTCTCACACCTTAGAGCTCGGGTAGGAAGGTGGCGCAAAGCTTTGGCTGCAGTTCCTCTCAGCTTAAACTGCCGCTCGCAGCTCACAGGTTACAGGAAGAACTTGCTTGCGCTATTGATCGACCCCAAGCTAAGCCTCGTCTTGACGAGGAAAGAAACCTGCCGGGAATCAGCATGCCACCCGGGGCATCATGACCGGGCCTCGATGGCTTCTTGGTGCAGACAGTGCTCGGTTATAGCATACCCTGCCACCAGGGTTAGCATGCATGTAACCCGGTCAACCGGGGCTCGTTTGGAGTGGCGTGGGGAGTTTTGCCGGTTTATCCACGTTTCAACTCACGTGCGGAATTTCAAGCAGCAGACTGACTCGCGAGGAATCATATTTGGCTGGCAGTGGAACTGGCATCACCGGGTGGAGAGCTGGATGTTACTCTCATGATTGCACTTTGACTGCAGTCGTAAAGCTGATGGCATGTCGACTCCACGATAACCTAGCAGATGTGAAGGGACGCTGCTCTGACCAATCCCTGCATAGATTGTAGATCAGAAGTAATGGAACGGCGGCAATACCACGCGCAAGCTCACGGCTGAGTCAACTTCAAACAACTATGTGACTGTGCACCGGGAAAAGTGGCAGGCGGACTCAGTTCGCCACCAAGGCCCGTGCAGCTTTTGGAACGTGCACGAGGGATTGGCTTTACAATTCCTGATATTTCAATCCCCGTACTTTAAGTATGCAAATGGCATCTATTATTTGATCCAATGATGCATTCCGCTTGCGCGCCTGTGCGAATGTACTTGCGCTAGAACGGTGTGGTATGCTTTCAAATTATCAGACGAGCTCAAGGAAAACGAATTTGCGTTATCGTTGAACGGGAACATCAAATGTGGCCCCGTTCAGCTTGCTGGGGAAAGATGTCGAAAGATCAGCTTGGGGTTGGAGCCATGACCGGGTTGAGCCACAAGCAAAGTGCACTTCAATGTCCATCAAGAGATCCAGTTCATCGTAGCCGTCAAAACACTGGCTGCTCATTTTGGCATTCACGGCTTGTCGTACTTCGTCACATACACGTGCAACCCACGTCTAAACGCCTCAATGTTAAATAGCGAGCCTATTAAGAGAGCCTACGCATCACCGATACGGTGCCCGAACATATCTGGTCAGTACAGTTCTTCCTTGTTGTAAGCGCCATTCAACGCTCCTTTGTCGCGCCTTTTCAGGTTCACCTGAGAAGGACAAAATCCAACGTGGTGAGGGATTCCTGCATACCAAAATAATTTAGAAGAGGGTCTTTTTGGTCGAGCGTGTTTGTTTCTGAACCAAAACGTGATCAGCAAAAGAAAAGAAGACCCAGCTGTAGTCCCTAGAAAAGATCCATATGGCCTTTGCAACGATGACCCAAGTCGAATGAGAAGAGCGCCGGGAAAACAGACCTCATCCTGCATTGATCGTCGCACCCTTCTGGGGGGCCATCTATTGCTGGCAACATGTCCCATCCTCGAGCCTCATACTGACCACTAGGAAAACGAAGAGACTTCAATGTGCAGATTCACCTGGGCAATTGTCCAAGAGACCCTGTTGCCACGGGCTAATCTGTTCCTAACCCATGATTGGTTGTACTTTACCAGATTCCGAAAACGAGTGCCTGGTAAACTGCACCTATCAAGCACTAAACATGATTGGTTAATGGAGGATTTTCTCCGTAAGGGGAACAAAGTCACCTGCAGCAGAGTGTGCTCCGCCACGCCAATGCGCACCTCCATTTGCTTCAGCTCACTCTGCAAAAAAGGACATCGAACGTGAGACACTTACGACCGTAGCCCCTTACTATAGTAGCCGGGTAGTGGATCCTTGCAGAACGCTGGGGCTTGAATCGACGCCAAGCGACGTAATCCTGGTGTGAAAGTTGAGAAAGATGGCAAAAAATATACCAAGAAATAATCTGGCTAGCCAGTGCGTCTAGGCAGGGAGGCAGTGCACCGAAAACGACCGCGGCTGAGCCATGGTTGCATTGTGCGACATCAGGATCCGTTCTCAAAGCTCCTGTCCGCAGTGCTAACGAAATGAGAATTTGAACGCAAGTACGTGTCAAAGAAAGAATGTCTGCTGCTCGTATGTGATTGGAGATCGATGCAGGCTCGAGGTTTACAGATCGGTCTCAAAGGGTCGTCCTGCCTGGCCTTTTTCCTTTACGAGGAACACAAACCACGGCATATGGGCGGAGGCGGTCTGATTGAAAGAACCTTATCTCGATCAGGCGCACCTGCCGGCCGTAGAATGCCAGCGGCTGAAAGATAACAAACCCCGGCTTTTACGATGTCAGAACGAGGCATCCAACAGTTGGGGCCGGCTTTGTCCAACTTACTTTCAAGGCTTCAATGGCTTTCTTGATCTTGACCAGCGGCGAGCTGTCCGAGATGTCGTTTCCTCGCTCGTCCATCGTTTGCTGCACGTGGAAAGTCAAGGTTTAGCGGCAAGGACACGTGGCAAGACTTGCGAGCGGATTCGACTACAATGCTGCTCGGCATCTCGCGCACAAACTCTCGCCCCTAAGAGGCAACGGGCGTTTTAGATACCAGTTTCAGAACCTTTGAACCAATCTGCTCGCAACTCTCACAAGGCCTAGCCACCTGCTCTCCAGGCGCTCTCAAAGGTCCGCGACCTTGGCGATGCTGTCTCTTTCTTGAAGCACTTTAAAAACCCTGGCGCACACCCAAGAACCACACAACGACAAACCCCTCGACACTTTGTTATATTTGACCCGTCGTTTCTGGCCCGCCAGAATGCATGGGTCACCTTGAAGCTCTCAAGGCGCTTTAAGATGTGCGCGAGCTCGCCCTTGATTTCTGTCTCGTTGAAGGCAGGGCACTTGGCGCAAACCTAAAAGCCCGCACTCTTTCACTGCCGGCCTGCCAGACTCATGTCAGTCTCTTAACTTGATGCTTCCGAGGCGCTCCGAGATGTGCGCGAGCTCCTCCGTGATCTTGGCGATGCCGTATCACTCGAAGCGGAATACCTGGCGCAAACCCTAGAACCGGAAAGCCGAAAACCCCTCAGAACCTTGCCATTTGCACCCCGCCAAAATCCAAAGCTTACCTTGATGCTCTCTAGGCGCTCCGAGATGTGCGCGAGCTCGTCCGTGAGCTTGGCGATGCTGTCCATGCTCTTGTTGTACGCCTCCTGCTTCTCGGACAGCACGTCGCGCTTCGTCCGGTAGTCCTGCGTCTGTAAGCGCGACACGTGTCCGCATTCAGCACTATATTTGTCAGCTTCTCGTGTTATCAGAGCGCATAAGCTTGGTTGGACTCAACGAAACGGCAAAGGCTTTCTGCGCTGGATTTATTGAGCCAGTGCCGAAGATAAGCGGACGGACAAAAACCCTCTTGTTTTTTTACTGTTCTCCAACGATTTCGCATCGCGCGCGCAGAAGGTTTCAACCACGCATAGGACAGGCGTTCGGGATCTGCAAAGAGTTTTTCAGAGTACGGCAGGCTTACAGAATCGAACAAAATTTTGGTGGGCATCAGACTGGCAGAGAACTTTTAGGGGGATCCCTCGCTCACCAGCTCGACAAACTGGCTGTTGATGTACTTTTCTCGCGTGCTCAGCTTCTCGAGCGCGGCCGCGACCTCCGACTCAACCCTGCCGGAGGGTTAAGCAGATCAAACAAGGACACGTGATAGTCGGGAAAGAGTTCGCAAAGATAATCCTTTTGACATAGTCTCTCAGTTCACTGAGGTGCTGTTCGATATTCGCCTAAGAAGGGGCGTGCGCTGACGCATGTGTTATGGGCAGAAATGCGATGACGTGATCACAAGGCTTGAAGAGCCTCTTCTGCTGGCACTTAAACGTCCAAAAGCGACATCAGCAGAAAGGGCCGTGCAAATTCGCGGCGACGGGAAGTCCGCATTGCCTCTCGCATTGTCGCCCTCTGCGGCTCTGTCCGGCCATGCTCTGCATAACCGAGCTTCCCTTGCTTTCATGCATAACTCAAGCGCTGTCGTTTTCCTGTGAGTGCAGGGTTCTCACTTGTCTAGTTGTCCTTTACCCTCCGGCAGTGACTTGGCAATCTCGCCGTGCTGCTGGGACGCCTGCTCGAGATGCGTCCGCCAGTCCTTCACGTCCGCGACCTGAGCGCCCGCAAAAAGAGGTTAAGCGTTGTTATGCATGATGAGGTGGAGGTCGATTGATACATCGTCAAGAAATCTTCGAAGTCGTGCTCTTTATGCTACGGTACCAATGTCCCTCCAAATCAAGGTAAAAGTATCCAACTCTAACGGGAGCACTTCGGGACGGGACAGCGGGCCTTTTCATCAATAGCAGGTGAACAGTTGACCGTCAAAGTATACGTAATAATCCGTTTCTGGTAGTGCTGGATACCCTCAGGCAGCGAATTTCCTGATAATCGTAAGATGTGACAAGCTTGCATCTTGAAAACCCCGTCTCTTCTTTACGTGAAGTCCCGAATTTGTCCGGGGACGCTGAGATCAGTCAGCCGTAACCTGAGCTTCTACTTTCTGTCACTATAACCCTGACAAACCCGAAGGCCTCCGAAGGCTCAAACCCTGAAATGCAGAAACACTGAAGTGGTTCTCGAACCCTCACCACAGTCAGCCGGAGCTGTGGCCCGACGCGTTCGAGCTCCAGCTTCCATTCCGCGGGATCGACTTTCGATTCGAGGGGCGCTTGCCTGCGGGAGGCAGGAACAATCAGTCGTCGATTGCGCCTGTAGTCTGGACAGACCCAGCTCAAAAGCCGACGCTCGAGCATTTGGGAAGGTCAGAGTATTTAGAAGCCCGAAACGAGCTCTGTCTGATGTTGGTTCGTGCAACGACAGATGTCCAATCCCGAGATCAATAAGCGAAACTGGGGTTAAAGGAGCTTCGTCTGGAAGCTGGTAGAACGAGAAACTCCCTCTCCATCTTCATCAGCAGAAGGTTGGCTGGCCGAGAAAAGAAAAGCTCCCTCGAAATGTGATGAGATCAACAACCACAAGGTGCCAAAATCTCGGGGCTGTTGATGATTTCCTTGCTGCTGAGAGAGGACGATGGAGTGCGAATCGCCAGTGGGAACCTGACAGCTTTTCCGAAACACTCACAGTGCAATGCTGGGGCCCGCCCCCGTGTCACGTGACGTCACTCCGACGAGTGCGTCATCATCGTCGTCCAGATCCGGCATCATTGCCTGAACAGGGGAGTGGATCCTTATTATGAGAACTGCTTTCAAAGGGATTGCTCTTTATCAAAGGAGCGTTGAGAGTGGCTGTCTAAGATTGGGCTGGTAATGAGAGGTCAAAAGTAGTATAGGTATATCCGTTCGACCGAGACAGAGACATTAGCTTAGGTGTGGCGGCTCAGCGATACAAGCATTGACTATCGCTTGATGCATGACAAGCTTGCGTGGTGCTTGCAGCGAGCTTCGCCTTTTGACGAGCCCAGTTCTATCGACAGGGCCACGTGGCGGGATCCAGTTGGTTTACCTCGTCTAAGATGTCGTCCTCGTCCCCCTCCTCGTCGGCTTCTGCTTCTTCCGGATAACTGAACCAAACGATGCAGTAAACTTCTGGTATCTACTCTCCACATGTCTCGACGAGTCTTGACAATTGAAAAAGATTATGAAAGGTAAATTGGTGATCTTTCCACGCTGGAAAAGCGGCTTCCAGAGGGTACACTCAGTCGCTGAAATATCAGATCCTCACAACCTGCAAAAGGTTTTGGATGATGCAATTCTGCGATACACTTGAACCTCGCATTCCTAACGTGGGTTTTTGGACCCCGTAATGAGTTCTTCATAAAAGGCCCCAAAACGGCAAGTACGGTTCTGTGGTAAGATTCAAAAACATTGCAGTCTGATCAGCTAATTTGTCATTGCAGATAAATCGGCTGCGAAAGATATGTATGGAAACGATGTTGAAACTCCGACTTGAGTCGGCATGTTGCCTGAGGGACCGTTTCACCGTTCTTCAGCAATACATCACTTCACCAACCTGATAGCAGATACAACACCGTTGTACGAGAAACCGTAGCAAAGTCAAAAAGGCCGATGTCCATTATCGAAGAAAAAACAAGCAGTGACACGCACTCCTCGTCAGCAACACAATTGCAAGAAAAGGAACCGGACAGAAACCAGAAAAATCCGGCGGAAGAAGTTCCTTTTTTACACAGCCCACCTTTCGGACTTGTAGACGGGCGCTCGGAAAACGAACTTCTGCTTCTCGAGCGCCAGGCTGGCGAGTCCGTCCAACACGCCACACACCGCGTCGCCGTAGCCCTGCGCCCCGCAAAGTTTGCAGATCATTAATCCTGGCGGGTTTGGACATCTTTTCAAATCTGGATTGCAAAGTCCTACTTGAAACGAGCTCCAGACCTACAGTATCTCAGAGGCCTATCTCTGGAAGCCGCATGTGCCGGCCCAAAGGCGTTACTTATGCTGTAAAAGGTCATGCACGGAACGGCCCAGAGTTGCGCGCAGAGAGTTACGATAGGGTTAGGATGAGGGGTGCGCCGCCAAAAAGCGCGGTGAGATGGTCAGCAGAGGTCAAACTGAGAAGGGCGCCGATGGATAGTCAAGCCTTGGCTGCGGCTTGGTCTCTGGTCTGATTCGGCCCAGTGTCCAGATCTTTTCGCAGGCGCATCATCTGCTTGCTCCGTGGTTCGGCCAGGAGGGCGACGGCTTGAAGATGGAACCTTTCAGAACGGCGGTCCCACCGATTTTGAACTTCATCATGAGGCTCAGAGTCTATAAACTAAGAAGCTGATTGCAGCAGCAACCTATGAAAGTGGAGGCTGTGGGTCCCAGAGGAGTTCTCAACTCACCTGCTTGAGCTTTGCGGGTGGAAAGCTGGGAGGGGCGAAGCCCAGGTTTTGGAGCTCCATCACTGTACAAATGGTCAAGGAGTGTACCAACAAATAAAGCGCCATTCTAGTTACTCTCTGGCAGCGAGCATAATCTCCCAACAGCCAGAAGTGGCTAGATGATATTACGGTTTGGGGCATCGGCTCTATCTTGAACAGGGAGCAAACCGAAGCCTTTTAAAAGCAAGACTGGGTTTACGGAAGTATGCATCAGAAAGGTTTCAGACGCGGACTATATGGACCCGGTTCTAACGGCCGGGTTGGACGTCCGCACAAGTCTCAAGACACATTCTGAGCGTCGCGAACGGAAGCCAAGGCTGATATCACGTATCAGCTTCCGATCACAACAAAAGCAACATTCGTTGTCAAGCGTTCGATCGTGGCTTTCATGGACAAAAAACATGGGAAATGGTAATAAGATCCCTTTTTGAGCAGGCGCAGCATCAGGGTTTCATTGGCGGCCAATGGGGATACGGATATTGGTACACGTGGCGTTTGGGTCGTCGAACTGGCCGGGCTCCTTGAAGCGCCTTCCCGAGAGCGAGAGGAGAAACGTCACCTGCGGGACAAGCCTACCAAAAGCTGACGTCATAATGGACGATCCACTCGAAATTTGACTCTGTGGTGGCTGAACGATATACGGTACGACATGTGATTACCTATCGACTGGTTTTGACCTCAACGGACATCACGAGATAACAAATCTGTTCATGTGATCAGATTTCGACCTGCAACAGATGTCGCAAGACGAAAATTCTCTTGACGTAAACAGGATTCTGCGGCAGAAGCTTTACAACGGTCGGGTGCCATTTCCAAGCACGGGAGGGGCGATCTGCGCACTGATCGGGGAGCTCGGAGCACTTGCACGAAAACATGGATCTTACCAGGCTTGTGAAGTAGAAGAGCTGTTCGTTTGCGTTGTTGGACGGGTATGCAAAGTACGTTCGCGCGAGGGGCGGCCATGGAGGTCGCCTGTAGAATTAAAATAAGCGATCAGTGCCGAGCTTTGTCCAACAAAGTTTCGGGTTATCGAACAACTCACAAGTTTGCCAACTGGTCTGACTTGGTCAACAGATTGAATGTTCTGCAGCACATTCGCAGCCTTAGATGAGGCCAGTGATCGAAGCAGTGGGACTTTCAAAGCAGAAGGCGTTTGCAGCATCCGTTGCTCAAAGCAGAAACTAAACGACAGAAATCTCACGCTGAAACTTTTGGCCTTCGAGGAGAATCTTATCATATGACGAGCAACATGCAAACGGATCAAGAAGGTGTGCGATGTCTGGCACGTGCTGCGGGAACCTTTCTTTACTGTGAGTTGCTCGCTCTTGGATCCTATTCCCTATCAGTTCCACGAGTTGCGCGCGCATTGCATCACTTTGTGGGGACAGCCTTATCCTTTGACCATCCAACAGTGCAGGAGTTAGGGATCCGCTTTCTTCCAGCATTGACAACCACCCGTTTCAAGCAGACGCGCCTCACCTCCGTTTGCAGAACTCCTTCTCATAGTTGAGCAGCTTCAGCTTTTCGACAATGAACTCCACCAAAACGTCCGCAGGCGCCTCCGGCTGCAGTTGCATTTCGCAGGGCTCAGAAGAGAAACATTTGAAGTCTCTTCTTGTTCCAATATGCACTTGCGAATTGCTGTACAACTAGCCGCGTCCAAGCTTCAGAGAAGGGCTTTGAGGTCTGACTCTGCACGGGGTATTGAATCGCAGCACTTTGCATCCACATTGATCAATTTTCAGCCAGACCGCATGATTCCAATCACGAACATGCATTTAACGAACTGCCAACGACCCTGCTAGTAATTTGCAGTGTACGGAAGGCATTTCTAACCTGTTACTTCAAAGCAGAAGCATGATATGCACCAAGCTGTATACCAAATTGCTCGCAAGCTCCATCTAAATAGCTTACAATGGTCTTCTTATTACCCCCATGGACAGAAAAGTAAAAGAAATGCAGACTCTCACCTCAACAGACCTGCCGGAGGGGGCAGCCCGACCCGGCGCCCCTGTCTCGGGGCCCATTGTTGCGTCCCCATCCAGATCGCCCCCTGAGTCACTATACTGCCGGCTCCGACTCTGCACAAATAACGAACGCTGGTCAGGAAACTGAGTCCACTGTTGCTTTGGACTCGATAACCTTTTCATGGTCTAGGGCTTCCCGACAGACTTTTGCTTTGCTGAAATGATTGTTGCCCAATCTGTCCAGACGGCTTCATGAAAAACCTGACTGTATCAGCAGAACGAAGAACCTGCAATCATCGTTTTCGGAGATGCAGCATCTGTAGGGCTGTAGGTTGGCCTCCGACAGGTAGCTCCACCCACATGTTGCTTGCATCGATCTACTCAGACGCTTGCCGATCCATCAATCCAATCTGGCTGGGACCAAAAGGTTATAGCAATCACTTCAAAAAGATGCTGTGCAATTGAATGCTCCACACCACCTCAGCAATTGACAGCTGAGCGAGTCTTGAGGTAGCTCCCATCTACATATTGCATTAAGTAACTGGAAGCCTTGGCAATCCATCAATCCACTCTGGCAGGGGTCAAGAGATTACCACCAATCACTCAAGAAGATGCCGGCATTTTGAGAATGTTTAAAGCTACTTCAGCAATCAAAAGCTGAATTTGTATTGAATATGCTACTACTGATTAGTGATTCGAGCCTGATTGCAGTGCCTAATGCCCATCTTGACAACTGGTGACTTGGAGCAGCCCTGGCAGTCTTTGAGAAGAGATCAAGCGGTCAGAGAGATCAGTAAAAGCACAATGAAGGCTGTGCAGTGAGATTGAAAGCTCTGCATTTGAACACGCAGAGTGTACAGCAATCTGTGCCCACGTCTTGTACCAATCAAGTGGTAAAAAGTCTGTTAATAGAAACGGGCCCCAAAGATTCTGCACTGAGTTGCTGAATGTCAGGCTCTCTGTGCTCGCTATCCCGCAATGTTCAATGGTTTTCTTGCAGCTGGGAACCGTTTCAACAACTCTTTTCAGCCCTACTCATCATCACAAGGGTGCGTTTACCTGGCTTACTTTCCCTGTCTAAGCTCAATTTCCAGGAAGGAACCACATTAATGATTGTCTCCAGCTCCTAAAGAAAAGCTTGACCTGAGAAATCTCCAAGAACGATTTTTTTCTTACCATAGACCTGCGCGCATGGGAAGCCATTCGGTCGTGCTTGGGGGCAGAATTATCCCTTGGGCCCCAACTAATATAATCAAGCAACCTTGCTTCTTCCACTTTTCTAGCACCTGAAATGTGCAGATTTGGCTGGCGAGCCCCTTAGTTCTCCAGCCTCCATGGACTTTGAAAGCTCAGACTTCAGCTCCTTCGCTTTGCCCGTTGTCACTGACAATGTCAGTTGAGCAGGCTGACCCTGTCACTCGAGTAAGCACAAAGCAAAGCAGGGCATCGGACACTTCATTCACACCGGCCCCTTCCATCGGACGGTTTTAAGCAATCAAAGTAATCACGCGCGCGCATAATTTCGATCATCCCGCGAGGCTCAGGCTCATCAAGGCCAGAGTACCCCTGTCTAGTGAAGTGTACCCCTTTCTAGTGACGTGATCAGCACCTTTTGAAACCTTGACTAGAGACGATTGCAGGGGAAAACTTTGCGCAGAGTCCTCGTCCCTGCAGGTCACAGATACACGCCTCAGGTGACCTCAGATAGGCCTCAGCTTGAGCTCCTTTGCTGAAGTACTAAGGGCGCTATATCGAAGACAGTCTGCATTTGCTGCAGTGTCTTTTTTGTATTCACTGTGGTGGGATTACAAAGCTTCAGTCCTCTCTTGCATCTGTACACCCTAGATTATTATTGGGCCGGGCATTGGCGCCCGCATCAGCCATGGGGCTGTCCTCCTTTGCTGTGCTGGAGAAGGCGCGCGAGCAGCTCCAGTTGCAAGGGGCGAGGGGGATCGAGGTACGCAGAACCGACGTGTTCTTCTGGATCTTACAAGCTCGTCTGACTGCTTGATTCTTGGAATGCTGCCGTGAACATTTCACGAGGTGCCTGGAAAGAGGAGTCAACAAATATACAAGGATGAGCTATTTCCACTTGCTGACATCGGATGTAAGAAGGCCTCCATGTCGAAACGCTGGGCTTGAGAAGCGGCTCAACCTTTTCTGTCTCTGACAAGATGCGCGCCCGCAAATATGCTACTAGACAGCATAATGGCTTTGGGTGCTTGCAATTGAAGATCCAAAACTACCCAATGTCTGTTGGTCATATGAGTTAACACGAATGAAAGCAAGGGGCAGCTTGAGAGCCTCTTCCTTTGGGCGGTCCTACTTGTCGGGCGGATTTCAATTGTCCACTTCAACGAGCTTGCATGAAGGAAAGCCAGGTGTTTGACTTCTGTAAAATGTCGGGTTGGTTGAGCTTCAAGAAGTCCACTCCCTCTGCGGCATGAGAGACGCCATCTTATCTACCACAAGTAACAGAGGACTTTTATGTAAGAGCTGTTGATTGACGAGCTTTTGGCAGGTTGATTTCAACCGAAGCGTCGCAACTTTCTGAGTCAAGAAGGGGATGATAGTTGCGCTCCCTGCTTTCACAAATCTTCTCCGTGCTTATAAGCTGTACAGCTTTGAAAGTCGAAAAGTGGCTGAAGCCCAGCAATGAAGCATTCTGAGAGTGCAAGCAACCCGCTCATCCATTATCGAATTTAGACGCGAGCTCTCCTGCGTCATTAGAAGGCATTTCGACCGCTTCTTTTACCCCCATGATTGTTTTGTGCGCAGGGCATATCCCGTGCCTACCGGCTGTGTGATGGGTCGGGTTACATAGCCTATGATGCATTCCAGGATGCCGCCCGTTTTATGGGCCTTGACCTACAAAACGAGGTGAGCATGGTCAAGACTGCATCTATTTGAATCATGTCCATGCAGATTGACTTTCTGTAGGATGACAATCTCACTTCTTTTTCCCTGCAAACTATCCGCAATGACGTCACGAAAGGCTGGGCATTACCAGACCACCTATATGCCAGGTCAAAATTTAGAGCTGAGATCCAGAGAAGCTGTGAAGAGGCAGACCTGATCTGCTCTGCAACACATGGGCACCTAGTCCTGCAGGCGCCTCCTCGTAGCAAACAGCTTACCGATCTCTCCGAACGACGATTTTAATGCTCGCCGCCACACTTACGTCTATATTCGTTACCTGCTCGGAGCTCGTTTGAGGACCATGCAGCCATTCATGGGCGTCGTCATCCAACTTATACCACTTCTGAAATCAGCTTAACGCTAAATCTTACCGACAGCTGCTAGCTTTGCAATGGCCGTTTTCGTCCTTCCTAGTAGAAGACCCTACCCTACGGACTAACGACACCAGAACCGTTCAATCGACTCCCTCCCATGGGCTAAGATATCCGCTTCTTTCTGTACAGGAGATCAATTCTCTGTGGGAGAAGTACGGCAGTGACCAGGGCATGAACTTCGTGGCGTTCCTCGAGGGCATCAGAGGAAAGGTTGGCACAATTTCTGCCAAGATACCAGTTTGGTCTTAACTTTACAGGAAGAGTAGCTTCGAGATACATGGAGATTTGACTAAGAGGTACCCAAATGGACATTCGAACGACTCATATAGATCATTACATTTGGCGGTTCTTGTTTTTCAACTTCGTCTTGACTTCCTTTTGGTAAGCCCACTCGGATCAGTGGGGCTTCAATTGGAGGAGATTCACTTGCTTCGAGTAGCAAAACGCCCTCTTCACGGTAGAACAGGACTCGCGCGATTTTACGTCCTCGTTGTTTCCTTACGTCCCCGCTTTCTCTTTGTCCGCTCCTTTCTGTTGCCAAACTCCAATTGGATTCCTTGTCTGCAGCTGAGCGATAAAAGGATGGAACTGGTGGAGGCCGCCTTCAACACGCTCGACGCCGTAAGCTCCACAAGCTATCCTCCTCGGGTTGCTCCTCCTTTTCAATTTTTTCCAATCACGTTCTCGAGTCCCCTATGTGTCATACATCACTCTGAAAAGTCGACTGCTTTCCACCGCAAGCACCTCCGTGACTAGCGGGTACCACGCAGACCGGGTAGGTCTGGTTTGGCCGTATAGAGATGAAGGAGTGACCCCAATTCCAGCTTCTGTGCTAGCTGGCCTACTAGATCTCCCCCTTGTCGGAAAACCTGATGTGGTGTGTAGGTCTCCAGTTCTCTTAGGGTTCACGAACGTGGTTGCCAGAACGTGGCTGACAGTCACGGCATATACTGGTTTATTGTGATCCCAGCTGCTGACCAATCAGATTGTGCCACGTGGCGTGCAGGATCGGCAGGGGTACCTCAGCGTGGACGCCATCAAAGCTGCTTACGACTCCAGGTGTCACCCTGCGGTCATGGAGAAGAAGCTGACGGAGGATGAGGTGGGGCACACGTCAGCGTTGCGTCGCGATTGCTCCGCGCCAGACTTGCGTAGTGGAAACTCGACCTGATAGCACGAGCTTTGAAAAAAGCGCCAAAACAACGGCAACATGTTCCGAGCGCTCGCCCCAGCTTCACTCTGTTTTAGAAAAGCACCGCCATTTGTGTCACCCGTAAGTCGATTTTCGGATTGCCTCCCTTCCAAAAGATATTTCCAGTCGTCGGGTTTCTTCTCACACGTACTAAACGTCAGAACATTCTCGCGGGCTCTTGTCGGCTTCTGGCCTCGTCCTTCTCTTCCGTCAGCCAACGGGGGTGGATCCGAACGCCACTCGTGGAGACTCCAGAGCTCCTTCACGACTTAGCCACGGAAGCATCAGCTGCACTAAAATTTAGAAAGTCAATCAACAGCCCACCTCTGTTGCAGGCTCTCGTCGGCTTCTTGGCGACGTCATTTGCGTCGTTGGACAGCGTCAGCTTGTTGGACTTCATCGAGTACTACTCGCTGCTCAGCTTCGGCATCAAGAGCGACGACTACTTCGAGCTGCTCATCATGAAGGCCTGGAACGTCAGCCCCGACGGCTTTGACGTCAGCAGCGTCGAGATCAAGGTGCGGCGGTTCTCGGGCTACCAGCGACGATTCGACTCGAAAGCAGGCCCCGGCACACTGAAAGTCTCGCGTGAAAATTTGTCTTTTCGTTTCGGTTGCGTCTCTATTGGATGTGCGAAGTGGCCTCTTGTTCGATGTTTGGATTTGTCCATTGTGGGGCGCTGCATATTCTTCTCCCTTTCCGGTGGAAAAGATGCTGTGGGGCGCTGCATTCATTCATTTCTTTCTTTTCGGTCTAGAAGTCTCTAGGTAAGACAATTCTCAAACTTTCGCCCCGCGGACCCCGCAGGTTAAGCTGGTGGTGTACAAGAACCGCATCCGGCTGCGCGAAAGTGATGTGGACCAACGACAACGAAGTTCGGGATCCTTTTCCTCAAGTTTGCGTTTACCATTGTTGGGGCGGTGGAAGAGCTCCACGTCTCTGTTCTCTGGGAAATCACGCAGGTTCAAGCAGTCTTCGAACTTTTGGACCTCAAACCCTACAGGTCAAGCTGGTGGTGTACAAGAACCGCATCCGGCTGCGCGAGTTCTTCGTGGACTACGACAAGCTGCGCACGGGGTACGTCACCGAGGGCCAGTTCATGAGCGGCCTCACGAGCGCCGGGCTCAAGCTGAGTGCCCGGGAGATGAAGGCGCTCGCGGACAAGTACAAGGACCCGGAAAACCCGCAGCAGAAGGTGCACTACAGGTGGGGGGGGCCTCGGGAAAATGCCTGGAATTCTAGGAGAGGGATTCGGAAGACTGGTCGGGGCATGCGTTTCAAAACTTGAACTCTCTTTGACCTATCATTTTTCATGTGCTGAAGCCCTTGAACTGCTCGGACTAGAGAATCCAGGGACTGACGGAAATAGTGGATTCATCTCGGTTTCGGAAAGTAGTCTTTGCCAGCTGGGTGAGAGCGCTGCCGTTGAGCGGAGATTTGAGGTAAGTTTTAGACTGACGTCACAACTGGCGCCGACTGCGGTGACTGCAAAATGGTAGTGCTGACGTCAGCGATGCTTCTGCAGGGCGTTCTGCGACGAGATGGACCGGGTGTTCACCGAGAAGGAGCTCGAAAAGACCCCCCTCAAAGAGGTCCCGGCCACTCCGGGGATCCCCGGGCTGCTGCCGGATAGGTGAGCGAGTCACCTTCGTGATCCTGAGAACTAATTTCCGAGCGCCGGAGATCGGCATCGCTTGTCTAGCCATAACATCCGGCCTTTTCTGCGTAGTGAGGCACTGCTCATTCCTAGGCCGGACCACTGCCGCCGCGGTTGTGGTTTCAAGCAATGCAAGTTATTTCGTGCAACTTTCCTGTAGCCCATCAGAGAACCCGATTGATGCCCGGCTCCAACATTTCCGTCTTTCCAATATTCTCTGTGTTCAGAGGAAACTTGCTTCCTTCGGAATCCCTACGTGCTTTTCGCTTCGATGTTGGGTTGCCAAATAAGAGGACTCGGCATTGTTTGAACAGAGTGGTAAAAGCTAGCCCAGTCTGGGTGGCAAGCAACGCACTGATTTCATTTGAAACGGTAATCGCCACCAGCGCTCCCTTTCTTACTTGGACCCCAATGCATTCCCACCTTGCTCGCCCCAGATACTCGCACGGCGTCCGATACCTGGGCATCGAGAAGGAGCAGCGGCTGGAGCAGCTGATGCGGAAGCTGCGGCAAATGTGCGAGAACAAGCGCATCCTCGTCAAGCCGTTCTTCGACGACGCCGGTGAGCGCGCGTGCCCCGCCACTGACATTCCATTCGGAATCCCCGGCGCCAACTTCTCTAATTGTGCAGTTGCCTTGTACAAAGAGCAACGCAAGGAGGTGAACAAAACATCGTGTATCGAAGAGGGTCTGTAAGCTTACTGGATCCGGGCCTGATCTCCGTTTCTACTTTATACGGTTTGAAATTTACAACCGAGGCAACATTCTACGACAACTCAACCAGATTACCGTGTTTTTGACCTCACGACTCCGTTAAGTGCAATCAACATTCCCCGTACTTCTGCTCGTGCGTATGAAAGGACAACTTGGAAGTCACGGTGATCAACAGGATCTTCCAAGCAAATCCATTAACCAACGCTCGACTTTTCACCCGTCTATCCCCGCCCCCCTCCGTGCAGCCCGCAATCGCAACAGCACAAAGCGCGTGGGCCACGTGACGGGCAACCAGTTCAAGCAGGCGCTCAACAGCAAGATCAACCTGCGGCTGCGCGAGGATGAGCTGGACCTGCTGCTGGAGAAGTACGATGATAACATGGACGGCATGGTTAACTACGTCGCGTTCGCTGCGGAAGTGGACCCCCCTGCGGGCGGCGCCACAAACTAGACAGGCGAGTCGCCGGGCGGAGTCGTGGTTCCCGAAGATGGGGGGGTGGTAGAAACGGTGTTTGAGGGGGGGTGTCCGCGGGGGGAGCTTTTAGGGCGTCTCTGCTTTCAGCGAAGGGATAGGTTGCAGAAACGTAATCTAAAAGGGGGGTAATTCGAGGGGAAAGACCTGTTTAGAAAGGGGAGTTGGTGGGAGGAGGGATCCGAGCGGTGTGCTGACGTCGCGATTCTATCTAAAGAGCAGATGGTGTCTTTGGATGTGCGGCGAAGCCTAGGTTCCGCGCCGAAAGGCGCGGATTGCGGAAGCCCTAGCTGCCGTGGAAAGCGGTACACGGCACGCGCATATGGTCAAAACTAGGTTTGGAAAAGATGGTGGGTACAGCGGGTTTTGGTTCCTTGCAAAATGCAGGCGGTAGATCTAGAAGCAGACGGCATAATACATATACCAGGGAAAGCTTGAAGCGACTTGCTTTTGGGCACCTCTGGAGCCCAACAAAACGTTCCTGACGCGTACGATACGTCGGGTCTGCGAAGACCCGACAACTTGGAGCTCGGCGCTTAACTTCATGCGGTACAGACTAGACTGATACTAGTTTCTTTCAGCATAGTCTGAATGATCATGAAAGTCATGAAAAGCCTAGCCCTGCTCAGTAGCCGCGAGCATGATAGACACATATCGGACATTGACTTGATTTTGGAAGCGTGTCCCATCGACCTGCCCCATGGATCGTTCAAGCTTGCGTGATGCAGAGACGTTGACCTGCTTTATCTGTGAAAAGTACTGCAGCAATCAAGGCTCCTCCAGCGGAACGTAGGCACGTAGAACCACCCTAACACGGACGGAGCCAGCTGCAAGCGAATAAGAACTACACTATACACCCCACCTATATCGTGACCCGGGTCGGTCAGCATTAATGAAATATTTCTTTGACAGCCTTCTCAATCTTGCGTCGAGAGTCTAAACTCAACATCAGAGTCCATTCTTATTGAGAATGAGGCCATTGGGTTCGAAAAAGCTGCTACAGGGAAGGAAGGAAGAGCCTGTATGAGACGGTAGCGTGGACTCAAACCATTCTGTCTTGTGGACTCAAACCATTCTGTATTCAAACGATAGATGGTAAATGTTCGAAGACGTATCCTGTTTTCACGGCAATGTCCTTCAAAACATCACATGCTCTCAGGCTGTACTTCAAAAAGTTTCAACAGAGCACATATTATTGCTATATCAAGTGGATACCAGAGTGCACGCGTTACCGCCCGCATATTCAGGAGCTGGCACGCCCATCACACTGGCTTGCTTGGATTCCAGCGAAAGCAATACGGTACTGTGGACTTTCTGCCGCTTTTACGGGCAGCCCGGCCCGGTTGGTGGCTCTGGGTACGCGGCCGGCCGCGCCGCCTACGTTGCGGCGCAGCACTCGCGGCCGCTTGTTCTGGCAGGGGTTTGGAAAGGGTTTAGGTCAAACACGGTTTCTAATAACGGAAACCAGTTCTCATTTGCAGGTCCGCTTTTACTATTAGCAGCATTGCCAGCAATGCACAGCTACTGCATGTGGGGCGCTAGAACTCAAAAGCTGCACATAGGAGCTCACAACAAGAAGGCAGCTCGCTAGATAAGTATCAGAGGGGTCACGATGCCGGCAGCTAGACAGCTGATGAGAGAGCCTTCCTCCAGCGCTTTGTCCTGTACTGTCCAGGGACTAGCACCTTTTCAACAAGCAGCAAATGATGGAGTGTGCAGAGGGATCCGGATGTCTTGTGAGAGTTTGCAGTTCATAAGATTAATTGAACAGCAGGCAGTACAGCTAACATTTTCTCATAACATTACTTTTTCCCAAGTTCCTCTGCTATCTCAATCAAAGAAGCAACGTAAAAACCGATGCAACCGCAAGGTATCTTGCGCGATGCCGCCAACAGGCCATCAAAAAGGTATCAACGATGATTGCTGGCAGGGCAGGGCTGAAAGATCCTGTAGCAACCAGGGTGGTAAAGCGCGAAAGCGCATGATAAGCGCTCCAGTCTTAGGGCGACTACAGGAAAATGCAGAGTTCAGCCGGCTTGCAAATGGGGCGAAGGAAAAGAAGGAAAGCAAGCCGAGAGAGACAGGAGTCGAGATTGATCTGGATGAGTTGATGGGACAAGGTGGGTTGAGATGCTGGCAATTACTTTCTATACCACCACTATCATCGCAGAAATGAGTCGCTTTCGTAGAAGTTTCTCTAGTTAAAACACTCGGCAACAGGTTTCCTGAGCCTAAGTTTCTTGCTTGTGTGTCCTGGTGTATCTGCACTGACCGTCTAACGTCAGGGTATATATAATCTAAAAGGCTTGTGTATGAAGTCGGAGAGCAGGCTCGCAATAGACTGTGATCTCTTGCACGACAGCTCTGCACATCTGAGACTGTTTTCTGATTCTCAACTAGAGTTAGCAAATGATGCAGATTACATGACCAGATCTTTCGTAGAATAAGTCGTTTTCGGAACAGCTCTTTCTGCTGGTCCATATGCCACTTACACATATGGCCTTCTCAAGGGGGCGAGGTATGGACGTATGGGCGCACGGAGTCCCCAGTCGGACAAGAATCTTTTTATCACACCAATGGTTTTACACATAGCTCCAGTGTCCGTTGTTTCCTGTCAACCTTACTGAGATACTCATGAAACGCACATTTCTGGACAACAGTAATTAACGTTATCTAGTTTTGTTGTTTCAGATCTCGATCGGGGCACAATCGGGTCTGGTTGGCTCCCTCCCCCTCCAGAGATAGCCCGACCACGTGCGCAGTTCAACGCAGGGACAATGGCTTACCTGGGTGATGGGGTTTACCAGGTGGGTCCGGTTCCCTTTGGATTCTAATCATTCGTCTGATGAGCTTTCTATACGCTGGGCAACGAGCAGAGACTCGCATCCTCACTACCCCCTCAGGATTCCTGAGAAAGTAGTTCACCCCTCAGGATTCCTCAGAAACTGGCTCACAACATTGTGGGAGCTGGCCCAACACAGAGTTCACTGCCTTCTGCACACTCCATGCTGAGTGTCACTTATCGCCAAGCCCCAAGGACAAGAAAGATGGTTCACGCTTTCTGCGCCTACCACAGAAGTGTTAGAGAAGTGGCCCATCCACTGAAAGCCCCGTTCTTTATTGGTGACTTCTTTCCCCCTCCCGAAACGGTGGTTAACGATCTTCACCCGAGCAACAGAAAAAGCTCACGAAAATCACGTCCTCCCCTCCCCCTTGCAGATGTATGCCAAGCGGCACTTCTTGCTCCCCCCCAAGACGGTCAACGCGTTGAACGAGCGCGTCCTGGGGCTGGTCCGCTGCGAGACGCAAGCGGCCATGCTGCGCAAGCTGTGCAACGGCGCGTTTCTGACAGAGGAGGAGCGGTGAGAGCTCTCCCTTCTTTCAATCTCTACTTCTTTCCAACATTGTGTTGGACTTGTGGCCCTACTTCTGGTTGCGCATCCCAATATCTGCTCGATTTTGATGTCAGAAGCTCTTCTGTGTAATTTCGTGTCATGAACCTCCTACTCTTCGGAGTGCAAACTTGGTAGGTTTTCTCGAACATTGGTTCGAAAAGACGACTGGGTCGGCTCGGAAATTCCAGAGCTCACAGACCTAAGTGGCATGTATACACTACACCGAGAAGGGGGCACAGGGTCGGAGTTCTGTCTATCTATTCTGCTCTGTGCTGGCTCAGTGGCTCACAGACGTCAGACGTGCGCGCTGATACGACTTGCTGCTTCAACCCTTTCCTTGAAATGCTTCTCGTAGCCCTCAATCTCTTACTTCCTCTGCGCTCTTCAACCAGTGACTGGCTCAAATCGGCAGGAGGATCTCGAGTCCTGGTGACGGCCCCCGATCTTGTCACCGAATCGTCGTACATTCGGCGCAGACCGATTTTCGAGTCATAAGACTGGGCATACCTCTCATCATTCTAATCGTAAACGATCAGATCTATGAACACTTTTCTCGCTGCAGGGCAATTGTACGATGGGGCAAAAATGCCGCTCAGGACTCGAGCAGAAAGGCGATACGCAGGGCTGGGGGGAAGGCCTACGGAGAAGCGACGGCTCTTGAAACCCTGGTAGGTCAACTTGTTGGATACTCAGGGTTACGCATCTTTTTCTCTTGAAAAGGAAGCATATAGTAAAGCAAGCCAAATCGGGGAACTAAGCCTTTTCTCTCCCTTTTAACCTCAAGTAGCTGAAGGCGCATATGATGACATGATTGTCAAATTGTTTCTTAGGTAACTTTGTTAGCGTGAGCCCTTTTCTAGCTGCAAAAGAAGCTGCGGCATTGTCTACTCAGATGTCCCTCCTCCAATTGTAACTTTCAGCACGGAATGAACTGACGACTTGGCAGTCGAGCCCCACCGCTGACCAGTCGCCCTTGCTCTCCTCCCCAGATTGGGTTCCTGTACCTAACAGACCCGTCCCGCCTAGACGCCTTGATGACGCACATTGGGTTCAGCTTCAACAGCTCCACGATTGCGAAAGAGGAACTGGAGGGGATCCCCACAGACGTGCCCAACGAAAACAGCCCAGGGGAACGTTTGGAGGCGGTTGGAGAGTCCAGGGAAGCGCCCGGACTAGACGATTCGGACCGACTTAACGGGGTGAACGACGTTAAAGTTAAAGACGGGGTTGAAGATGGGGTTAAAGCGGTCTCGCTCCTTTTAGAAGCAATGCAAAACATGGACAATGAGCTCGGTGCTTCTCACCGAGGGACCTCCTATGGGGAGGCGGGCCACCGCGAGGCGCCCGGGTCAGCTCCTCGGGGAAGCTCTCAAACTGCGGAGGGTTTTGCGAAAATGGAGAGCGCTTCCTTCGCTGACGCCATCGACAGACTCCCTTCAGCAGCCGCTGTCGGGAAGACAGCGAACACAACCGAAGTGAACGGGACTGTGCTTCGTAGGGGTTTAGCAGTCCCGGAAAGGGAACCGGGGGAAGAACGGGGATCGTGGGAAGGACTGCGGACCCACGTGTCAGAATGTGAGATTCGCGGAAGCAGCCCCAGTCTCGGAAAAGCAGAGAGCTCCGGAAGGAGACCCGGTGGATCCAGTGGTGGGTCGTTGTCTGGCGACGTGGCACTTTCACAAGCGAACATGGTGCCTCCTGAACCGGAGGGATCAGCCGGGGCGTTAACCGGGGCGTCAACCGGGGCGTCAACCGGGCGGTCGGGCAGTCTGGAGCAGTCCGAGACCGGCGCCCGGGCATTGCCGCCGGAGTGCCCCCCGGAAGTGAAGGAGGTCTGGGAGAAGACGAAGCGGCTCCTTTGGCAAAAGTGAGGGGAAACTTTCCGGCTCCGAGGGTCTAAAGTCGGCTCAAACCCACATTTCTTTCTTGTGTAGCTCTCTTTTTGCGCCTTTGACAAGGCGCTCTTAAGGGCTAAGCCGCTCTGAATGATTAATCGGAATTTCCGCGATAGCTCAACGATTACAATACTGCGCCTACGCGATTGCTCGCGATGGTCTATCTGAAACTCGCCCGACTCAGAAGTTTGTTAGAGCGGCCTGTAAAATAACTGGGTCGTTTGCTAGACCTCTACAGAGGGAGTAAAGCTCAGGACAGTCGATCCGACGTCGTCTTCCCGTTTGTAATGCCTTGAATGCCCTTGGATGCAGAACCCCACGAGGCAAAGCGAGTCCTTGAATTTCAAAGCACCAAACCTTCGGATTCCAAAAGTACTTGAGTGCCATCAGAAGCGAATCTTGCCGCTCTAGGCATGACGGAAAGGCGCACCGTTGGCACTGGTACCACTTAAGGCCGCCTCTTTAGCAGCTATTAAGAAGGGCTTTCGCAGGTCTCTGCTTCGAGAACGTCACTAGGGCGCTTAGCTCTGGCCGCATTCCCTTCATAATGCCTATATTCTAAGGACGTCTTTCGAATCAGGACCCTAGCTTCAAATATGCCACAGCTCTCTGCCGTTAAGGTTATGTCTCTTCAATTTAGCAATAGTAAGCTCTAGCAATAGTAAGCCCTACACTAACACTAAAAACCTAACTCACAAAATCACCCGCTCCGCACCCGAACCCACCCTAACCCCTAAACTAACCCTACCCGCCCCAGGCTGGTGACTCGTGAGCTTACTATTGCTGAAGCTTACTATTGCAAAATTGAAGATTCTTTTTATGGTTTGTCGTTGAGCGGATCCCGACAGTAACTTCAGCGAATCACGGCAGATCAATAGACTCCCGCGAGTACGTCTGCGAGTACGTCAGGAAGTTCGAGCGACAGCCAGCTTTACTAGCTCGCCCCGAAGGTGCGTCCGCCAGACCTTTGAGCTACCAACGGCGACAACCAGACTGGGGTTGCTCCGAGCGCGCCCTGACCGCAGCCCGTATTTCTAAGCTAGATTCTTAAAACCCTCAAACGCTAAAGCCTTGAAAACCAATCTCCAGGTACCAATTGCGACAGAAGCTGTCGCCGGAGGATCGGGACTTCGTCATGCAGGAGATCCTGACGTATCACCCGAACGCGACAGCGAAGATCGGGTGCGGCGTCGAGGCCATCACGGTAAGCGCTGAATCGTCAAGTATTCTTTGATCCATGAATGGATCATTCTCCGAGGTTAGTGAAGCAGGCTTGAAGATTTGAAGATTGTTTCTAGCTCAGGGTTCATTAGGATCAACTTCTCCACAGCCCCAAGGAGGCTGCTGACCCGGAAACCAAATTCTTTGCCGAGACATCCGTTCCACTCGTGACTTTCCGAAAGCATGGCTTGCCTATTCCTGGCTGATCGACTCTGATTCTACTGCCTTTCCGCCCTAAACCACCCACTTCTATGATACTTCATATCCAACTGGCCTTCCAGATTCACTTGACGCGTTAGCCTTCTCGCGCCGATTGACGCAGGCTCAAATCTTCATGCTCTTGTTGACGCACCCCTTTGACGACTTCTGTGTGAACCGACTTAAGCTATAAATTCACCAGATTCCCTTAAACCAAATTGCCCCGAATCACCCCTGTACCGTTTGTTCCCAGGTGGACTTTTCCATGCAGTCCCGCGCCAACCGGTGCTTCCACGTCATCCGCAACGACGGTTCCCAGGAGGACTTTTCGTACCTCAAGTGCCTACGGGTGCGCCGAGGGATCCTGTAGGACGCGCCGGAAGCCGCGCTGGCTTCGTTTTTGCGGAAGCGGGGAAATTGCAGGCACGCTAAGTTACATTTTGATAGGGTCCAGCAGGATGCGGTTTGAATTGACACTACTTGATAGCCGCGTGCCCAGGTCAAAATTGTCAAGGACCAACAGGTGTCTACAGAGTTGGGCGTATCTTGCAAACGGGAATTGCAAGCAGATCATGATGAAAGATTTCTTAACATAAACGTGGAGACAGAAGAGTCATAGCAGGCTTCCAAACTTCCGGGCCTTTATATGTCGGAGCTCATGCAGACGTGGGTGCGTATCTGAGTCTACTAATTAGCTTCAGAGCTTTCCGGAGTACCGAAGTCAAGAGTCCAGGAACTTGAAAGCGAATGAACACTTTTCTGAGTCCGTGCGGGACGCGCACGGGCCTAAGCCACTAGCAGCCTCCGTTGCCAGCTTACTTGACCATGAATAACCTAACCTGGCCCGTTAGACCCATCAAATATAACGTGCTTGACGTGTTCGCGTCGGGCGCGGCCAGTCAGTCATATCTTGGGCATATGCATCATCCCGAGTACGAGGCGCACGCGATCGTGGCATGACCAAGCAGTGTGTCTTTTGCAAACTTCACTGAATGCTCGGCGGCAGCGCCGCACAAGTGCGATCCTTGGCTTGCAAACCCAACGCTGTTTGAGCTGACCAGCATCATTGGCTGCATATGCACTATTCCAAACAAACTCAAGACTACATGCTGGGTTTCGGCATGAGCTGCTGCACAATCCCATGCACATGATCACTGTACCTTACCTGGCGGCATATGGCCTGGCCGTCAATCCATCATAAGCAATCGATTCTGCAGTGCAAACCCGAAGAGATTCGAATTTGGTATTATCGTTCACAGTCAATAAGTCAATCATGCAAGATGAGGCATGGCAATCATAAAGCTCAAACATTGAGATCTGAGCCTAGATATCTGCTCACAACCAAACTACAGGTTTTAATCAATCAAGCAAACTGATTACACCTGTCTAAGTGTTGTCACACTGGAACGTGAATTTCGCAAAACGAGTGCAGCCGCTCTCGTCCGTTCTTGTTGGCGCCACTGTTTGCTAGGTGCCGCTTGTTGGCTGCGTCACACAGCTTGCGAAAGAGGGAGAAGTCCTCTTTTCCTTTCGGTGTGATTGAAGCTGTCTGTTACTGGGAAGTTGCCAAGTGCAAATCTGAGCTTTGGGTAACGTTCTCCTCACTCCGGCTGCTGAAGGAACCTATTGTCAGTCTATTTCAGTCGTTGAGTGACTACAAAGAAGCTTCAAAGTGGACTTAGAACGTTCTTACTGTTACAATATTGTAGGCGAAGACCATCTCATTGGGCGGAAGTAATCCAGATGCTATAGCCTATCCGAGCAAGATTACAAGAGTTAGCAGGACTATACCAAGAGTTGAAGTGAATTGAACGGTTCATGACCGTCCGACGAATTCTGATTAAGCAGTACCGTCAGTCCGTGCGGACATCTATGTTCCCTTTTTGTTCCGGCTTGGTCTTCGGATGAAGAAAGAGCGGAAGATTCCGTCTCTGTAGATCGGACGTCAACCTAAAGTTTGCAGCAAGATCACCGGCACGGTCTCAGGCAGCCGCACGGAATTTAGTATTGGTGGCAATATCGGGTTGAAGGTGGGACCTGCCCCAGGCTTATCAAGAGAAGATTCCCTAACAAGTAACCAGGTGCGACTCAAGTTTCGAAGATACCCTCCTCGAATCCCGCCATGTGGCGCGCCAGCACGCAGACGCCAAATCTGTGCCCGCATATCGCTGCTCAAAAGGCGCGTGATCATTAACTAAAGCTGATATATTGTCACGCGTCAAGACAAGCTTGGGCTTCGAGAAGACCTAGCATGACAGGAGTGGTCTCTCTGGGCAGTGAACCTGTCTGCTCGGCAGGCTGTCAAGCATATAGTAGGGCTCCCAGCACTGCTTTTGTGCGTCAGTCGCAAACGCCTCCGACGCAAGAAATAATCTCCACTCGTCCAAGCTTAGCTGCATTCGCTTCGCGCTCTGGCGGCACCCGCGCATCAGCACGGCTGAGTTGACCCACTGTTCCGATCATGGTGTCACTTTCCACGGCTCTGTGCGCGATCCTGCTTCTTTTGGGTTTGGGTTTGCTGGCAGTCCATGCTGCTGCGCATTGCCCCGCATTCTTCAATCCCTGCTACGACGCAGCTGGCACCCGCGAGTTTTGCTGCAAGAGCGCCCAGAACGGCCTGGCTGCGCAGACCTACGAGTGCTGCCAGTCTCAATGCGTGCCTGTCGGCGCTTGCGTCTGTGATGCCTCCGGCAGGCGAGCGGGTTTGACAAGAGATTCTGAAGTATCTTTTGTCAATCTGTTCGATCTTGCAAAGTTGGCTTTGTTCAGAATGCAAGAGCTTCTCGAGCTTTTGGTTGAGCATCTGGATCTGTGTTTGTGACTCTCTGTTTTTTCTGCTTCGAACCAGCAGAGTTGGCTTTGTTCAGATTGTGGGCTCTCTTTGAAACTTGCAAAGGGGTGGTGGTTGTCTCAGACGCTTGAGATATACTTCAACTTACTAACATGTAGAAGCTTGGGAGGATTCCTTGTCTTGGTGTTGGATGCTTTTTCGTGATTCAAGTTTCGAATCTGATCGTCTCATTACTGCTGAAGCCGAGGGGGGTTGACAGCTGTCATCTGAGAATCCGATCCATGTAGACTGCTGGCCGGAAGCTGTTTTTTGGAAAAAAGTAGAAAGCACAAGACGTTTTGGCTTGATGCAAATCCTCTAATAGGGAGAGTGGTTTCCTCCTCTCATTTTGCGGTTAAGAATTAGTGTCCACTTATGGTCTTACAAGTCTGAATGAGCTTTCAATTCATGGCTTCTTTGCAAGCACTTTTGGTGAACCCGTCGGACCCATGGTTTCCATTTGAATTGAATCTCCCCTTGTCGTGTCTTCTTTCAGTTCACTTCCTATATTCTCCACCTGCAAATCTTGAATCCCAGCCGCAGTACAATCTCATCGTTATGAACAACAGCCACCCCGCTAGTGCTCCAAGTCGACCAGAGTCTGGGCCAAACTCCATCACCAGCCATGCTCAATCATTTTGTATCGTAAAACTTTCATTACTATCATACCATACAAGTCATATCTCTGCTGTTCACCCCCCCTCGTTTACCGCTGCAGCTGCTCGAGTTCGTGCCCCCAAGCGTACGTGGCTGGCCGGTACTTCGACCGCATTTTCACCATCATCTTCGAGAACACCGACTACGCGGCCGCGATCGCGGACCCCTACTTCGTCAGCCTCACGCGGCGCGGCGACGGGCGCCTCCTGACCAACTACCACGGCTGCACGCACCCCTCCCTCGTGAGTCGCCCAGAAGAACACGTGTCGAAGTCCCGAGATTTTTGACTTCAATCTTTCGCCAAAGTCGAGATCGTTCCCGAACGTCAGCAGAATGTCAAACTAGCACTGGAATTTTGCAGTGCGCTACAGAAAGGTGTTCAGTCGACTGACTCAAACCCAAGGCGATGCACTCCTTCTGAGAGGACGAATTCACTGATTGGATCCCACTTCGTTCCGACCTTGATTCTTACCATCCTTTTCTTTCCGTCAACCGCTCCTCTCACTCGAGCCTCTTCACATTTTCAGAACATCAAAGTCCACAATGTGCCTTCGTTCTGACACCCCGGACGCCTTGTCTTTCTGGCAGCCCAACTACTTGTGCCAGTCCTCGGGAACCTTCTACGGCCACACCAGCGATGCAGTGCTCGCAATTAACGGAACGAGCGTCGTTGACCTGCTGGAACCCGCCGGCATCTCCTGGAAGGCCTACATGGAGTGAGTATCAGTTTCTTGTTATGTCTTTCCTTTATGCCAAGTTGTAAACAGACAGAGATCGACAAACTGCCTGAGATTAATGGTGGGGCACGGGTGCGGAGCAACTCCTTCCCCTCCTCATTTTGAATACCGTAAGCTTTCCCCCCGGATAGTCAGTTCCTTTAAGTTTCCCCCAAAATGGTAACTAAGCTTTTGAACCGTTCCCTTAAAACTGCTGATTCCGTGCACTTCTTTCCTCTTTCAGGGCCTTCAACGGCAATTGCGACCTTACTCCGTTTACGCCGGCCGACGGGAATGGTTACGCCAGGTGGGTTACGCCATGTCCCACTTTAGTCATCGTTTTTAAACCCTACGGATCCGTCAGCGGCTTCTTTTTCCTGATCGCTCTCACAAATCGTGCGTTTCTCCTCAATTTTCCCATCTCTCATCGCACTTTCGTCGACGTTCGTATGGATGTTTCCGCTCTTCACTTTCGTCTTCTTCTGTCACCTCCTTGGGAGTTCCGGTCCTCGCGACAATGTTAACAGATCGTTCTGCCCTTCTCCAACAGTCGTGCCATTTACGAATACTCAAGTTCGCTTAATGCTTGCGTTCGCAATCGACGTCGCGCGTCCTGACCGTTCAGTTTCCGCCGTTCCGCCTGACCGTTCCGTTTCCGCCGTTCCGCCCGCCAGGAAGCACGACCCCTTCCTCAATATCGCCAACATCATCAACAACCCCGCGCGCTGCGCCAAGGTCGTTCCGGCGGCGCAACTGGACGCGGATATTTCCGCCGGAACCGTCCCCCAGTACGCCTACTACGTGCCTACTCAGGTCAGATTCCGCCCGTTTCAAGATTAGCGTCTCGGGGCTCAAGTACCTTTGGGTTTCACTCTTCCGTGCTTCTTCCGTTGGTCTGCTACCAGTGATGATGGAGCCCCCCGCGTCTTTGCAGCGGAAATTGGAACGCGGGTGTCGCTTGTTCCGCAACGTCATCGCGGTTGTGTGCTTCTGAAGGTACAAAAGGGCCCCGAATTCAGGCGATTAGTTCCGGACGGAAAGAACAGTTCTACTTGATTCCCAGTCACGAACCAACCCAATCAGTCTCAGACTCTAGAAGTTGTGGTTGAGTTCTTGGCGGATTTCCACTTTCTTTCGGAGCCTGTTTGAGTTTGACTCAACCTCGCCGGGAGACAAGATTTCCGTGCTGAATCCGAATCTGTTCTCTCCGCTTTCCAGATAAACGACGCCAACAACATCCCGCAGAGAAGCACGGATCGACGAAATCTCGCGCTGTTTTTCATTCTCCGTCTCTGCACTTGCCAGATTCATAATCTTCTTTTCTTTCGAAATCAACGACGCCCACAACAGCAACACGAGTTTCGCGGCGGGCTACCTGAAGGGGTTTCTGGAGCCGAAGCTGGCCGACCTCAACTTCTACGACGCGCGGACGCTCGTCGTCATCACCTTCGACGAGAACGACTTCGTCGAGCCCACCAACAGGGTGAGCGCGCGCAATGTTCTTCGACGATAAAGTCGTAAGATACTTCGACCGGAATGTACCAATTTGAGGAGTCGCTTAAGTCGCACGCCTTTCGGACTCTGCCTTCTTTGGACTTCGAGGAGTCTCACGGTTTCGCTGTTGATGACGTCGCCTGTTCTGCTTTGCTTGCGCATCTTCCTTGGACTCGCTCACCGAGTAATCTGTCACACATCCAGATCAGCGGACACGGGAGTGCAAAACCGCGCTGTTCGAAATCGACCTTACGAGAATGTTCTTTCGAAATCGCTCTGCCAAACGCCTGTTTTGCTGTTGCAAAACTTCTGCCATGGCAAGCCGCGCGCGCTTTGACTCCATTCCTCGCGCCCGTCGATCTGTTCTGACATTTTCTCGTCCGACGAAGGCGCCCTCCAATCTAGGGCAATGAGCTGTTTAAAAGCTGCATCAACGGCCATAAACATATCGTAGGTTGATATATGGACTCTATCTGCAGGTGTACACGGTTCCTTGAACGAAAAACCCCACGAAAGCCGGGTCAATCCACCGGGCAAAGACAAGTAAACCTAACCCACTCATTGACCCGCTCCGCACTCATACCAATCCTAACCCTTAGGCTCATCCCACCCGTCCCCCGGGCTTGACCTGATAGCTTATTTCAATAAAGAATCAAAACTATTGTCCATTGCAGGTGTACACGGTTCTGCTGGGCAAGTTTCTGAACGCCGACGGGCAGGCGAGCAACGACAGCAGCTGCTACAACCACGCCGCAGAGCTCAAGACGGTTGAGGAGAACTGGGGGCTCGGAAACTTGGGGACTGCTGACGTGGCGGCTAAGTCGTTCTTTTCGGGCGTCAACCAGAACAACGCCTGGCCCACCGTTGTCTGTGCAAAGGCTTTGTGAAGATATTGTCTAAAGAGCTCAGTGAAAGAGCCGAATGAGTCAAAAGAGCGTGAAAATGCTTGCACCTTTTGAGGTCCCCGTAAGCTGAGCGATAGAGGGTTGAGTCACAGTCCAAGGTCAAATGCTGTCGTCGTCCGCGTTTACTCGTCAATCAGTCGTGATGATACTGAATTGTTTGTTTTTAGAGGCGTCACAAAGTGTTAACGTGTCCAAGTCGACGAAGCTCTTACGAAGCACACTATCAAAAGGGCCTGTTCTCTATGCTTGTAAGAGAATCGTAGAATCATCGCCAAGATCCCAAGACGCCCTTGGATGGATATATATCTAGGTCCAGATTTTCGCAAGAATCTGAGAGCAAGCACGTCAAACAAGTGACTGAGAGCATGAAGCTCGTTCAGACAGCAAACAAGTCCGTGCAGTGTTCGATTTTCGCCGTTACGTACACTATCCAAGACTTGCGCAGGACCGTTTCGTACTGACGTAGCGTCCTGAGCCTGAAGAATGACTCGGGCTTCTGCCTAGACTGTTAATCCAAACCCCCGGCCCCTGGATGATTCTTCATGACAGCATAGTGTTCACTGCCTAAAGTGGCTCGATGAGCATAAAGTTGCTTCAGGTCGATCCTATATGCATGTGCGCTCGACTAGGTCATGCAGCAATTGAAAACCATCCAGTGCAATCGGAAGGCATGCCCAGCCCACAAAATTGCCAAGGTTTTCCTGCCCCTCATGCATCTGGCGGGGTTGCGCTTGCCACAGAATATTCGTGTCAAGTGGCATGATGTGGAATGCCTAGAGTTCTGCCAGCTGCAGTGGACTGATGCGGACGCAGAAGTTTTACATATCGTCAGGTACAAGATTGCAATCGAAACAAGATTTGGTGCAAGACTCGATCTGCGAGTGAATCCCTTTATCGAACGAGCTATGATTTGCAAGAGCAGAACCTTCAGAGAGTACGTTCTACAGATTCATAATTGTATTGTAACCATGGCATTCTTAATTAAGCAGTCAAGAACAGATTTTTATCAGCAAGGATATGCAGTCAGTTTGAGTCCGGCTAATCTTTGTACCTGGGCAGTCCTTCTACTCTACCTCAACCAATATTCTCAATCTAATCCTCAAGAGCTGGCATGGAACGAATCTTGTCTTTTGTGCAGTCAGTTATCCTACAATACAATCAAGCAATAAGGCAGTCCTAGCAGTTGCAGTAGCAGTCTCTTCCAACAGTCGTCAACAGTACGCACAGCCTAGCAAGCAATATCCAACTCAACGATCAAAATCGTGCTGATTATGCTACCCGGTTTTCGTGTCTCTTGTTCCGCACCCAGCTCACACCTTCCCCTCGAATTTCAAACGCCGGTCTGTTTCATGGGGGTAACTCAACCCCTGTTCGGGGCCCCCCTCACGACTTCGCCTGGAACGGCCCAACCTGGACCGTCAGGGACACCAAGACTGTCCCGTCGGTGCCCGTAATGGTTGCCGTGAGCGTGTCAGTCGAGCCCACAAACGGACTCCCGGGAATCGTCTGCTTGCACGAGCCAGCGCCTTGAGGGAACGTGGCGTCGCCAATGGTGCAGCCGGGTGTCGTGAAGGTGAACCCATCGCTGCCGTCGATCCGGATCTGGACGGACTGCCCGGGGGATCCCCCCAGGAGGAAGACTGTGGCGGAGTAGGCCTGTTGGGCTGTCGGGGTGGTGGGGTTGATTGCGACGTTGACGATCTCCAGGGCGGGGGGTGTAACTGCTGGAAGGAAAAGCGAGAGGGGATGAGTCAATCTGGAAGTTGTGATGGGAATGTGTCATGCAGACTTCCAGGCGGGCTCAAAAAGGTGTTCATGGAATGCGTTGTCAAAAGAAGGGCAGGAATGTGGTGAATCTAGGTTGGATCCAAAGCTCTTTCTTCAGCTCTGCAGTACGACAACTCCAACCTCTGTTTCAGCTCATGTGTGAAAGCTGGGCATCAGAAAAGATATCGACCCTATGCAACTTCGAATGCGTGTTTGCAAAGTGGTCCTTTCCTGCTTCCGCCTTGCGAGATATCATCAACCAGCAACTTTCCTTGGAAACAGAGAAAATGCTGCTCCCGAAGGTAAGTTGCATGCATAGAATCTGAAGACCAGCAACCGATCTAACTAGAGATACTCAGCTTCAACAGAGAAGGATGCTTGTTTTCAGGGAGACTTCTCACCTGCAAACCCAGCATCGTACGGGTCTTGTTGCAGCAGGACCAACCCCCTCCGGCCAAGGTGCACTTCCGTTACGTCTTCTTCTAGCACCATGACTTGATGTTGCTGCTGAGACTTAGCTGTAAGAGGGCCTTGGCTGTGGTCCAGGAACAGCTTTCTCCGGGCGTCGACTGCAGGCAAAAGGTCAAAAAGAGATTGTTATGTACGTTATTGATATTCTGTGATGGGGCTCAAATGACTTGGTCAACAGAGAGCCAAGCAGAGGATTAGTGGGGGGAAGCTGAGTAAAGCAAGCTGTGAATGCAGTGACTTGAAGTGGGCTTGAACGCATCACTGAGACAAGTCGTTCTGGGGGCTGAAGTGTATGTACTAGTTCTCCCCAAGACAACAGAGTGGTTCAGCCATGAGTGGAGCTACTGCCAGACAAGATGCCTTGGTGCATGTGTTAAGAAGAGAATGCGACTGAGGGCGATGGATTCCCAACAAGATGGCTGGACTTGATGTAGTTGCCATACTGAAGGATGTGGTCATTGCACGCAAGCTAAAGACGACCTCAGACTCCACAGGAAGGATGCAAATATCTATGGATGCAGCTCGAACTCATCGCTCAACCTGTATGGATTTCTTCACTAGGTGTAGCTCAGTGGTATGCTCACCTGATTTGGCTGATAAACAGATGATCACAGCTAAGCAGACCGCCAGAAGCCCAGAGTGCGCCATCGTCCGGTTGCTGCACTCCCTTCTCCTAGACGGTGGTGCAGTCTGTATCGTCTTTAGTGAACTCAGCAGGTGGCGCTTTGCTGCAAGCTGTACTTGACTTTGGATTGGAAGGACCACTGTCTTCTACCTCTAGATACAATGAAAACCTTTCCCAACAAGAATTGCTCTAGACAAAAAAAGAATGAGCTGACTTTATGCGGCGGTGGTACCACAATTGTTCAACTATGCTCTAAGCCTGTCAGTAACTAGCTCGCGGGGTCTCGTCTCCTCTTCCGTGCGCGCCGATGGGGGTTGTTGTGGAAAGTGCTGCTAAAGGGCTGGTGGCTCTTGGTCGTAGTGAGGTTAGTGTGATGTTGGGTGTGTTGGCTCAGCGTGGGATCAAGTTGTGTTGCTGAATGCAGATGATCAGAGACAAAGTCCTGGTTTATGAAGGGCGGCGATCATGTCCTGAGCTGCAGTCTGCCAAAGAGCACAAGTCTAGGTAAGCGCTACCTACCTACTTGTCAAGGCTGTGTATCTGATATTGACGGCCTCGGCAGCCAGCTACATCGCTGCCAGCAAGGATGCCACGAGCAGGAAGGAAGACAGGGCACTGCGCGAAAGGGGAACGTGCAGGCTTCAACGTCACTCTAGCGTGTGCACGTTCAAATTGGTCAAACTAGCCGTTGGCCGCGACGCCTGGTCAAACTTGCAAACGTGTCAGACTCGGCAGACGATCCGCGCGCTCCGTCGGTCTTCGAAACAGGGGTGTAAGACCAAGTCTCTACCGGCCCGTTGCTGCCGCCCCCCGGCATCTACTAGGTAGCAGGAATGCAGGCGGGCTCCGCGCGCGCTTGCAATTATAATTCCCTGAATACAAACATACAACGTATATAAAATATACAGCGCCTATCGTTTCATCCGGCCGGGGTAGCTCAGTTGGTAGAGCGCAAGGCTCTTAGTGGCCTCGTGTCCTAAAGCACACCTTGTGGTCGAGGGTTCGAGCCCCTCCTCCGGCGAAAATTGCCCTTTTTGCACCACTGGACGAGGGGCGGATTTTATGCTTTTTGCGGCGGGTTGGATGCGCCGTGCATCCAAGCCCATGTTTCAACGTACTGTTTAATTTGGCGCGGCCTGAATGCAAGAACGTACCTATAACTGAGATACCTGCCTACTACAACAGTATACTTTAGGCCGTATTAAACAGTAAATATGTTGACTTTGTAATCATAGTTACCCAATACGTCAATTTCCGAATAATCATACGCGTATTCTGCCGTATTGGCCTCAAAATTAATGATACGGCTGAAATACGCCGAAAATGCGTCAAAATTGGAAAAACGCTGTAAAATGCCTAAAACTGCCACGTGGCGCCCCGGTGGCGGCCGCGGCTGCTGCGAGCGCCTGGCAGCCGCGATCAGTTGCAGTAAGGTCAGGGTTTAGGCAAGTTTTTGAATGCCGTATCTGATCAAGTGCACAAAACTTTCCGCTTCCTATTGGCTAGAAATGAATTGGAGCAAGCTGGCCATACAATGCTTCGCTTGCTGCATTCTCATTGGCTGCAGACTCCGATATTTTGACCTTCTCTTATCGTAGGGCTGAACGAAGCTACTGTCAAGCACAGCTGGATTGCATTGACGGCTGGAAGCCGCTCACTTTATTAAAAATTGGCGCCAAAGTTGAGGCACAATCATCAGCATCTGGCCAGGTGCAACGTGAGTGCACCTCAAAAGCGATATACCTGTACATGGATCAGTCTTCAGAGTCCAAGGTTTCAGCTCCGGTGCTCTCTGAGTCTTGACAAAGACAGGCTGTCTGCACAAGAGCTTCAGGTGCTTTCTCCATGGTATCATTTCAGCTCAACCTCTTTTCAGCTCCTCACTTCAACTTTTTACCAAATCCCTCTTCTCGGAAGTTCTTCCTCCTGCCACTGGTTTTTTTCGATTCTTTGAGCTACCAAGCTGCCACTATGGTCAATCAATCAAGGAAGGGCAACGAGTGGGCTCAGGTAGTCATCGTGAGCCAGCCTGAGAATGGCAAAGGAGACCCTCAAGTAGAGTGCTGCACTGCGATCATCAGTTCAGGGGTGGAGCCACTCGCATCAGGGCCCATCTGCTTGGCGTGAAGGGCTTGGGAGTGGAGGCCTGTGAGCATCCTCCATGCGATGTCGTGGCGCAGCTCCGGAAGGAGGACAAGAGGAGGGCAGCTGAGAAGGCGGCCAATGCCAAGAAGAGAAAGCTTGACGAGATTGGGAGGGAGCCCGCTGGGCCTGCTATGCAGCAGACCAACATTGTCCAGGCCTTCACAAAGCAGGACAATGAGCGGGTTCATTCTGCTGTGGCTCAGTTCTTCTATGCTAATGAGATTGCCTTCAATGTTGCAAGGAGTCCTTACTTCAAGAAGATAATCTCTGCTGTCAACACAGCTGCGGGCCGGTATCAGCCGCCATGTTTCAACACTCTGAGGGGCCGTCTGCTAGAGCAGGAAGTTGAGAGAGTGCAAGAGCGGTTGCGGCCCATTGTTGATTCAATCGAGGTGACCGGGTCCACGCTGACAAGTGACGGGTGGTCCAGTGCTCAGAACAGGCCTTTGCTAAATTTTCTCCTGGTCACTCCCAAGGGGAATGTCTTCTTGAAGGCTGAGGACACCTCAGGCAAGGCCAAGACGGCAGCGTACATTGCGGATACTTGGCTGGAGTGTATGGAGGAGGTGAGCAAAAATGACCTACATCTCGTGCAGGCCGAGCTTTTGCTGGTTTGATTTTGATGCAGGTTCCAGTTCTCGACGGTCTCTGTTGAATGTAGATTGAACCTTGCAATGTCTGGAGTTTATCTTGCTTTCAAAGGTCTTGTCCTTTTGCTTATAACAGTGGACAGTGGTGGAATCCGTGACTATTTGAAGATCATATACAAGATGGCTTTGACATCATGATCTAGCTTTCATACCTCACATCGTAGGATTGCAGCTATTGTATAGTTTTAGTTTTTGTTCAAAAACCTGAGTTTGCTTTGGCCGCTTCTCTTCACAGGCGGGGGCGGAGAGAGTTCAGCAGGTCGTCAGCGACAGCGCCGCCAACTGTAAGGCAGCCGGAGCAATCATCGAGTCCCGCGTTCCCCACGTCACCTGGACTCCCTGCACTGGCCACTGCTTGGACCTTGCGCTGGAGGACATCGGCGACCTGGATTGGGCTAAAGACGTCGTGCGACAGGGCAAGGAGGTGGTGCACTTCATCACCAACCACCACAAGTCCCAGCATATCTACCGAGTCCATGCTGTGGCTGCTGTCGGCTCGCCGGGGCTGCAGCTCCTGAAGCCCGGGGAAACACGGTTTGGGACCAACTTCATCATGTTGGAAAGGATGTTGAAGGTGAGTACACAGGCTGCTCCTTAATTGTGCAGTGCTGAACAGTATGCATGATGATGTTATGTTGTCAAACTCCACGCCCACTCTACTACTCTTCTGACAAACCTCAGAGACTCTTCTGCTTTACTTAGCACCATCGTCATTGACAAACAAATTCAGTTCTGCGCTTGCAAAGCCTCCTTGGTTCCCGTTGATTGTAAGAGTCTGATGGCTTCGTTCCTTAAGGATACAATCAGCGGCATGGCTTCACTTGACTTGCATTGTCCATAAGTACCAGAGGTAATCGAAGCTGCATCATTCGATCTTTTCAAATCCAGAGTTGACTGCTGTGTTGTGTGTCTCTTTGCAGGTGCGGGACGCCCTCGAGGAAGTCGTCGTGGACCGGGACTGGAAGGCTTGGATGGACGGTGGCTCCGCTGCCTTGAGGAATGCTGGAGCTGAAATTCAAAGCACGGTGAGGACCAATTACAAACAGCCCATGTGTTGGACGCTAAACTGCTGCCCACAGTGCTCTTTCAATGCGCTTGTCCAACTTCAAGAGCTGACGTTTGTCTCCCGTTGTCGTTACAGTATGGAGTCAAGCAAAGAATAACAATGTTCTGATATGCTCCGTATAGGCTTTGCCGTTCTGAGCTACGTTTTTGGCGCGAATCATTGACCTCTCTTTGATTTTGCAGGTCGTCTCCACTTCCTTCTGGAGGAAGGTCCAGGAGTTGGTGGACATCTGCTGGCGCATCGTGGCGCTCATGAAGCAGGTGGGTGTTGATTGCCACAATTTGCAATTCCCAGGACTTTTTCCTTTGAGGTTTTGAAAGTCGATCCACTGTTTGGAACACCAATGTTTCACTTCGCTGAGGAAGTTCTGCCTCACCTACTTGTGTTTTTAAGGTGCTTGCAATTCAGCCATCTAATTGTCTGCCTCTGATGAGGTTACGGGTGAGCGCTGACGTCATCGTAACGGAGAGTGTGGTTCGCAACGAATTGCCTTGTCATGGAACTCCATGAAAACGAGTCGCACCATTGAGCATTTACAGATTCTATTCCCATCATGTTTGAGTACGTTTGAGAGTCTGACCGATCACAATGCTGTCCGATCGAACCAAGGGAGCAAACCGTTGTTACTGAAGGTCACTTGTGAGAACGTCAGGCTGAGTCGCTTTCGCTTTCCTTGTTTAGGTGGACGCCGGGACGCCCATGGTGGGCAAGGTCTACTGGAGAATGCACGAGATACTCCTGAAGCTGGACGACATCGACGCACCGGCATCCCACTGCAACCGGGCAAAGCACATCGTGCGCGAGCGCTGGGACATGCTGCACTTGCGCATGCATGCGGCTGGCTTCGTCCTCGACCCCGAGTTCTAGACATACGACCAGCACGCAAACGAGGAGGTCATGGAGGGCTTCTGGGACGTTGTCAGCAGACTTGTAACGAA